AGCCATACCACCAGGCCTATCGTTCACAGTCACTTTGAACTTCACTAATCGGCCTTCTGCCGCCATCCCACGTTCGAGTGCACGAGCAAGGATCGTAGTGTCGATGTTTCCTCCAGAGATTACGCAAACTACTCTGAAATTTACGGGTACCTATGTAAGCAGCACATAGCAAATAGCTAAAATTAGGTAAAAATAAGAATTTTTAATTTTTTTATTTATTTAAATAACTTTAATGCACGTTATATATACATAAGTAAAGAGTATATAAGGCGGACTTAACACCTAATGGCAATCAATTTATCATCCTACCTCGCAAATAAAAGCAGCGCATTTTATCAAACAAGCCACTTATTTCTAACGTTTTACAAATCGTCTATTAGGCAGATAAATTTATGGCAAGAATATAAGATAAAGAGAAAATAAGCAATTTTATAGGTACTACTCGAAATGTAAATTGGTTACCCCTGCACGACGTTACCCCATTCTACCATGTGTGCGTGAAAGACTTAACAGTACGTACATATTGTGATACTAACTTTTTCCCTTAAGATTAGGAAAAAGACCAGCCATAACAGCGGCAATTGTGACTGACCCTGCACCTTCTACTACGAACCTCTCTTCTTCAACGAGATGCATTATAGCTCTAGCCACCCAATCCTCTTTTACTACAATCTAGAAATAAAAATCGATAAGGCCTCAATTTTAACAATATTGGGATATACGTCAGCATAACAATCGGACATCGGTTACGCAATTCAAGAACTTCTTGATTAAATTTTCATTCTATTAAACTATTCATTCTTCCTTTAGTCGTTTTCATTTGCTGAATTATTATTGTTATATTAAATCTGTATTTACCATTTTGTCTACAAGCCCTTTGATATTATAAAAAGTATTGACCCCAACCATGGGCACCGCTATTCCATCAGCTATAGTCGATGGCATATCCATTTTGATTCGTTCATTTTTTCGTAATGATTCCACCATACTGCAAGTTTTATCTGTCTCTACACCCTGAAAATAGGGTCAAAATACGTTACTAAAATAAGTTACTGTGTCAGAAATTAGATGTATGGTATACAAAGATTCATTCAGCTGCGAGTCTGTCTTTGTCGGTTCAACAAAGATAACCAGGCATTCTAGCAAAATACATGTTTATGCCATATCACTGAATGACGTCGAAGTTTCAATAAAGATTTACTAATGTATAGAATATCAGATACTATTTATATGTATTATAGATATATTACGGTAAAATACGTAATATATCTAGTATATATAGGCGGTAATTACTTTACAGTGAAAAATATCACGTGGAGACTGAGATGATGAAGATGTGTATCTTGTTCAGATTTTTCTATGCGCAATATTAGATATATAAGGGTTGTACATGCAGGCCTCGAATTCAATTATTAGTAGATCACATTATTCGGAACCATGACAATAAAGCTTCAATCACACACGCATCGCGTCACTTTCTGCAATTCTTGCATTTTATTTTACGTTTTCAGATTGCGGTACTTACGTAAATTTCGGTGTCAGGTTTTAAATGCTTGGCGGAAATAGCGATGCCGCATAACAAGCTTCCTCCACCGCAGGGTACCACTATTGCATCAACAGCTGGCACTTGCTCTATTATTTCTATTCCAATAGACCCATGCCCTTCGATTACATTTGGATGATCATAACTATAGATTAAATAAAAAATACAGTACTAAATACAATTATTTGCAACTAATAATACATAAATATCTAATGTCTAAGGATTCAATTAAATCTTCTACAACGGTTTTAAGAAAACTGACGCAGTTTATCAATTATTATACAGAATACATACAAGGACACAAACTAATAATAGAGTAGGTACTCTACACTGAAATACAGTTCGATCCATAGAAATTGAACTAAATTTGGAGGAAGGACAAAGAAACAAAGTAAGGAAGAAATAAATACAATGCCCCTTTATTAGTAATATTTGCATGATATCAACGCATATGGTACACGCGATAACGGTATTTTGTTTATATTTCTATAAACACCGTTTATCTCCAGACACAAATCCATATAGCACTGTAGCACAACTATGTATATTAGAACTCCTTTTCATATAAGGAAAGACGCTTATGTCAACAGTATAAAAAAAGGAAATAAATCTTGAAATGTTACGCCAAATTGCTTAGTTTCAAGATCTCTGCTCTGCGATGTAAACATTAAGTAGGGTAGTTATAGTATGTAAGTACCCGTTAATATATGTCATCCTTTTCTCTTTCTTGATAGACATAGCGTGCAATTTTGATTCCCATATATTGATGCCATATAGTATGAGTTTTGCTCCCATCTGTTCGCACTTAGTAACTTTATTGAGGGGTGCATATACTGGCGCGACGATGACGCAAGGTATTCCAAGTTGCGAAGCGTGGTAGCTCATAGCTATCCCGTGGTTGCCGGTCGTAGCAGTTATTACGCCAAATTTTTTTTGCTCATCAGATAATAGTAAAAGTGTGTTGCGAACTCCGCGCTCTTTGAAGCTGCCAAAAATGTTAATAAAAAAATAATATATTCTACTAAGTGTAAATTTCTTAGTCAACGATAATGTTTAGAAAATAAAATGGCCTAAAGGTAAAAAATCTAAAAAAGCTAAAAAAATTGTATGTACATTTATTGTACTTTAATTTTACCTTCCTGTGTACTGCATGAATTCTTGTTTCAAATATAAATCCATACCCAATCGTTCTGCCATGTGGGCTTTCTAAAATAGAAAATATTCATTGTAAGCATGTTCAATCTGTGTATTCTATCTATAATAGTTGAAAAAAAAATATGCTTCGCATAATGATCACATATCATATTTTTTTTATTATAATAGATATTTAAATAAATTAAATGTTACTTTTTTATTAAGCTATTGTTACTTTATTAAGTAATTGGTGTATTAATTTATATTTATTATTCGTAACTTGACTAAACTTGCTAACTTTCCACCGAAGCAGACATTCTACAACGTAGTCTGCGTAGATACCTTGCCTCACCTATTTCAACCTCCTTGTAGTTTGCATACCAAGATGTGTTTTAGTTCTAGTTTGAGAGAAGGCAGTAAAATTGTAGGATAACATCTTAGTCTTCCGATAATGATTGAGTGGTGTCACATGATGATCTGATGTTGGCTTGCTTTTATTTATTCATAACCACTTACCATCAACAATGGGCCGTCACCTTGTTTGCCATTTTAATTAGGTGTAAAAAACTCTTTAGGAGTGGAATAGGTAGTACACTGCACTATTGTCAGTTGTATTCTTACCGTGCAGGGTGTTCGAATGACGGCGCCCGCAATGCGTCTCGATGCTGCCAATATATCGTCATATTTTATTTTCCTTGGATTATAAGGGTCGCAATATTCATCAAATTCTATGTCCTTTAGAAACATACACAAACGTTGACAACATGTAAATAGAATGACGTATTTATAGACTCACAGTACCTACTAAGGTGGGAGGGAGTATTAATAAATATCATAAATTAAAATTATATACATAAAAAATAGATAGCAGATCGATTCTCTGACCTACTGAATATGTATATAAAATGTGATAAACATCGGTCAAGCCGTTTCAAAGTAGTATGGTAATATAACTAACATTGTGATACGAGATTTTTATACGTAAGATTATCATGGCAATCTATTATTATATACTCGTATTTATATTTACGAGATATCTTTGATTTAATATATGAAAAGGAAACCTTATGCAGTTATGCATGTGAGAGTCATATTACTAAAATTGGACCAAATATTTATTATATTACCTCATTCATTATGGCTTACTTAGACGGTTGACTAATAATTTTTCATATTGCAATAAATAAAGTTTATATGAATTTTGCACTCATAAAGCAATCATGTCGAGATATATGTGACTGTGATGTTCGAAAGTTAAGTCTGTCAGTTCTTTATACTTCCAAATTTTTAGTTACAGCAAAGAGGTATGTACCTAGGTATATTCTGTAGGTACTTATTATTTTGCATTTATATCCAGTACATATTATTGCAAATGCCGTCCATATATGTATATATACGCATATAGTGGTACTATATGTTAAGGTTGGATAGCGCTAGTATAAAGTCTATGACTAGAGTGGTTACTAGAGCTACACTCCTTGTTTATTGTCACTCTCAAAAAAAAATTGAAAAAGTGTATGTCATATACGTATTCCATAAATTGTAAATAATAGTGTCCAAAGTGATCGTGTCGTGTTGTGTACCTACTCGCCTGATCCCTTCCAGTGTGTAATACCCGTATCTGCTTCCGCCTCCACCGCTTACGATATTTGGATATTTGGTAAGCCACTCCAGTTATATTACTATATGTGTATATATACATATATGGACAGTCTCGGTAGACTAGTTGTTTACTATACCACTCTAATTCAGATGGTTGCGGGTTCTTTTCCTCGTATAATATTAATTTTTATTAATGAGTTATATTATTTGGGTATTTATCTTTATATCATTTGTCTAGTACCCATAACACAAATTCAAATTCAAAATATCTTTATTCATGTAGGTCTATTACAGGCTCTTATGATATGTCAAATCTACCGTATGAAACTGGTATGGTTTCAAAACATACTTGACATTGTATTGTTTGCTGATGACACATCACTCTGTTTAGTTTTGGACTAGATGGCGCTGTGTGATGAGACGTAATTATTATTATTAGATACATACTATGATTACTACTGGATGACAAACAACAAGATTTCGTCAGAAATGATTTTCATTTTTAATTCTTATAACATCATAACTATGAAGGAATGCATTCACTAATTTTATTTATTGATTTTTAATTGCATAGAGGTCAGATAAGACATTTTTGTATAAAGAGTAATTAAGAATATTATAACAATATTAAGAAAAAAATAAAAAAATACCTTGTATAAAACTTATATATAAACAGGAAATATGTGCAACTCAAAATAAAAATGCAATACTTATTATTATTTATATAATTTTCAAAATTGTTAACTTTAACTTACACACATTACTTACACGTATATCTTAAATATACATTATTTAATTATTATTACGCGATTGAGAAGAAATTATTTTAAACCTAATTCCTGTGAGTAAGCACCAACGTGTCGTGCTATGTATGTTTTATTTTACAAAAAAGTGTATATAAGTACTTATATTAGTTGTCCAGTACACATAACACAAGCTCTGCTTAGCTTGGGACTAGGTATATGGCGTTGTGTGAATTGTCCAATGAAATCATTATTCATATAGTTTAGGTATAATTAACGGGTTATAATTATTATACAATATTATAGGTATATACTATGCCACATCGCTTTCAGTAACATTTGAAATCCTTCGTAACCTTTCGTCGTAGTCTCCTGCAAAGTACCATTCCTTATATAAATTTGAGATTAATGCTCGCAGTTCCTTTTTGTGTTCTGGTCCTCGGGTCTCGCACACTACTTTTACCTGAAATTTTGATAAAATGTAATAATTAATTCATGATCTATTTGCACTAATATCTGTGTATGATTTAATTTATTATTATTAATATAAACGGCTATGTTTTATTACTCCTGTATGTATATTAATAGGTATTACATACATATTCTTAATTTAAATAATATACCTAATAGTTTAAATTAGACTAAATTTTATATTAAAACAATTCTATTAATGTATGGAGGAATTTTATGGAGGGAGTAAATATAAATAAATTACTTATTGGCAGCTGTTTAGTATGGGTAACCCTACAAAAGTCTGGAGTACCCACAGGAATAAAATTAGTGCTAGGTAGGCGGTAGTTTCTATTCACACGTTTCGACTTAAAAATGTAAAATTACAACGACTATTTAAAAGAGAAACACGCAAGTTCCTTTCTGATTCTTCTTGTGTTGAGACAGCTTATCGAATGAGCGGTAGATTAAAAAAGTGATGTGATGACTATTCAATAGTGCATAAATTGAGTTTATATCAATAAAGGATTTTCTATTATATTCTATTCTAAAAAAGAATACTAATTCGGTAATTTCATAGTAACTAGACACACACCTGAACACTAAAAATATCGCCGTAAACCCATGCACGTTCTTGCATAATGTCTTTTATGGAGACTCCTATAGAGGCGATCATCTTGCACAGCTCTGCGATACCGCCCGGTCGGTCACTGACTGTTACTTTGAATTTCACTAATCTCTGTTCAGCTGCAAGGCCGCGTTCCAGACACCGTCCTAAGATCGTGGTATCGATATTACCACCGGATAGAATGCACACTACTCTGAAATGTTAGTGCTACCTGTTTATGCACTACACACAAGCTATAAAATAATAATAATTTTTTTACGACTGTTATCAGAGATATCAACTGCCAAAATTATTAAATAGGCTTGTCTTTTTAATTTAGTATTAGTAATCAAACAAGTGGAAAATGAGTAATATAGTAGCTTATGAAAGTAATATAGTATAGCTTATGAAACTAAATAAAGTAGCTATTGAAATTTAACACAATGAATGACTGAACTGAACTACTTGATAGGATTTAAATTCTTTCATCTATAATACATAGGCTATGGACCATGTAGGTCTCTACTTAATATAGTTATATTCTCACATAATTTAGTTAGTATTGTAAAAAATAAATTCAAATGAAAGGAAATCATTTAAAATTAATAATTTTCAAAGTACTTTGGCAAATTCATTATTATTAGTCGTTTTTTAACTGTTAACTCACTTTTTGTTAGCGAGCTCTGGCACAAGACCTGCCATTATAGCCGCTACACCTACAGCACCACCGCCTTCCACCACATACTTCTCTTGCTCTACCAGCCGTAATATAGCTCGAGCAAGCCAATCTTCATTTACTGTTATCTACAAAATGATATATTATGAGTACTAATAAATGTACATATATAACATACTCTTTGTCTTATACATTAAAATCTATGTTAGTAATTATTATAGCAATTGTTATGTATATTATATATGTAAGGTAAAATTGGTGATGACGATCAAAAAGTGCTAGTATACAAGTCTATTTAAATAAATAATATTTGAATTTAAATTCGCGACCGCTGAAAGTTGGGCCACGGCTGCTACATCACAGTGATAGTGAAAAGTTCTACAAATTGTTTATAAAAATAACTTGCATTATCTTTAATCCGGTTCGTAGTCTTAGGAAATAGATAATGTATGATAATTTGTATTGTCCAAAGTCGAATTAAATGTCAAAATGTCATGACATAAATAATTTTGATATTTATGTGCATACAACTCTATGACATTTCGTTCTACTTGGTTCTACCACCAGTCAACATCGACTTCCGGCAACATCATTGAAATTATTATTCAATGATAATTTCAATGATGTTGTTAAGAGTAAAACCAATATTTGTAAGCAAAGCTGTAGGTACCTATAAATTACATCTCCTTTAAAAATACACGTTCTATCCAACGGCCAAAAAGTTGGCTCTCAAAATAATCACAAAATTTCTGTCCTATGAATCAGCACCAAACTTTACACAGGGCAAGCACAATAGATAGGGTAGGTAAAAAATTATAATATATAAAAATTTATAAAATATTGGTGTTCATAAACAGCTAAAATGTCCTACATGAATACCGAAATGATTTTTAAATTTGAGATCAACGTATTACGTATCTATGGTTACCTGATTATAGTCCTCATAGAGAATGGCTATATAATTTATTGGAAATCCTATATAGAAATAAATTTACGTAAAGAAATTTAACCATTTCTATTTTCTGGCACCTTTATAACATCCTAGCTCGACTAGGGGTAATTATAGTTGTTTATTATGTTATCTAATTAGGAGGTAATTAAGACATCACACAAAACGATTATAATAATTAAAACAATCAACAAAAGTAAGGTAGCCAATAGTGATAAAACGGAGCAGATTGTATGTAGGTATAATAGTGATAGTCACTCATTAACCACCTACTGTTTGATATTATTGTTGATTAGTTTTCACATTTGACCCCAGGATACAAAATACAATATATAAATATTACTATACTCATCGCGGTTTGTAGATATACACTAAGTACATCTGTATGTAAAATTCTCCTGTCACAATGTTAGTTAACATACTCCTCCGAAACGGCTTGACTGATGTTTATGAAATTTTAAATGCCCCTAAGTGATGAGGTTTATCTATCCCGAACAGTTATTTTTTTATTTTTGGACCTTTTTTTTACTGTTGCATTAAAAATACACACAACCCTAAATTTTCACCATTTTAGTACCTACCAACCCCTACTTTTAAATACCGATTTTAATTTGTATGGCAAAACAACGTTTGCCGGGACAGCTAGTATTAAAATGAAGTATTCATTGCACTTCAACGGATAAGTTTAAAAGTGCTATATGCCCTCATATACAATATAAGTACGAACATAGTACATCGTGTTACACAGTGCATCTACTGCGTTTCTCTGCCATGCATGCTCATGTGGTTGATGTAGTGTAATCAAACATCCGATATAATTCGGGAGTTATATTGATGAAATTAAATATACCACATCCCGGATCACGCAGTAATGGTTATAACCCATACAATTATACTATTTATTATAATATATAACTGTGAAATAAGTATACATCGGTTATTTCTTTAAATTTAACTTTTTTATGGAACGTGACGAAATAAGAATATTATAGAATAGTTATATTATGCGAAATTAACAAATAAAGAATACGTCGTATTCGTGTTATGATATTTGTTGTTATAATAAAAATATATTACCAGTTTGTCCATGATTGTTTTGGCAGTGAGGAATGCGTTATACCCCATAGTAGGGACAGCGAGTCCATCTGCAAGGGTCGATTTGATTTCGACACTTACGGGTCCTTCATTCTTGATAGCCACCTTCATACTAGGACATTTCTCCGTCTCCACACCCTTAGAAAGATTATATTAATATTTACATTAAAACAGACTTTTCATTTAAAAATTTAAAAATTTACAACCATTTCCGTCATATCTGAAAATTCTTAAATTGTTTGGTATGAAATATGGGTATATAGTAAGAAAACATATTATGATTTATTATATGAAAACTATAAATTATTTTCCAAAACTTATCTTCTATTTTCAGCATAACACCCTGTAGTTACGGAATGGACTCCTATATTATAACTTAAGCCTGTCTTGTATAATTAAATATAAATTTGGGTATAGTTCATGAGAGTAACTAATGTTATTGTCGTACCGATAACCCAACAAGTAGATATCAATTGAGATATCATTTAAAGTTTTTAGATAAATTATTACTACATTATTATTATTGTAAATTATTGTTTAAAATATTACATAATAATATACAATTTTACGAATCCAAATAAATTTATATCACTCGATTTGTTGTACATATATAAAGATTTTCCTTATTTTTGTCCTATTTTTATTACATTAGTAGGATATTGTTTATAACGGGTAAGTCGATATTTATTAAACTACTAGCTGAGCCCGTGATTTCACCCGCGTTAAATTTCACTAATAAATATAGCCTATGTGTTATTCTAATGCATAAGCTATATTACTGTAAAGTTTCATCAAAATCCGTTCAGAGTTTTTGAGAAAGAGGTTCAAACATCCATTCTCACAAACTTTCGTGTTTATTATATTATTATTAAGATTAACAGCTACTTACATATATAAGAACATTTGGATTAAGGTGTTTTATAGCAGTGGCAACCCCGGCTAACAGTCCCCCGCCACCCACCGGTACCAGAACAGCGTCAACATCAGGCACTTGTTCCAAAATCTCGAGCCCGACTGTTCCTTGTCCAGACATAATGTGTGGGTGATCATAACTACGAAACACATATTCGTTTTGTGATAAATTAATCGTATTACCGGGGGAGTAGGGAGGAAGAGATTATTAGTATCGGGGACTAATCGCCAGCCAGCTTATTTTTTTTTTTTATTTATTTAGGACTAACAAACAGTAATACAATATTAAATATACATACAATATGTGATGAGATGAAAGATAAATGTATCACCAACGACGTTAATCACAGTTTACTTAAGACAATAATTATATAATCACGCAAATTTGTTTTGTTGTTTGTTGTGGTGAATTTTATACAAAGTTACAAATATCGACTCAAAATGCAACTTATTTATTAATATAAAGAAAGCGTAAAATGAAATAAAATAAAATAATAATAATAAATTAAAAAAAGGAATTACTAAGAATAAAAATTAACATCTATTAAGTTAAGTGGGTATGTGACAAATTCTGGCCAACCATCTTTTTGAATAATGATGGTCTAGTAGCAAATATATCTATATTAGAGAACTTATCATTATATGCTTTAACAATTCTATTAATTGGTGACCGAGTACCAGAGTCTGGCAATATACATATCTTATAAATATATGTATACCTATTGCCAGCGTATGTATAAATAGCTCAGACAAGTGTTACCAATCCATACGTACTCGTATTTAATAATAACGTCAAGTAAGGAACAATTTATATACTGGTTTTATACTGGTTTTAACTTTAATATAGTATATAGTAATTACTTTAATATATATATATATACCTACTTATATAATAAAGTATGTATTGTATTTAACTTACCCATTAATATATGTAAGCTGTCTCTCTTTAGCGAGCATCATGGCATGATATTTAGCTTCCTTCATGTCGTTTCCATGTATTATAACATTAGCACCATAAGACTGGCATTTCTGTATTTTCATGATAGGCGCTACATTTGGCATAACCACGGTCACTGGGATTTGCAATAAATTGGCATGGTAGCTCATAGCTTGGGAGTGGTTTCCTAATGAAGCAGAGATAACACCACATTTTTTTGCTTCTGGCGAAAGTAGCAGTAAAGCGTTTCTCGCACCTCGCTCTTTGAAGCTGCCAAAGATATTGTAGAAACAATATAAATAATATGTCGTTTTTTTACAAATATTAATTTTAATACACTAAGACACAGATTATAAACATGTAAAAGTTTTTTTTTATCATAAATAACGGCAGCTTACCTTCCTGTGTGTTGCAGGAAGTCATTCTTTAGGTAAATGTCCATACCATATATTGCAGACATATGTGATTTCTGTAAAAATAATAATATTATAGTCTCAATTCTTAGTTGCAAACTTTCAATATTTCTATGCTATGATTTTTTTATGAAATTATCTAGGACAGATGTATTTTGGCGTATAAATTCTACACAAAATATTGGGCCAACAATTTATTATGATACATCTTGAAAAATGTTAACACTTTTAAGCTAGAGGTAAGACTCTTAGGGCTCAGTTGTAGTTTCAATAAAGTTACGTATTTAAAAAAATAAAATGTTTGGTCTATATATTCTTGACAACTATTGAGATTTATGGCGTTTGTAGAGGAAAAAAATACAAATAAATAAATATCAGTCTTACCACACAAGGCGTTTTTCTAATTCCGCTTTGAATCCTGAAGGCTGCGGCGGAGACATCCTCGAAAGATATCCGTTGCGGATTTTCTTTGTCACACATAGGATCAAACTCGATAGTCTGGAATACCATGTTTGTTATACAGACGATGGCATAATAAAATATAGGTGCTACGGTCACGTCGATTACTCGACACTCCCAATATTGTAATAGTGTTCAATGTTTAAGTTATCTTTTAATATGTTAATTAAAAGGTCGAAGTCTCGAAGATGAAATTGTTGTAACAAGATAAGCTTAAATTGGCCTCAGATTACTATATAATATTACGATTCTAATAGAAGATTTTTTGGAACTGAATAATATTTTTTTGATAAGATTGGGATGTTTTTTTAATATAAAGAAATAAAAATGAATCTGTTGGAAAAATAATAAAGTACAACTATGTTCTTAAACACCGTGGCGCTAAGAAACACATAGAAACATTTTTTTTCTATCTGTTTTAATGCTGTTGGTCGTATATAGCTTTACCGGCGAAAATGGAGTTCTACTGAACTCTTTGAGTGCTTTCTGTACTCAGAAAGCACTCAAAGAACAGCACAGAAAGGGATCAACTGGAGGGACTCATAAAACCTAGTAATTGATAGATTTGACCTTTCACAGTGTTCAGAATAACTCTGTTCCCGATGATTTTTTTTTAAATATAGGTAGATACATACTTTGTAAATTCATATTTCTGAAATTTGCAGTAGGTATCCATAACAACTTTATTTTAGTACCTATATTGTATTTTTAAACACAAGTTCGCCCGCGTCTTTTGATCAAAAAGTTAGATAAGTATCGAATTAACACAGTTTACTTTTATGTTACTACTTATCAGTTGTCTAGTATCCGTAACACAAGCTCAGTTTACCTTGGAACTAGATGACAATCTGTAAATTGTCCTGAGATGTTATTATATTATATTACTACTAGCTATATGTACCTACATGTGTAGGGGAAGAAGGGTCGAATGGCGTTCACTTAAGGAAAACATGGTGTATTTTATATATTATATATTGCAAATAAATAATTAAGAAAAGTAATAAAGTCTTTAATTATCGAGTAACCAACAATTTAACATCAAAAGCGTATAACTTTATTCTAGTAGTAGGAAGACATTATTAAAAAAAACTAGTTTGAGCGGCATTGCCCCTGACTATGGGTAATGCCGCTCAGGGTACGGGGTGATGTCTAATAACCAGTAAAATATATTAATTAATGAAATATTCATAAGATCAATCTTAAATAATAAAAGTAAAATCTACAATACCCAATTATCCCCATTTCTACGTAAAATTACCCTTTTTCAATTGAATAAATAAAGTACAGGCTTAGATGTCAAATCAACTTCAATTATTGTAATATAATATAAAATAATAATAATTATTAGAGGGAAGACAAATTAGAAATAAAAATATTTTATCCTTGGATACATAAATAACATATGTATTAGGGTTCATGAATTCTCGAGCTTTTATCTCGGGTCTCGAGAATTCTCGAGGTTAATTTCTCGGGTCTTCTCGGGTTGTCGAGTAATTTACATTTGTACGTTTTCTCATATTATTTGGTTCCAATAACGTCAAAAAACTCAGTGGTTTCATTTGAGACGAAAACCAGCATTTTTTGTTAAATATTAAATATAAAATTAATTATAAAACAGGTATATTTAAAAACATTATACATATTATGAATAAGAACATATGAAATTACCGTTTTGTCGTATATTTTTTAAAATCTCCTCTTTGGTTAGAAATTTCAATTTCAAATTTACCGTAGAACATATGCTAGTTTTTTCTTTGGGTCACTCAGCTTACAAAATGGAGAACTTAAAATATCGTCATTTACAAGTTACGAGTTCCGTCACTGTCATCATGGTGGTGGTGTCGCAAAAGAAAACACAATGCATTTTTTTTTTTTTTTTTTCGACCTGCAAAACAAACTAGGTAATTTGAATCATTAGTTTTGACCGATTGTTGAGGTGACAAAACTGTTTAATCGGTCTTTTCATGAATTGAGTAACAATTCGGGTTTCGATCGGCAAACGCGCGTAGACTGCTGCGTTACATTGACGATTTTAAATCGAATCATTCTGTGATGAGATCTTGTATGATAATGGAAATCATCACAACTGAATGGCAAACCAACCAAAACCTGCCCCAAAAAATGACCCAAAAAGTTACTTGCGACGTTTAGTGGAATAGTTCCGGTGTTGGCTTTCTTAAATCTATGACTGGCAGATGTGTGTTGTCAGCAATTGAGAAGTCATAATGGAAAAGCTAGCTGCTAAACAACCGAGGCTGGTCAATCGCCGTAGGTCGTTTAGACCACACACTGCACAACTGACATTAATTAGAAGAGATTCAATTGTAATGTTAAAACAATTACCTTGCTCCAACAGATTACCATTTTTTTCGAAATTTGGAAACTGATTGGGAAAAAATTCATCCGATGGGGCAGTCCAAAGTCCAAAATTTTATTGATATGTCCAAATGTTTTCAAATGTTTTTTTCAGTAAAAAAATATACCTTGAGATGGCAAAAGTTAAAGCAATGGTACATAGTTTGATTAAAAAAATATGTTATATTTTGAAAAAATAAATACTTCCGGTAATACCTAATATTATTCAGACTTATATTTATAATGACAGCACCATTTTTGGCTGGTTATTTAGAAAAAATCTACACTAAACTTGTAAACAAAAATAGTTTCTGTAAAACAAAAAAAATACCTGAATACTGTAGTAATGAATCTAATAATCTTAATATCTTGTATTATTACGCCGCCACGCAATACAACAAACGGCAATTTAATTTCTATATAGGTACTTGATTTCTCGAGTTCTCGACTTTTCTCGAGCTTGATTTTCCGGGAACAAAACCCAACGATTTGTGTGTATCTGCGAATCCCACCCTTAGCATGGCAGTCCGCAGATGGTACAGCAATACCAGAATTCATATTTTTCCAAATTTCTGTTAAATAATACATTTGTTATAATTTCTATCGTTCACATTCATTTTGTCGTCACTGTCATCATCGCAGAGTTTTTTTTCTTTTTTTTGGACAAACTTATTTTAATCATAGTTTTGACCGATTGGAGGTCTTTTTCGGTCTTTTCGGTCTAACAACTTTAGCGGAGATCCTTTGACGTTTTCTTAGCATATCTACAACAATAAAAAATATAAGTCACAAAGGGATAATGGCGCTCAGGTGAGCGGTATAACCCCCAACCGGTCGTTTTGTAATTAATTAGAAATTAAAACATTATTGCGTTTTTTTAAAAATTGATTGCATTACCATAAAAAGAATAGTTTTATTAGAAAAATATACTTAATAATTAAAGAAGCATTAAATTTTTAGACTTACCGCCATAAAACACTTATGCAAAAATTTGATCAGTATGGCCGCAAACGAAAATCCGCATTTCACGATCACATGACGCGAGCTGACTGTGTGTTTGCATTGCTGGCTTTTAGAGGCTACCTATCCTCGTGCTTGGCGGCACATGGCACATGGCGGCGTGTTGCTACATTCCATTTTGATAGAGTTACAGAAGTGAGCGCCATATAAATACATGTATTACGCGGCGTATAATGTGTTTACACGTTGGCGTTACTACTACCACTACTACTATGTACTAATAATTAACGTTTTGGAAAATATTCTATCACCTATATTCTTCAGGGATAATGGTAAAACAATTATTCAAATGGGTTCAAAATTTACCTCATTATTATATCTGTCTACGGATGTTGATTCCGATCCGTCAATGATGATTCATCTGCGATTTGGTTTACCAAATTTTTGGATTTTGCTGTTCGTCTCATAGTACTTACCTATACTTTGTTCATATATTTAGCAAGCTTTTTTATATATTTTACGAATATGTGTGTATGTACACCTACGCCTATATATAGGTATTAGGTACATATATGTAAATAAAGGGACACTTACTGAAGGTTCTACTGTATATGACTCCATTGAAACACAATTACCAAGATGTTTTTGATTCACAAATTATATCAAAAGTGTATCTAAATCGATTTAATACCCAAGCGCTTTATATTTTCTTAATTAAAATCGATACACGCGTACAGTGAAGTCTATAGATAAGTAGTTACTTACTTAATGTATATAGGGAATTATTACATTAAAGATAAATTAATGATGTCATAAACATATCGCATCTATCGGGTCGCAAACACAGTTGGAAGTGGAATACGCAAGGGTCAATTGATGGAGTCGCTATCAGGCGAAAGTCAGCAGGACAGACGGATATTATTATTATATACGATAGTCGCATATAGTCTCTATGGCTTTGTAGTTGTATATTCATATTATTGCATTAAAATCTATAATTTTTTTGTATCTTCTTTTTACATATGTAATTATTTATTATTAAGTATAAATAAAATTGGAGTGTCTGTTTGTACCTAATATTGAAATAACAGTTTTTTACTATATGCATATGAATATAAATACGGTACATACACCAAAATATCATTATTTAGAATTTCTGTCTGTCTGTTTGTTCCGGCTAATCTCTGAAATGGCTGGACCGATTTTGACGGGACTTTTTTTGGCAGGTAGCTGATGTAATAAGGAGTAACTTAGGATACTTTTATTGTAGAAAAATAAAGTAAAATTCCACGCGGACGATGTCGCGGATACAGCTAGAAAAATATAAACGTTTCAATAATTCATATGAAATTAGGTATTATTAAAAAGAATTCCTTTAAACAGGATAACTGTATTAAGAAAATATCGTGTTCGTCTAAAACTGTAATTATAGCTGCTATAAGGATCCGAGAACAATGTGGCTCCAATAGTTTACTAATTGGCCGAGATCTAAAAAATTTTTTGAGTCAATCAATTAATTCAGTCTGAAGCTTTGTTGTTAGTAATGGCTGTTAATTGTAATAACAGATTCAGGACAGGTCCAGGTCAGAAAACCACCATGGTAAATATCTCGTAAATTCGCAGCTATGTACTACAAACTGAACTCATTTCATGCTCAGGATAAGCTTACCAGCTTTTATTCCTGCTTTGCCAGCATATACCGTTAGCGCACGTACATGCACCATTTCATAATCATTCATTAAGAGACATCAATAACAAATCGAATCAATGCGACAGTCAGCAATCGGTGGCCTGTTCACTATTGCTATCAAATATATCTGCGATATGAAACCGACCTCAATTTTTTTAATATTATAAAGGGGAAAGTTTGTGAGACCTATGGATAGATGGATGGATGGATGGATGTTTGTTATTTTTTCACGCTTCACGCAAAAATTACGAAACGGATTATGATGAAACTTTATAGTAATACAGCTTATATATGAAAATAACACATAGGTTATAAATTACGTAGGTGAAACGTTACAAACTCTAGTTACGAATATTTTTCAACTGTAACGTCTTAAAATTTATGGATTTATGACTTTTTATGAACTATTTGTGAGTCGCAGATGCGAACTAAGTTATACGCATCGTAACCTGAAAATTTGTGGATTTTAATCAGTTTTAAATGAATCAGTCAAATGGTTGGCCGATAAAGTCATTATAAACATTATTGAGGCTAGTAATCACTACGTCAATCTATAAAGTTGCTTCGTTTTACAGAAATTTGACATTGACAGTCACTCGACTTTTTTTCTTCTCAAAACTTAGCGGTATTGCCTGGTTTACCCTTAATTTAGGATTTTTTTTTAATTATAACATTTTATTTCGTGTATAATTTTATTATACTTACTGAATCTTTAGTTGTTCCAATTTTAAAAATTCTATGGGTAGATTTTATTTATATAAATAATATTAATGTGTGTACTGAAAATCAGCCTGTGGTATATATATATAGTTTTGAAGTCACATTCAGCGTTACATATACAAACAAAAGTATATTTATAAGAATATGTAATGGAATAAATCAGGTTTTGCCCCACATATACAAACAAAAGTTTTATAGATATGGGTAAATCAGGTGGAAATGACACATAAAACCTGGTAACATTGCAATCAACCAAGAACAAGCATACCAATGTATGATTGTTCTTGGTTCTTGATTCTTGTGCTTTCAAAAATTATGAGACTATTGTAATTATGAAACTTGTAAATTTTTACAAGTTTTAGTTTGTTGCTTTAGATTCTTCTTTTTATCCTTTATATTACCCACTTTACTGTTATACATGTATTGTCTAGTAATTGACTATTTAAAATAGTGTGTAATCCGTGTATTAAAATAACCACAAGCTACATAGTCAAACAATAATAAAATGCCGTATGCAAATCAACCAGCGGTGCATATCACCGAATTAACAGACGACAATGTGAAATTTGTCGTCGAAGATACGGAATTAAGCGTAGCAAATAGTATGCGCCGGGTGTTTATCGCTGAAACACCGACTATGGCTATTGATTGGGTGCAACTTGAAGCCAATTCTACCGTACTCAGTGATGAATTCTTAGCTCACCGCATAGGTCTTATTCCTCTCATATCCGACGATGTGGTCGATAAAATCCGTTACTCAAGAGATTGTATGTGTGCTGATTTTTGCTCGGATTGCAGTGTTGAATTTACATTGGATGTAAAGTGTACAGGTGACCAAACTAGACATGTTACAACTGCAGATCTAAAATCAAGCGACCCAAGAGTGGTACCAGTAACATCTAGGCACAGGGATGAGGACCAGGCTGATTATGGTGAAACTGATGAGATATTGATTATCAAACTCCGAAAAGGACAAGAGTTAAAACTCCGAGCTTATGCAAAGAAAGGATTTGGCAAGGAACATGCTAAATGGAACCCTACTGCTGGGGTTTGCTTTGAATATGACCCTGACAACTCTATGAGACACACCTTGTATCCTAAACCGGATGAATGGCCAAAAAGTGAACACACTGAACTTGATGAAGATCAGTTTGAAGCGGAATTCAATTGGGAAGCAAGACCGAATAAATTCTTTTATAATGTGGAATCATCAGGTGCCTTGAAGCCAGAAAATATAGTACTTATGGGTATTGTTGTATTGAAAAATAAGCTGCTTAATCTTCAAGTACAGTTAGCACAAGAAGCACATAATGATGCTTTAGCTATCAACTAATTTTCAGTTATGTAGTGTATTAAGAAATGAATAATGTGAACAATAAATATAATATTAAATAATTAAGGAGTAATAACATAGTATTATTTTCATTGTGTTAGCATAAAATAAAGTATTACCTTACAGTGCATGTAAGTTTCCATGATCTTATGAGTAAATATGTGGATATTACTACGGAAGTATGTATATTTCACTTCACTGTTTATTGCAAACTATGAAATATGTGCAACATGCAATAATTATTACCTTGAAAACTTGTGAATGTTGTTGGTAATTAATTGAGAATGTTAATGTTGCTTGCACTTGCACTCAGCAAGTGAAACAGGTGAACAAGTTAAGATTTGCCAATTTGTGTCAGTTAATATGATTATAATAATAATCATTATAATTATAACCAAAATCATTGTCAAATTACTAATTAACTTGACAATTTGTTAATAATAATGTCAATGAGCTGCCCCATTATGCTGCTGTCTTAGACAGGTTGAGTGTTTTTTATCACTGGCATTGTCAATTGGCAGAAATGATATGAAGGATGCTAATTTGCAGGCACTGAGCTAATGCAATGAAATTAAAGGCAAATATGTAGATTGGTAAAAATGTGTTGCAATAGTTTGTGTAGGCCCTGATAATTATCGGAATGCAATGCGATGTAAATGATTTTATTACCATTGGGGATGAATGGCTTGCGGCTCATCTTCTGGTAAGTGAATACCGCCGTCCATGAGCACCCGCAACACCAGGGGAATTATAAGTGCTTTGCCGACCTTTTGAGAAGAAATAAGCTCCTTTCTTGAAGATTTCAATATTCTATCGGTTCGGAAATAGTATTGATGGATTCCATAAAAACTTTTTTTGCAAAAAGTTTCTGGAAAAACGCACGGTCGAGGAACGTTAATCATCCAAATAATCCGGATGGTATTTTAGTTTCAGACAGGTAGTGTGATGCTGAAATATGTATAGGTAATTTTCCCAATCGTCCTACTATGTTGAATACGTACATATCCTACGTGTATACAGATTATTATGGTGTTATAATAGTTTAGGCATAAACGATCTCTTCATTGACCGGATATGGATTTAATGGAAAATGGCAACCGTCGCCTGTATGCCTGTACCACATGATATTTGTGATATACAATACAGCACGGATATCATATATCTTGCGACGCTCGTGGAACCGTCCTGCGTCGCCACTTCTTACTACTATATCTCATCCTATAAACCGGAACACAGATTTCAATACATGCTGCTGCACCGTAGAAATAGACGAGCTGACACACATGCAGATGACTTTATATAAAGTTTGACTGTAAAAAAATATCATGCTTACATTAGCATGATATTTTTTTACAGTCAGTCAATCATCATGGGGAAGGTGATTGTAAGTAATATCACAGATAACATAATATTGTAATATGGACTAATGATCCCATTGCTCAGGTTGACCTCGACGCGGTTCCCCTTGAAAACCATCGTGATAAACTCCTTGTGAATTTGCCACGATGAGTTAACTGACCTGACCTCATGATCATCTTATCATCCTCCAATGGTGTCCAGTCAGCGTAACCCGTTAGCTCAGGAGGGACTATTACATTATCATCCATTAAAAAAATAAGCAACATACTTATTTAGTTTTTAACTAATACACATACAGGTTCCTTTCATTAGTATAAATCCTTATTTTATTATTTGTCAAAGAATATAACTATTTTGCAAAATCGAAAGTATGCCTCTTCCATATAATATGTATCGTACTGACATTTAATTTACAACATTTTTAACAGTAACAGGGAAGTTATTTGTGACCATTTTTACGATTGAAATAATACGAAATGGTATGTTAATATGTTTCGAAATGTTTTTATTATTTATTATATATCGTATACGTTTTTGTAACATTTTAAATTGCAGCTCCGCTATTACTGGTCGTCCAATGGCAATATGGCTTTTGCTGCTGCATATCAATTGAGATCAGAACTGTATATTCCTTAATAAAAAAAAATACATACTCCAGTTTATCATGATCATTAAGAATAATATAGTTCTGATCTCGTTATGTATAATATAGGTCCGATGACCCACTCGTGATGGCAGTCTTGGTACGGTAGGTTTGGTGATCATAACTCAGCTACCGGAAGCACATGCCGTGATCGTCCCAGTTGCCACCGGTGCCCTACTTGCTGCTGTGCTTGTAGCTTGCAAGAAACTCAAGTGCTCTTGTTTAATTTATGAAATTAAACTTTTTGTTTTTTTATGGATATTTAACACATAGGTCTTAACTACTATTGCGAGGCAACTTGCTTTATATGGCAGTAAAATTACCGACAAGGTAGAGAGAGACTCGTTTATCTGGAAAAGCAACTCACGAGGCATAACTCGCAATATGAAATATCTTATAATAATGCTATGTAATTTTATCTCTCACAGCGCCATCTAGTCCCAAGCTCTACTTAGTTTGTGTTATGGGTGCTAGACAACTGATATAAATACTTACATACATTGTCGGATTTAACGGTAACTTTTAACTGTAAAAACCGAGCGTTCACACTGAATAAATTTCAGATATAAATTAAATTGGTAGTAAGAATGCAAATTTGTAGGGAGCAGAATGTGTAAAAGTACCGAAAATGATGAAAGCTTTGCTAGCGAGACGTCCGGTGGTTGTGCCAATAGTACCGAATCTTGCTGATGGGCTCAATTCGACAACAGTTGGTAACAACGTTTTCGCAACAGTTAAAGGACGGCTTGATAGAATGGTAGGTATCACTTTATCTATTAACTTACGTTATATAAAATATATCGAGGTAGACTGTACAAAGTTGGCTGCTTGGGTGTTTCTGCAGTGCAGCTTGCTTCGTAAGTTGTTAGGTTAAAGGATGAGAGATAGGGTACGGAGAAATAGACCAGCATAAAGCTACCATGGACGTCACATGACGTGCTGTTTATATATAGGAATGCCACTACTTACACCACTACACTAGAAATAAGATACAGTTAATGTAGGTACCAAGAAGCTAAGAAAATATTAAGTTCATCACACAATTGTTATAACAAAAATTGTGTGTTGTTAATTTTAGTTTGATCAATGTTGTATATTGAAAGTAATGTCAATATAAGACATTCATCAAACTAAAACTAAAAGGAACTAAGAACATAAAATGAATATGTATTATATAAACTAGCTATTACAGAATTAGACTACTTTAAGATATTTTTAATTGTTTGTAGATGCAGCTTGTATTTCAGTGTGGTTTGCGTAATAAGTGGTGGAAATATTGATTCGGGTCGGCTGTCTCGTATAATTCAACGTGGCCAAGGCGCTAGTGGCCGTCTGTTTATATTTGCAGTCGCTGTTTCCGATCAAAATTCGGGCCTTGAGGGGCTCGGAAAAATTATTGCCGAAGAGAACGCCGTACTAAAGAGCTTGGTAACAGAGCCGATGTGGGTGCACAGTGATGTTGGAACAACTTGGGTCTGTATTTTTTAATTGTAGTATTCCCTAGGGTAAAAGATACTAATATTATACAAATAAATTCGGTTAAAGAATATATTATTCCAGTAACATAGACTCTATAATTATTTGGGTTCTAACCAATTAATTATTTCGTTTCAAACCACTGTAGATTATACTGATACTCAGTGAAATGTGGTCTTGTTGAAGCCTATGAATACATCAAGACTTCTGCTTTTCTGGGAAAAGCTTGCTTTACTCTAGTAGTCTAGGTACTACATGTACAATGGCCCAAACAAAAGGATAAATTAGAATGTGGGCATTTCAAGTGATGCATTCACTGTCAACAGTTGAAAATGCCTTCTGGGATTATAATCATGAATATTCTGTAATTATCTGTTGCTCAATTATTTTATAGGTGAATGTGGTTGTTGAAATTGGGAGTGAAGAACATACCACCAACCTTAAGGATCACTTGAGAGAACTCTACCCATCAGTCAAATTCACAATTATAGATTTTGATGAGAAGGTTAAAATGTGTGATAAAAATGCTGGATATTGTAATGTCTAAATAAATGAAATAAACAGAAATGTAGATTTTTTTTTATTTTTTAGGACTTAAACATTATGCAACTGGATCATCTCCCTTTGTTGCTCTAGTGTAGATCACTTGTCCATGGTGTTGGACTACCTGTTTGATTAGACCTGAAAAGAAATATTTTCAATCAGGACTACTAATAACAAAGAAATTAGATACAAAATGTTAAAATTATTTCAGACTCAATATATCAGTATTAAAACTGTCACAGGAAATCCAGAAAAAAGGTACATCATTTTTTAGATAAATAAATCATTAATGTAAAATAGGATGACTGTAATAATTGTCACTGTTATCTAGTTACTTTTTAAATGTCTTGGCTAAAATGTGTATTTCAATTAGAACACTTACATGTTACAAAATTGAAAATAGTATTAAACATACTACACTCTTTGGTACTGAAAGAGAATACTGTAACTTTGAGTTACCGTTTAACATTATTAAGCCTAAACATTATATATGAAGTAGATTTGTAATACCAACCCTTTTCTCTGAGCTCGATGAGTGCTCGCCTCGCAAGGGATCCCCTGACTTTCAATCTTTCAGAGACAACAGCGGGTGTAATCAGCTTATATTGTGGTACTTCTTTATACAGCTTTTCATATGTGGGCTTGTCAAACAGAACCTGGTTGTTCAACTTGTCACGGACTTTTCCTTTAGACCACTTCTGTAAATTTTAAATACACAATGTGAATATTATGATTAGATTATAGCATTTCTTAACAAGTTTAGTAGATTTGCCATCAGCCTCAATATATCAGATTTTACTCTCATGGTAATCAAGTTTATAATGATATAATCATTTGACAAAATTCTGAAAAAAAAAATATTCATATGAAGGATTCTGTGTACTAGTCTATTGGCACTAAGTAGTCTAACAATGTTGTAAATAAACATCAACGGTAAATTAGCCATGTAAAATAATTTCTGAAATCAGATTAGTAATTGTGGATGTCTAGAGAATTTATAATACAAAACAACTTAGTATTTGTAGACATGTTCACATAACCTAACTTTAAAACGTATACTTAGTTATTTACCTTCTTCTTAGCTTTTCCACCACCGGAACCTTCCTTTTTCTTTTGAGTTTTTTGTGGCTGCTTGGCCGAAGTCTTGGCATCCTTCTTGGGAGGCTAAAATCACAAAAGGTAATGAATATTGCACGTAGAAACACGAGGTATGACCAATGTTTTGCATTTTATCGTTTCACTTTATAAAATAACGTATATATGTATAAAAATAAAGTTATTGAATTAAAATAAAATAATTATATTAGTTATAATAGTATCATTTTGCAATTAAATAGAATAGCACATTAAAGAAGCACTCACCATGTTGAATGACACCAGAAAGAAAGAAACCAGAGAGTAAATATAAACTTATAGAGCAACGATAATAGACAAACCTAAATAGAGAATTTACACTAAAACGACAAACTTTGTCAATCGATTGAAAATTACTTATTTTATTAGATGATATGATGATGATATAGATGTTATCAACTTTTCAAACATTTATTACCTTTTTTTAAGTTGTGTCGTTTTACAAGTTTTATCTTCGGTTAGGTTTTTTTCCGATTTGTTCACGTTTTACGTCAGGAACACTGAACAAGTAACATATAAGGTAAGCCATTATAAATCATTATTATAAAAAAATATTATTATTCAATAATATTTTTTTAAGTGACATTTATCAAAACTCCGATTATTGTAATATTTAAAATATTATAATAATCGGAGTTTAATTATCGATTACTATCCCATAACAATAATAGATTTTTAGTTGGAGTTTTAGTTACATCTCTAGTTTCTTTTATTAATATTTTTACGGCTCTGGATACAAGTTCTTTTTAGACCATTCTTAGTTTAAAGATTGTGTTGCCAGTAAATTAGCAAATTATTCCCTACAAGGACTCCTTTAGTTCATTTAAATATAGACATGTACAGTCAATACTATACATATATACAGGGAAGTCCCCCGCAGAACACCGTTTGTGTCTATATTTACGACAAGAAGTATATTTAATCTCAAAAATGACTTTTCACCAATTTTTTTCAGTATAGAGTGCTTTCCGACGATAGTTTAGGCGTTTGTTGGGGTTTTGTGTAAATTAATGTAACTCGTGGAGAAACCGGACGGGTCGCTTGCTAATTATATTCATATAAATAAATAAATAAAATTGAAGTGTCTGTTTGTACTATTGAAATAACCGTTTTTTACAACATGCATATGAATATAAATACGGTACATACACCAAAATTATATTTTTTGTCTGTCTGTTCCGGCTAATCTCTAAAAGGGCTAGACCGTTTTTGATGGGACTTTTATTGGCTGGTAGCTGATGTAATAAGGAGTAACTTAGGCTACTTTTATTTTAGAAAAATAAAGTTAAATTCCACGCGGACTAAGTCGCGGGTACAGCTAATATTAAAATAAACAAGGAAGAAAAGTACATTTTATGGGAAATATTTCAATTTAATGAATATTTATATTACGATCATGTTAAGTATTTGGAATTAAATTGACTATCATTATCTGAATAAATAAAGTATATAAATATAACCTGAAGACTGTTGAGATTTTCCAAGACGGGGAATATAACGTAGATTTTTATACACCCTATATTTTCGGTCGTAGTCAGACTCTCTATTAACCGAGCCCTCTTGCCTGGTGGGATTGTTAGTAATGGACTGATCACCTCATTGCCAGCAATATAGCAGGTCAGGTTGACCGCCACTAGGTTAAACCTGGAAACCATAGTGGTAAATTGATATTCGCCAAGTTACACCGTAACTTACCTGATGTCATACTCATTTTATGGTCCTCCACTGGTGCCCCACCAGCGTAAACCGTTATCGCTCCATTATCACAAAAAAAGCAAGAAATAATTTTACAAGCTATATGCATAGTTAAATGAATGAAACAAAAACAGAATTTTATTCAACATTAGTATATTTAACAATTTATTTCCAATGACTTGTTTATAATAAAAATAATATTATCATTATACTACTATTGCACTATCCAGATGTGGTCAGCTACTCTACAATTTACCAATTAATAAAGGACACCATCCATTACAATCCCTAACTAAAAACCAAACCCTATTAAATAAAACAAAACATGTTTCTCTGTCGCAACATTATAATATTTCAGTCACTTTGATTATACCTACCCAATTACTAATAAATTATAATATCTAGTGTATCTAAGTATTATTCTTCACAATATGGTTACATTTACAAATAGAAAGTTTTGCACAAGTTAGGTAGGTATAAAATCAACCTATGAATGAACATTATAATTTCTACTGTTGCGCCAAGTTCGACACTATCACATTGATAAAATTAACTCATTTTACATAAAACTACATAAGTGTAAAAACTATTAATAAAGAAAAGAATAGTACAATTGTGATATTAGAAGTACACACTACTCTCAAACTAGTTAACTCGGTATGTTGGTATGGTAAGTTATTTCAATTATTACTATAATTTGGGATTGTATTTAATACAGAAATTTAATAAATTGTAAAGTTCATGTATTTTCAATAAGAATATCTTAATATCCTCTTTGGAGATTAGTCCGATTTTTATGATTCAGCGACAGAGTAAAATCTGTATATTTAAATAAAATAGAATATATGAAAACTAAAAAGATATTAGTTCTCCCTTATATATTTCACTGAACAATTTGTACTATTCTTAGCGTCACAGTTTAAATGTAAGATCTAGTATTTTTATTTCAAGGTTGAGACATTAACATGAACCGTGACTAAAATGAGGCAGTTTTGGAATGACTAGAACCATTTATTTATTTGTCCCCATAGAATTCCGTCACCTGTTCATAAAATTTAAGTAAATGTAATTAATTCTTTTTTAATTATAATATATTTTATACTTTAAAACTAATATGGCTATATATGAATTTTTTAGGAGACACTATTCTTTACGCCTGAACTAATCCCAGACTTAAAAATAAAAAAAGACAGAAATTGACTTTTAAAGTTGATTAACCATCCTTTTTATACGGTGTATTTCGCAGAGTAGGTACAACAGGGCACGATAACTATGTAGACACACGTTTACCCAAACGAGTGTCGATTTCGCGCGACACTTGCATAGTTGTTTTTTAGTTATCAGTGTTGTAGATGTTCCTATCATTGAAAATATTTATTATGCAAAATTACATTCGTGTCTGTAAAGAATCATAATAAGCCAGTTCTTCATCAGTGATTGAGGGGCGGAATGTTTCAACTCCTTCCTTTAGTTCCGGGTCGCCGATGATCACCGAGTCTGTGCTCAGTTCACTCTCTTTTATTAATCCTAGAAAAAAGTAAAAATCTTATCAGTAAGATAACTTATAGTAGACGTACGAAAGAAAAATGAGCTAGATTCTTGCGGTCCTGGAATAAAAAAATAATTATTCAAGTGGGTATTTAAATTGATATATATTAAGATTTTGAATAAAAAATATATCTATTTCTATTTTATATCAAGAAAGTGCATACATTATATTATTACTAGCTATTCGCCCTGGCTTAGGACGGGTGTACATGTATTATATATATAAACCTTCCTCTTCAATCCTCTATCTATTAAAATAAAACTGCTTCAAAATCCGTAGTTTTAAAGATTTAAGCGTACATAGGGACCGACAGCGAGAACAGCTTTATTTTATACTATGTAGTAATGATGATGATGATGAGCAACCGGTTATTAGTATAAATAATGTCTATTACACACGAAAGTAAATAAAAAAAAACATATTAATTACCATCGCGTAGATCTCGTAGTAATGTGCGAACGGCGGCAGCTCGCGCGGTGCTGACCACCCGCAGCAGGTCGGCGCCCGTGCACCGCTCTGGTAAGGATGCAGCCACGCTCCCCAACTGCACCTCCGGTCGCACATTGTGACTGCCGAAGACCATTCTCATGTATATCAAAGCTAGCGAGTATGTTTAATAATAATTAAGTTTTATTTATAAGTTCCTTCATGAGGGATTGTCTTCAAATAAAAAAAAATGTTAAGTTAGGTTAGGCACTTTTTTTTACTGAGTTAACAACAGATTTTGGATACAGGCAAATTTATTGATCATGCATATTTACTGAGCAAAGCATATTACACACTAAATGATTACTTGAATGACGAGCGTGCATAACAATAGTTGTTCATGCACGGGATTTTCATTTAATGTATCTAACATTAATTGAATGAATTTGAGTGGTATTACTGTGGCCACATGATAACTTGTAATTCGTAGTTCTGAATACATAAAATTATGTATGAATGTTGAATAATACTTATATAAATAATATCAATAAATATACCTTCTGCACAGTGCTTTTAAAACGGAGGTTTTTTCAGTAACGCCGTTATAAGGTGCCACATAAACGAGTTTATCGAGGCGGCCGGGTCGCAGTAGCGATTGTTCCAGCAGGTCGGGCCTGTTTGTAGCGCCCATTATGAACACGAAACTAGAGCTATCGGCGTCTGTAAGTAAAATACGCATTTTATATTATATTTAAAAAAATATCTTTGTTTTCGTTCGATTGCTCTGACAGTATAAATATTTCTATTCATGAGTATGATGGTTGGTATTTTATATGTATATTATGAATTACAAATAAAATATCTCTGCATTTCTGTTAATTATTTTGTTTGTTGTAATTATTCTGCTAAGTTACGAGGACTATGTGTGTGAATTGTCCTGAGATATTATTATTATATTAATTTATACATATATTTTGAGAATCAGAACATTTCAGAATACTAGGAGTCAATTTTGTGATTTCCCTATATAGATGGGATTTATTACAGTTGTTAACCACGAACTATACCTTCTCCGCTGGCGACGCCGTCAATTTCCGCGAGCAGTTGACTGACAACACGGTCACTTGCTCCGCCTGAGTCGCCGGCAGCGCCACGTCGAGGGGCCAGCGCATCTAACTCGTCCAAGAAAACTATGCATGGCGATGATGCGCGCGCTGATTCAAATACTGTAAAAAATTATGTGATCAATACTGTTAGAAAGTGGATATCACAAACATAGGGAATGAGTGGAAGTACACAATTCAAATGTAGTCAGTACTAACACTTGTTGTATTAAATTTTAAATTCAAGCTAAGTAATTACCTGTAGCAGTGGCACTCAATGAGGAAGTAGCCATTATTATTGCTAAAAGTTGCATATAGATGGCGTGATTGGTATCGATGGAATTCTTCATAGTTTTGCAAACGTTTTAAAAAACAAAACTGTGTTTTCAAAAATGTTTAATCAATTTTTAAAAAGTTATATATACATGTTAAAATGAAATAATGCGTTTAGAAAAGTAATTTTCATATATTTACTCATTTTGTTATTTTCCAGTACTTAATTACACTTTAATCAGTGCTAATATGGGGCTCAATGTTTTCAAAATGCTTTCATAGATGGCATTGTCGTCATTTGTATCGGCCTAATTAAATGTCTTTTTTAAATTTTCCAATAATAAGCACTTAATATATTATTATTGTAAATTAAACATATAATTTTTTTTTAAGTAAATTAAAAATAGCCGAACAAGCAAGTAATACTATTTCCAATAATACTTATGTATGAAGTGTTGTCATATTAAAAATAAATACATGTATTATCGATTTTTTTTAATAATCGATAACAGGATTTTATTACAGCGCATTATTCGATGATGCTTTTAATGAGTCGTTGTGAACAGTAAATTTTCATTATTTCAAAGAACGGAATATAGTAGTACATTATTAGTGTCGTTGGTTATTTACATTTGTACTGAATAATCGATTACATAATAATTTAAAATATCGAGTACGAATCGTAGCTGTCTTCGAATACTGGCAACTGGTAAGATTAAAATAGTATTTAAAAAAAAGAGAGAAATCGACCCTAACTCGAATACCATAAAGTTGGTTTTCCTTTCTCATTAATATATCATAGCAGTTTGTTTTTAACTTGCGTATGACTCTGTGGTATGATGTTTAACGTGTATTGTTATTATACGGTGCATACATTTCAAAAATTATATTTTAATGTAGGTACATACATTTCATACATGTCAAAAATTATCTTTTAATGTAGGTACATACATTTCTATCATACATTTCATACATTTCAAAAATGAACTTTTTATGTAGGTACATACATTTCTTTCATACATCTCATACATTTAAAAAATTATATTTTAATGTAGGTACATACATTTCATACATGTCAAAAATTATCTTCTAATGTAGGTACATACATACATTTCTTTCATACATCTCATACATTTAAAAAATTATATTTTAATGTAGGTACATACATTTCATACATGTCAAAAATTATCTTTTAATGTAGGTACATACATTTCTTTCATACATTTCATACATTTCATACATTTCAAAAATGAACTTTTTATGTAGGTACATACATTTCATACATGTCAAAAATTATCTTCTAATGTAGGTACGTACATTTCTTTCATACATTTCATAAATTTCAAAAATGAACTTTTTATGTAGGTACATACATTTCTTTCATACATCTCATACATTTCAAAAATTATCTTTTAATGTAGGTACATACATTTCATACATTTCAAAAAGTATCTTTTAATGTAGGTACATAACACCCCATGTCAGACCCCTTGTATTTGGAAGAAACTTAAAAATAATGCCAAAAATATTAGATGAATATATTTTTAATACGAATATTGTTTTATTTTTGTTCATCAACTTTATCCCTCACTAACAATACTAGTAGTACATACATAACCTGGTTTATACCGCTAAAGATATTGAAAGATATACGAGTAATTCAGAATGTTATCAAGTTCAAAATAAGCACACATTACTTGCTTAGATAACAGAGTAATATTACTCGTAATAAAAACATTTGTAACACCCATATGTATACTACGTATGTATAGTAAGTACTTACGCTGCGGCGCCGTGAGACTCGTCTACCTCATCTACTAACCAATAGGAGCGCGCCTCTCGTGTTTCCAGAAAGTTCGCGACTAACGGACGATATAGTAGTAAGGCAATGAGTGTCCCAGTGACATCATTATAATATTTTCTCGTTAAATTTTATTGTAATATACACAATTTCGCACTAAATAACGTGTTACCCCGTTACACATTTCTAATAATGAAAAACCTAGACCAACCCTGTTAACTTAATCTTACAAGATCTGACTTTAAAAATTACGATATCCTCATATAGCCTTTCATTTCCCCTTTCAATACTTTTTCGCATTAAAAAGTAGCCTTTCTCAAGGTCTACATTATCTGTCTACCAAATTTCAATTAAATCAGTTCAGTAGTTTTGGCGTGAAAGCGAGACAAACAGACAGACTGAGTTACTTTAGCATTTATAATATTTGTAAGAATATCGCTATTAAAAATAGGGGTTGGTGAAAGACGGGTGAAAATTTAGGCGTGTATGTATTTTCAATGTAACATTATAAATAAATAAAAAATTGTCCATAATACAAAAAAATATTTTTTCGGGGTAGGCCACCCCTATGACTTAGGGGTATAAAAAATAGATAACAACCCTACCTCAGACCTGGCAAGTATACATATCAAATTTCATCAAAATGTGGGAGAAATATGGCAACTAACACTGTGATACAAAATTTATATATAAGATATAGCGGAATTCTCATTAGGGAAAAGAGGGGTACATCGTAGAATACATGAGGTATATACCAGTAAATTAATTGTAGCTAAAACCAGTCTCTTACACATAACGATTGAAATAAAAAATCATATAGCCCGATTTTGATACGTACGAGTATAAAAGTATCAAAATCGGGCTATACGTATAGCGCAGACGCGTTACAACATATCAAAAAAATAGGCATGGAATGTAAAATAAACCATAACATAATAGGTATATACATTGGCACATAAGCCATATCTGCAGAGTGTCGGCTAACGATATTATACCTACACATTTACATTGAATCTTGAATCGTCCCTAATGAGGTACACGATACAGTTACCTACATATCTATTATATACATATCTTTGCAAAACAGATGTCATGTAGACTGAATTGACTGCCATCTATTTTCATGCTTTGTTACTAAGCACCCACTAGTAATCCGAACTGCTTCAGATCTAGCGACATCTAGCGGCTACGGTGGCGAAATAAAATAGCCCGAAGAATAGCCCGAGTTAGGAAGGAACCATTTTCTTGTATGGGATGGGGTATCTGTATGTAATATTATGTTATCTGTGCCTGTAGTATATATTAGGTGATTTACAAATGCTTCTAGCTCTTGGTTGGTAAATTCAGTCTGTTTAACAACAAGTACCTACAGTTTACCAGTAAAAATATGAGATATAAACAGACATTTTTAGATCTCTAAAAAATAGCAACTTTCTTTGTTTGTACATTTTGTACAAATGTAAAATATGCACCTAAAAATACTTCATAAGATCGATTTAATTTTACCTTTTCTAACATTTTCTTCCGACTGTCCGATGTACATGTTCAATAACTCAGGACCTTTCACGCTGAGGAAACTAACATTTAATTCTGTGCTGACTGCTTTGGCTACTAATGTTTTGCCACATCCTGGTGGCCCATATAATAATATACCTGTAATCACATAAACTTATTAAACTCTTTCAATATTCTAATAAAAAAAATATATAGGTACAACTAGCGTAATTGTTATAGATAATAATTAGGCCCATGATACAGTTTACCATCAAATGAAAAGTCATTACAATCCTTACAATTATTTATAGTTGTTAAAGGGTAACAAACAGAGTATTTTTTTAGGATAACATAATAATTTATATTTAATTATATCAAGATGTTCTAATAATTTGTATTGAGCATGTATCAAGATGTAAATATAATAATAACTATTTTATATAGGTTCTTAATATCCACTAATGACATAATATTTAACGTAAAGACAGATAGGTCAGTATAAACCTGTCCCTTAAAAATATTATTATTAATACAGAAGAACATTTTACCTGATCTTTTAAGAGTTGAACTCTTGAACAAATGTGGGTATTTGATGGGAAACTCTATTGTCTTTAAAAGTTCTCTTTTCAAGTTTTCAAGGCCACCTATGTCTTCCCAATAAACCTTTGGAATCTTAGGTGCATCCAATTGTTGACTTTGTAAACTTCTTATTGAATCTAATAAAATAAATAATAATATATACAGCATTAATAAAGGATTTCATGCCATGTTATTATATAATTAATACAACTTTCAAACACAATACATATATAATATGAAGATATTCAGTTACTGTCAGTGATGCTTATTGTAGTATTGTTATTCCCCTAGTAATATAAAGCAAATGATTTACACTGTATGAATGTCCATCATCATTAATTATCCTTTCATTGAAGACGTGTTTGTGAGTGTTTTGTCATATTAGTTAAGTGTATTAAAGAGTCTCATGGAAAAATCAATATCACCTGAATTAAAATTAAAATTCCATAATTTATAATATTACATGTCAAATGTCAAAAAATACCTAATGCTGAATTAAAATCCTCTTCTCGTACAAGATGCAGATCAGGATCTGTTGGTAATTGATCATAAATATTATGTTGCTTTAAATATGATTCTCTAATAGCAAAGTGCACTAATGTATCAATATCTCCATATCGAAATGTTTCTGTTTTAGCTGCAACTCTTTGTAAGACATCTTCTGCATTTTTACTTATAGACACTTCCATATCTTCAATATTCATCAATGTTTCATCGTTTGATTTTTGTTCTTCTCCATTTATGTTTAATTGCATAGTTGATGTAAACCATTGTAACATTTCATGTCTTTGTTGTGCATTCAGTTTTGGTATGTGGAATTTTTCAAGGAATATCCTTAATATATTTGGTTTTAGATCTGTTCTTTCAGTAACAGCTACAAAAATAATAGGGTGTTTTGTATAATTCAAATACAAATCAGTAAGTATGTTCATGAAATATTCTATAATTCTACAGTCTTCATTGTTTTCAGGATCTACTGCAAATACCTGTAATTAAATATTTCTGATCACAGACAATATTTTTGTCAAATAAATTCTTGAAAATTACTAAATATATTAAATCAATAGATTAAGTCTGGTACATATCCAGGATCTAGGCTCTTCAAAAGTTTGTGTATAATATATTTTAACACATACAATTGTTAGAGGGTGGAGAAGCTGCCTTCCCCCTTTACGCTCAATATGCAATGGTTAGTCCATTAGTTAGTTAAGTTAGTTGTTTGTTAGTTATCATTAATAAAAATATAATAGATTGTAGATTATAACCTCAAAATTGTCCAATAGAATTAAAGCAGGTGCAGCAGCTTTCCCTTTTTGTATTGTAGCATTAATTTTGCTTTCTGTCTGCTTAGCTGTTGAGCTCTGAAGTACATTGCAGTCTATCTGTAGACAGTTCATGCCTATATAAAAACAATGTAAATAAATTATTACCTTATAATTTATATGACTGTATAATTTATGTAAGACCATTAATATGTTAACTAACCATTATATTTTGCTAGTGTTTTAATAAGTAAGTGTCTTCCTGAACCAATAGAACCCGTAAGAAGCAGTATTGGGATTATGGGAGTTGTCATAACAGATGATATACTATCTGTAAAAAAAGAACATTGACATGAAAATAAATAGTATATGATAATGCCACAACAAAAATCTACATATAAGGTAACATTTACTGTATATGGCAAAACTAGATAGTTTTAATTGCAAATATGTAGGTTTCATATGAATAACAATTTCATAAATAGGGATTGAAAAATGTATAGGAGTATATAGACTTTAATGCCTAACATGGTACATAGACTATTGGATGCATAAATGGTGACCATTGCCAATAGTCTTCAACAGTATAACTCTAATATTATGTTTCAATCTGTAATTTCAAATCTATACAACAATATTTATTACAATTAGCAGAATATTAATAATGCATTGTATTTTTAAATAAACTAAAGTAATACTGTACTCATATCTTCAGTCAGGAAGGGACTGATAGCTTCTTGTATTTGTTCAAAACTTTGCCTCAAACCAGTAGGACATAATTTTAATATATGCACATTCTTCTCAGTCTCTGAAATTCTAAAATATTCATCTTTAGGTTTCAGAGTGTGTACATTTTCACCCAAAGTTAGTTGAGTAACTCCTTTTATCACAAAAAAGGTTTGTATTAAATGTTTTTGTACACTGACACCAGTTTTATTTGCTTCAGAAGTATCACCACTCACTTTTCTACATTTGAAATAAAGTTTTCCAGTTGATTCCACTAAATCTAAATATTTATGATGATATTTAGTTGTAATTTTTGGTGTTAGGTCTATACTAAACAGGTCATTTACACTCATTGCCTTTGGAACTTCAAAGTGATTGTTTAGAACCTCTTTTATGAAGTCATTTTCTAGGTCATATTCATTTACAATAAGGCTCACTTCAGCTGTAGCTGCTATTTTAGGTGAAGTGTCAAGAGAGGGTACAGGATGGAAAGTAATTTCAATATTATCACAATTACTCAAATCATATATTGATGCAACATTTTGATACTCATTTTCTGTTGTGAAAGCAACATTCTCAGCTACAAATTTTGAACCAACAACAGGTATTATTCTGATATTGTCTAGGTTAGCTTTTATATCATCTGTCCACAGCTTCTCACGCATTTCAGAAGTTAAAAAACTAAAGTTATGTTTACTGTTGGTACTTTTTTGTTTCTCACTATGTGCATTTTTACAATCAGGGCTTAATTTCAATGCCAGCCATAATAACCCATTATCCATATAGAATAGATTTTCACTACAAAGCTGAATATATTGTTCCTTTGAAATTATGATACATTTGTCTAGAAGAACATGCAGGTTATCTTCAAGACGGTCTTTTAAGAGAGTTCTTTGGACATAAGTAGGCACAGCTTTTAGTTGGAATTTGTCCATGATGGAGTCAGTTAATCTTTTGTGGTGATGAATTCTGTACTTTATTGCCAGAAAGACTAGAAAAGTGGAGCTGTTGAACTTTGGATAGACAAGTTTCAAACAAAATTTTATCACCCATAGTTTCACAGAAGTATGTTCATTCATAGTAAATTAAAAACTTTAAGACAGTTATTAAATTATTAGAAAACAAAAACATATATTGCACTGTATGTTTCGCACAAGAATAAAAAATATATATTGGCACTTTATTTTGAATCAGTAATTTTCTTAGTACCTCTTAATTTTCTAATATTTTGATTAATCATTGACAAGTTTGTCATGTCAACGTCAAATTATTTACCAATGACAAGCTCAGTTTTTTTTCTTTTTCTGGCTTGGCACGTTGGTGCATTTGCCAAAAACAAAATTAAGGAAATTTGTTTACGAATTAAATAAATTTAGGATACGGAATTTGGTATAGGATCAAAAGGGTCCATTGGTAGTATTTTTAATAGATTTTAACAAAAGTATACTCGGAGTGTAGAATATACGTCTACAGTAAGGAATATATTACATTATCAAACATTTTGTTCATATGAACGGTACGTTTTATTATTTGTTCTTCATTCCCTACGTATTATTTAGTATTTTCTGAGTATTTTAGTCACTCGCACTAATGACTAGTGGCAAATCATAGAATACCTACATTTAGTAAATGAGCCCTCCTTCGTCCCGTGTAATAAATATAATTGACATAGGGGTGAATCTGCCATCAGCCACGGTATACATAGAAGCTACGTATGTCGAGTTCACTAGTGAGTATAGTCCAAGCAAAGTAATAAAATCCTATATATATTTTGTTGTTTATATGGTAAAAAATTGCTAGTACAAATTCAGAACCAATAACCGAAACATGTATTTAACATGGGCTTCTTTTAACAATATACGAATGCTATTGATGGCTTGTATGCCTGTTGTAATTTTTTATTTGATATGGTTGGTCAATACTTCTGAAGGCATACGAAGTGAAGAAGGGGCGCTGTTAGATCTTGTGTGTTGGCCAGATGGAAATGCTATTCCTGTAATTATAGCGTGTGGATCTGTTATTGCTGTCGTCATAGAGGCAAGTTATGTGATTTTTTTTAAATTAGATTTTGTAATTGATAATTATGTAGATTCCATAACTAGATGTGGCTGGGAGGTAAGGAATGTGGTGACCTTCAAGCATACGGTGCGCCTGATGGTAGTGTAATACCATAGCATAGGGCGGAAGGGGATTGTTAGTACCTAATCTACACTAATGACCCCATTACTATCAATGTATCTCCATGTCAGGTTGACCTCCATGCGGTCTGCCCTGGAAAACATCGTGGTAAATTTGCCTTTTGCCAACATAGACTAACCAATCTGACTTCATGCTCATTTTCTCATCCTTCACTGGTGTCCCGCCAGCGTTAACCGTTAGCACAGGTGGGTGTATCATTCCATTATCATCCATAAAAAATACCATAGCATACATATATGTATATTAATTAAAGTAAAGTAATTACATTAAATATAAGAATTACTAAATAGCACATAATTGCAATATTAATGTCTGCCATAATAATGTATGGTCGTGTATTTCCGACTTTAGATCCTTAGATCCATATGACATAGGGAGAGTGATTATTATAATAAGGAGTACTGGTCCAATGGTTTGATCAGTCGTCCACAACACGGTTCCCTCTGGAAATCATCTAACATAATTCGTGGTGAATTGGCAACGATGTGCTAGCTGATCTGATGTCGGCATCACTCACAGAATAAAGAACTTTTTGTTCTGTGTACTCATCTTTCACAGATATCTGGTCAACATACACTTACCATTGATTATCAGGCGGGAGTCCATTATCATATAAAAAAATAAAGTTAGGTACTATCGAGTATTCTTTATTTTTGTAGCTATACGGATTGTATCAACTATTTAGAGCCGGATTACCCAAGAAGGAATTTAATGTAACCAATGGCCTGTATTATTATATATGGGCATTGATTATAATGATCATTGTATTTCTCGCCATTATGTTTTATTCAGGACTTCAGTCAACTATTATCAGAGGTACTTGGAAAAGTGTAGTAAATTATTATATCTATGTTCATGGCTGGAAAGGTAGAGAGAACCAAGGGTCCTAAATTTCTATCACTACTGTTTTCAATAAATAAATAAGCTAAGGTATTAAAGTAATTTAAGTACCTATACCTTCCGGGCGGAAAACTTAATTCCGTCAAAAGAAACCAGTCATAATCAGTTAGCGAAGTGATTTATAGCAAAATATAAGTGGAGTAGCTCAATATAACCTACTTAGCTATCAATTTATAATTATATTAAGTAGATATATACGTTACGTAATTAATTATAGAAACATACATATTTTACAATCTGAGTTAATAACAATAATGCTCTTTATGATGCATAAAAATATTTACATAAGTAAAACTTCATATAAAAATATGCTATTAAAAGGCGGCCTCATCGCTCAAATCAACCTCTTACATGATGACTTAATGTGCTTATTTTAGATAAAAGATTTATCATCTTTTCAAATCTTTAGGTCTGAAAAGATAACAAACAGAAAGATAGATTCACTTTAAAGTTTATAAAAATCCATCATCTAAGTACCCAGTAGTAGAATATTGAATTTTCACGCGCTCTGTTCACATTTCTACCTTTCGTTTTACTCAGCAATAAATTATGTATTTACAGCCAAAATAAAAGGAGGTATAACCAAAGCAATGCTTCGCTACGCCAGTCACTTGCCTTCCAAGGTGGCTATAGATCGCTTACAGACGAGGTTCCATTGTTGTGGCCGCGTGAGCTTCCAGGAGTGGTTTTATATACCTTGGTACACAACTGGGGAACTTGTCGACGCGAATACATTGTAAGTACATATTGATTAATATGATTTAATTATCAAAATTACAGTCTGGAGGCTTAAGATGTTATGAATCCCTGTAATACCTACGAACCTGTAGTAACTTATTAATTTTGTGTATCTACGTAATATCATTACTAGCTCACCCGGCAAACTTTTTCCCATATAAATTAAATGATTAATCATTTAATTTATATCGCTATAAAAATCAGAGGTTGTTGGTAGAATGGTGAATATTTAGGAGTGTATGTAATTTTCATGTCACGTCATGAAAAAAAATATTTAAAAGTTTTGGGGTGGGCCACCCTTATTACTTAGGAGGAAAAAAAAATAGATAAAAAATTACATAATATTTATTCAAATAACGACGATTTATTTAATAATCATTCGCTCCGTACGTATTCTTTTTATTAAGTTTATATAGTAAATACTTATTGCAGTGTATCCAGTAGTAAATTCGTGGCCGACAACGTACCTTACAGTTGCTGTTCAATGGATGTGTTACAGCCTTGCATACATCACAGGATTACTCAAGTTGGAAATATTTATAAGTATAATCCTTCTGTACGTTTATTGACATCGGCAATAGTACGTAAGTCCTCTAAGTGAACGAGGAAAGGTAGTAAATTTCTACAAGAGTTTCTATTACCTATGTATGTCAGTAAGGTAGCAGTAATAGCTCCTAATAGTAGCAATCAGACGCAGCACGTTCAACGACAAGGATACATAATGAGAAATTTAATGCGATATGGACAGGTACACAACAAGCACTAAATTCTCTTAACTTTATGAAAAAAAAAAATTCAAAAATAATGATGTGTGTTGTATTAATTAATGAATGATAAAAGATGTTTTGTTTAAGTTTTAAAAATTAATCCTTATATTCAAAATCCACTTAAACTTAGAAATCGGAACACTGTCAACAGTGTTCTGATTTCTAATTTTTTTTATTGCCTAATTTGTTCCTTACGATGAACACTGATTTTATAAAATTAACTTCGCAGAAACAACTAACAATATGGGGGGCTGGTTGTGAAGAAAAACTAATCAGCGAAATGATGTCAGTCTCATGGCGGTTTAATGCGGTTATGGCTTTAATAATAATAGCTATGGTAATTCATAAATGATATATAGCAACGTATTTGCTAAATTTGTTTTTAATAAATTCCTAATAGGAGGATGTGCTCTACTACTACACTTTTATGTTTGTCGAGTCAGACCTAGTTGATCGTGTAATACTTTTGCAATGATTTATAATTGTCAAATAAAACACAATATTGTGTTTTATTTGACAATAAACAGTTTTGTTTGTCTCCGACATTCAATTGATACGTTAACCTTTGCTAATTAGTGCTCATTACTTAACGCTATTGTTGTCTAATGAGCCCTATACTATCTTCGCAAAGTCTATTTTTTTATACTACTATAGTGGCAATCAAGCATACGGCCCATCTGATGGTAAATTGTTACCGTAGCCTATGGACGCTTCCATGAAACACCAGTTGCCTAAATCTAGCCTGATCAAAAAATGTCTCGAAAAGATTTACTTGCTTATCATCCACATGTTTATTGTCAAAACGGGGCCTGGGGTTTATTAATAATATATTTATGTGTATGTAAGGGATCTGCTGAAGCTACGTAATATATGCACGTAACCTTTATAGATATTTCAAGTAATCGCTGTACGTTATCTACATACTGCATATCTAAGCGGCTTGCATGTTGATAACAAGATAACATGCAATGCTTACTTACTACGCTCTCAGACCGATACCGACTCGCAACAAAATAGCTTCATTAACAAGAAAACGTGGCGAAAGAAAAGGCTAAGAGACGCACGTACTCTGCAATGGGTGACAACTACGTATCGATCACGAAGGAAGAAGTGTATTACCTCTTCCGCTTCGGACATAAATAGTTCCGATGAGTTGTTGAAACCTATATATGAATGAACACCTACTAGTATTTTACATACTAATTCAACAATAAACGATTAATTTTAATGCAACAAATTTAGTATTGGAAAACTATTATAACCTCGGAACGGACATGACAGCTATGTCTATTACGTCAATGATCCAAGGCAACAATAGAATAATTAATTCGGATGATTTCGTTTTTTAAATTAATATGGAACTTTTAACACTTGCCAGTATCTGTGCACGGGACCGGATTTAGATTTCATTACAGAGTAACTGCCTAAGGTTGCGCGTACTAGATATTAAAAATAAATCATACAGAGAAAATTTTATTGCAGAATTTGTATCCTCAAACAATATTACAGAACAGAACCATATACTATCGACTAATAGAACTAGATATGTAATCATATGGATGCAGCTATTGGTTATGTAGCGTATTTTTGAATAAACAAAACCTTTGAATTTTACTCACATCCCTTTATCAATTTGAAAAGAGATTTGTATAAAAATATTCTATCAATTTTATTAATATAATATAGTATTGATAAACCTTTATTTGATAGTTTAAATTTTTAAACACGGGTGTCCCGACAAGTGTATTGTGACTCCGACATGTTTAGTCCGAACCTGTATATGCATCAAAAATGCCTTTTGTTACTATTCTAAAAATATATTCTTAACATTTAAAATGAATTACCATTTATTTGAACATTACCAAACACCTAAATCAATACAGATTATTTACATACAATACCTACCAGTAGTTCATACATTACGAATATTATTTGCGTGCGCCATTTGCAAATATATCAGTTTGTATTTTTCTTAAAGAGACTTTATTACACAATTTACATTGAGGTGAGAACTTTGCTTTTAAGTAAAGTTTATATTTTAATAATAATATTAATAGTCTATTTGCCAAATGCAAGTAACTAATAAGTTACAATCCTTACTAATATTATAAATGCGAAATTAACTCTGTCTGTCTGTCTCGTTTTCACGCTAAAATTACTGTACTGATTAAAATGAAATTTGGTACACACATAGTCTAGATCCTGAGAAAGGCTATAGGCTACTTTTTCATGCGAAAAAAGGGTTGTAAGGGGTTGAAAGATTGTATGGAAGAATCGTCGTTTCTGAAGCTAGTAGCTTGAAACTTATTTGTGAGGCTACTAATTAAATATAAATAAATATGAATACAAAGTTTTTAAAAATTTTACCCCTAAGGGGGTTAAATTAATTAGGGGATAATTATTTTTAAGGCTGTTGATTAAATATAAATAAATATGACATTCTAAGTTTGTAAAAATTTTACCCTTAGGGGGGTAAAATGAATTACAGGATGTAAGGTTTTATGCAAATTCGTCTTTTTTAATGCTAGAAACTGATTTTTGAGGCTGTTGATTAAATATATATAAATAGGCTATGAAAGTTTGTAAAATCCTTAAGGGATTAAAATAAAATAGGGGATGAAAGTTTTTAAAATCGTTATTTTTGAGACTGTTCATTAAATATAAACGAATATTACAAAATAAAATAGTGGGTTAAATGAAAGTTTTTATGTAAATTCGTCATTATTGAAGTTAGAACGATGAAACTTTTTTCATTGGCTTTTTGAGTTAGTTTATTAAATACTTTACTAATATTCTAACTGTGAAAGTAACTCTGTCTGTCTGTCTGTCTATCTGTCTCACTTACACGCCAAAACTACTGAACAGATTTAAGTGAAATTTGGTACACAATTAGTCTAGATCCTGAGAAAGCACATAGGATACTTTTGAATGCGAAAAAAGGGTTTTAAGGGGGTTGAAATGGTAGATGCAAGGTTGCATAAAGGCAACTATTGAAGTGTCGTATAAAGGTAGCTATTGACGTGTCGTATAAAGACAGTTATTGACGTGTCGTATAAAGACAGCTATTGACGTATCGTATAAAGACAGCTATTGACGTGTCGTATAAAGACAGCTATTGACGTGTCGTATAAAGACAGCTATTGACGTGTCGTATAAAGACCGCTAATGACGTGTCGTATAAAGACAGTTACTGACGTGTCGTATAAAGAAACTTACTGACGTGACGTATAAAGGCAGTTACTGACGTGTCGTATAAAGACAGTTACTGACGTGTCGTATAAAGAAACTTACTGACGTGACGTATAAAGACAGTTACTGACGTGTCGTATAAAGACAGTCATAAGGGGTGGAAACAGTTATGAAAGATTGTATGGAAGTGTCGTCATTTTTGAAGCTAAAATGATGAAACTTTTTCATTTGGCATTTATTGGATTAGGTCATTAAATATTTTTTTCATTTTTTTGTCAAGGTCACTATTTTACGCGGAGGAAATCGTGGGTACAGCTAGTATGTTATATATGGTGTAGAGATCCGTACCCCACACACATAGGTACTCTAAGGAAATGACAGGCAATGAAACCTTCGGCCTTCGATTGCTTGTTAAGTTGCTTGCTCGTGAAGTTCAGTTTAATATGAACCTACCTCAGTTGAAAATAGGATGCTTCATAATCGTTTTCCGTGGAGTATAATGAAATTATTACATTTTTTACCACACTGGGCTATCAAACATGTTATACGGCTCGTATGTATTGTCGTATGCATATATTTATACAGACATTTAACAAAAGTTGAACAAAGAATAAACCTGAATTATGTGTTGTTCTTTTTGCGACATATGCTGCCCAGGTACCATGGTGTTAGTGTCATGAAAATAGAATAGAAAATCCAAAATATACGAGTCTGCACAAGTCCGCGTATTATATACTTCTTATACTAATTATAATTCGTATCTGCATGTCTTCATCTAAAGCTCTGGGAGTGTTAGGTTACAATAAAAAAAATGTAATTAAATAGAATTATTATTATACTAATCAAAGCACCTGTTGTATGTATTATATACAACGAGAATTATCTACAATTTTTAATTACGTAATACAATTAAATATTGTAATGTGAAATAAATAGTACAATTCTAAAATTATAATTATGTTAAGACCCTTGTCGGAAGTACCTTTAATAAGTAAAAGTGTTATAGCGAAAGTCGCAAGACATTTTCTAGATTGTTGTTATGGAGGGATATCATAATGTCTATTATTATGAACTAAACATAATATATATTAAAGAAAAAATAACTGGAGCTTAAATGAAACTTTGTAACAATATAATAGTAACTATATTATGAAATATAGCTGAATATTCCATTACTTAATATATTGTTGACACTTGAAACGCAGCTGTGCAAATGAATGTAGGAAGACTGCATGAATCGAAATGCTTAATTTTAATAAAACAATGATGTGTTCAAAACTAACCTATGAATATTTGAGTTGCCGTATTAGGGTCTTGACATAGAAACTGAGCATGATTAGTAAGTATAATTACAAAATTATTTATCCTCTGTGAATTTGTGTATCTTTTCCGGTTCAGCAAGCTCCTTCAGGCGGTGGAGGTTGTTCCACCACAGTTTGAGTCTGTGTCGACGGACCATATTGAACCATGGTGTTATTGGGCCCTCTAACGTTGGTAAAAACCTGCAAATAAAATAGTAATCAATGTACTACGTGTAATAATTACATTTGAATTTTTTGCAGTTTGGAGAAAATTCGGGAATATACGATATATAAAGTAGAAATATTATATGTAGTATGTAATACTGCATAGTTGTAATCAATGCTACAAAAACATTAAAGAATATCCACTGAATCGTTTCTATGCAACTTTTCAGCACGCAAATTCATGTGGGGTGAGTTTCAAAACAGCAATTTTAATTTCATACGATGTCAAATCTGATATTGGATTGATCGATTGGAGGGAGGATAGCTAAAATCGAAGAGTCTAAAATCCCAATTTGTATAAATAAATTGTATCATACTCACGCATTGAATTCACTTTTGGGTACGAAGCAATATTCGGAAATTTCATCAGCATTGGGTTTTATTTTAACATCATTTTGGAAGAACAACACGTAGTCGATTTCATGTTCACCCCAGACACCGTCGCCGGGGTCGTGGTAGTGAATACGAGTCAGGTACGTGAACAACTCAGGGTCCATCTAAAAATCAAAAACTATATCTCTATACACAGTACAGCAATATAGAAAAAAGTGCTGAAGATTTTGGGAAACTATAGTGTGTTCTTTATAACTAAGAAATTAATAAAATACATTCAGGTTCCAAATAATACATTATATTCTTAGTTAAGTAATTAAATTTGTGTACTGTATAAAATTTCAACACCATTTAAGGATGTCTATTACTACTGATATTTTATAAAGTTCCTATCCATACTAGTATTAAATATGCGAAATATCTGTGTGTCTGTTGGTATCTATTCATGAGTAACCGGCTGAATGGATCTTAAAGAAATTTGAAGTGAAGACATGAAATAATCTTATTCATTAAAATTAACTTGAGATAAAATGCTATTGTCTATGTGATTGATGATCAAAATCTATCTTTATTGACGTTGCAAATGTGAGTTGGTATGTTTGTTAGCTCTTGGCAAACAGCTAAACTAGCAACGATAAAACTTTACATAGGTGTAGTATTACGCAATGGAGAAAAAAATGGACTTATTATAGTAGTGTTTCAAGTTTAAAAAACAATGAAAGTCAAGGCTGAAAGAAAAACGACAAGTGAATATTCAATAAATATTATATTTAGAAATATTGCATATAACGAAAAACTACCTGATCTAAAGGTATACCCAACTCGTGGTTGAGTCGCCGACGCGCAGCTGTTATAATGTCTTCTGGCTTATTATCAATGTATAATGGATGACTACAGCACGCATTGGAATAATAGTCTGGGTAAGTCACCTGTTCAAACAAAAGTGTTTCACTAATAATACAAATGGAATTTTTTGTATAATTATCATGATAAATTTGCTAATTGCTACTGAAGCTATGGATGATTTTTGATTTAAATGGTTTACTTTCTTTTTATGCTTGATAATAGAATGGTAGCATCTGCCTTCGCTAATGGCATACCCTGGTGGATGATAAGATGAGTCTGAAGTCAGCTCAGTTAACCATCATGGTGAATTCGTATTGTATTGCTAAAGAGCACTGCTTGAGACCCGTACCCGGCGGTCCATAAAGGACCAGCGGACGACTTGTACAAGGTGAATTCATAATTAATGAACTATGATGGTTTTCAGGATAAATCACTGTTGAGCTCATTTGGAACATGGTTAACAATGGGACCAGTATTCTTCATTATTTACTGGCATGATAGGCCCAGGCTAGATTTGTCAATTACCGAAATTTATTTGTATACAATCTTAAATGATATTTGATTAGTTTGTCAACAGACAAAAGTTTAGGTTCTTTTATTGCGATAATTGACCCTTAAAAGCTATAACAGATTAGCAGAAAGAGCAGACTCATGGCTCCCTCTTAGTTGTTGACCATTTTGTTTCGATTAATACCTTTTTTAATAATGGCAATTGTAATAGTTCATTATTTGAGACAAATGATGATGATGATTATTTATTATTTTATTGACTTGGTTTTCAAATTTGAGTCATGTTGGATACATTATCCTTTTGTATAATTAAAAACTTGAGTATAATTGAAACTGGGTTTATCCTGGATGCTATTGTAAACTCAATTGATAAAATTCTACTTTATTGTGATTATTTTGGACTAATGGTGTATCTAAAAATATCCTATATTAAAAGATTCGTTTTTATTAACTTATAACTACTGAGCCACAGTAACATATGGCTTCATCAGATAGTAATTATGTGTTTATACAAATATTTACCTTCTGACTAGCTCTTCTTTGCAGCAACATATCTCCTCTTTTGTTAAAAAGAAAAACACTGAATGCTCGGTGCAGCAGCACCTTGCCATCCGGGGCAACTTTGTGACAATCTCTCTTACTGGCAGTACCAATGAAATTATCTTTCTCATCTACTAGTAGACAAATGTCTCTATCTAAATGTTCTGCCTAAAATGACAATAATAATATGTTTATTTTTATAATTGGAATTACAGAATTTGGCATAGCTCTGTCTCAATGTAAGTTATGCACAGAATATACTGGGAGAGGTCATAGTAAGTATAGATAAAATATTATTTGAAAAATTTGAACATATTACATACTTAATAGTAAAAACTACATTAACTTCAACATGTTTTAGGAACTCATTTGGGAATAAAGTTAAACCTTGACATTTACATTTACATTTTAAGCCAACAAAAATTGTCTGTACATTTAATATTTAGGTATTAGAAAAAGAAACTTATAAAGTATACATTTAAGGACACCTGAAAAATCAAGTGGAATACATAATTTTCCGATCTCCTTGGTGGAAATTGTTAAGATCACTTTCAACCTATTTCTTTATAAAGCACTATATTTCTTTTATGTGCATACGCACATAAAAGAATGTATATCCTCATAGTCACAATATCTTAAATCTCGTGCGGTTAGTGGCATAAGCATTAGAATTTGAAATTACTTACTATAATAAAGCTGAAAGTAAGGAACATAAGGAAGGGAACACTGGTACATGAGAGTTGTATAATCATATCATACCAGTGTCAAAGCTTCAATTAACTTATTAAATAGTATGAAATTACATACCAACATATGAGTGATACCACTCATATGCATGTCACATTATAATGCAATGCCCATAATACTGTTCATGTACATACAATCAGCTTGTTTGCCATTCTAAATTTCTATTGCGCACCTGAATGGGATCAACTCCATCTTTGTCTTTCTCCTCAGCTTGTGGTTTCACTGGTTCTGTTGCCAAACATCTTGTTTCTACGCGTATAGTACTCCATACAGATCTTGCAAGTCTCCGGACCAACATCTTTTAGAGAAAAAATATATTTAAAGTTAATATCGACTTACTATTTACATCACAATTAATATAATCACTAACCACACAGGTTAGTGATTATATTAATTTAAATTAAGAATTTAGCTAAAATGTAACTGTAGAAGATTCGTATTTGATATGTGATTTGTCTGTTAATATGTGATTGTTTGTGATAAAAGGGTTTACTGAATGTTTGCAATTTAAAGAGGTGGTTTTCTAGAGACAACAGGCTATTATTTCTATGTGGTCATGTGGCTTGCTTGTCTACTATTGCAGTAAATTAGGTTTGTACCAATATTAACATGACCAGTCACTTTAATAAAAAATAATAGTTATATAAAAATATTAAAAAAAGAAAATGGTGAGAGCAGGCTGTCTATAGGGTGCGCCATATCTGCTACGCATAAGTATAGAATTGACAATATTTGATAAGGGCTTTTTTGAGAAATTAGTATGAGGACGAATATTCTTAGATAAAACAATTATTTAATGTTTAGCTTACAAGAGGAAAAACGAAAACACGCATAATTTTATATTTAAATCTTATTAATATTTTTCTTAATATTGTGTTAATCTTACAAATCATACAAGTTGAAAAATAAAAGGCATTTATGATTAGAATAAATAATACAGACTGGAATTATTTAGCTTACATTTCTAGAAGGTACGTTAATAACTCTTTGGAATCGTTTATTGATATTATTCTCTTCTATTTTCTCCGAATAATCTATAAAATGATACTAATCATTTCATAGTGAGAAATCAAATTATAAAGCAATGCAAAAAGAAATAATTAAGTAGATCAACCGTTTTGAAGTTTTACGACTTCTTGACATTGACATTATTTCCTTGAACAAAGTTGCCAGATTTAATTTTAGTCATGCTTTTTTTGTCGTGCAGAATGTAATAAGTCAGCAGTTTTCACTTAAAATAAATTACAGTGTAAACAATATTGATATTGAACTCGATTAAATACTAGTAATCTACTAAGTAATATAAAAAATATCCCTTAGTTCTTTGAGGATATTAAGAATCTAAGATTTTTTTGGGAAAATTATACTATTATATATCTATTCTTAATATTACAAGCGGGTCGGCGGTTAAAGTTTGATACCTAAATACGCCTATCGCACATTTTATTTTAACCATTAGCAACATTATTAAAAAGAAAATAAAAAATATAGATTAATGCCTGAAATTTAATCTCATCAAAGGCTATGACTATATCTTTTTGCAGCTCCTACATAATAAAATGAACGTAGGTATAACGAACATAGTGATTTTTTGCTTAATGAATGTCTTGCTGTTTGTTTAAAGAACTAAAATTAAATTTTGCTTTCTAGATAAGTCGCAAATGAAGTCTGTTGACTCATATAAGCGTATATTTCTTAATTATATTGGGTACTAGCTGTATTCGCGACTTCGTCTGTGTGGAAATTAATTTTATTTTTCTAAAATAAAAGTAGCCTAAGTTACTCCTTTAGTAGCTGATGTAACAGCTACCTGCCAAAGAAAGTCCCGTCAAAATCGGCCCAGACATTTCAGAGATTAGCCGGAATAAACAGACAGGCAGACAGACAAAAATTCTAAAAAATGTTATTTTGGCGTATGTTCCGTATTTATATTCATATGCATGTAGTAAAAAATATTTTTTATTTCAATATTACAAACACACTACAATTTTATTTATATGTATAGATTTACAAAGTTTTAGAAAACACTTGTTGTTACTAATAGGTATAAGTATTACTTTGGTATTAGAATGATTGTAACAGATTTTGTCATGGAATTTTATAATGTTATAAAATCGAATAGTTCAAAGTCAGATTAGTAACTTTATTTGTGAAATTTTGAATCCAATATTAATCATAAGGGTAGAGAATATTAGTATTGGGGAGTACAGGCGCTGTTCATTATATATTATATTGGTACATAACAGGACGACCTCCACGTAGACTTTATTGGAATTTGTTGTAGTTTATCTCTGGTAAATTCGCTTTCTGATCTAATTGCCATAACGTCATCATTATTCTATCATGACCCACTTTAGTGCTGGTATATGCACCATTATATATTTATCTATTTTAAATAAACTTGACCATTACAATATTTATGTTGCAAACTGTTGTTAGGGAAGTTACCCTCACAACAGTTTGCAACATAACATTCTATTAAAGTGAAAAGTTCAGGGGAACTTTTCACTTTAAGAGAGTAACTATAGTGGTGTCCAAGTAAACAAATATTCAAACATACTTTATCTGCCATACCAGCCAGTCTAGACATCGATTGTAAACCTCGTTCTAACAACTGTACGTATTCTGCTAAAAAAAATATAGCTGATAAAATAATATTCTTCTCTTGGGGAATCTTGAAGAAAAGATAAAGAAGTTACTGTAAAATCGATGATATACAAGTATTTGTGGATATTTGCGACTTTCTTACCTACTGTGTTTTTAAAATGTTAATGTTAGACTATTTAAACAGTCTAAATGACTACTTAATTTAATTATTATATGTTATTGGTATGTCTGTAATAGACCTACATGAATATAGATATTTTGAATTTGAATATAGTTATTATTGCGGTATTGGGGTATTGATTATAGTTATAATTGGGGTATCCCAAGAAAGGTATATACTTAGATTAATTAGGTTGCTACTTAATTAGTTGTTTTATTTATAATGTCCACCTATAATCTATTCTTGCCTTGACTGTTTACTTTCCTTACACAGGAAGTGTGTTAGACAAAAATAGATTTGTCCTATACACATGTTGCAGTTGAAGCTGCATTTTGGAACTGAAATGTTGTCTTTAATATTATTTAAAGGGAGGTAATATTTACAAAATGCCGAATGTTAAATTGGCAATAAGGGTAAGACCGTTCAGTGAAAGGTGAGAACATATCAACAGTAAAGTGTTATAGTGTGCTGTGTTGCTGTATTGTGGATAAGTGGAATAATGAATTAGCTATATATAGTAACATTTATAGTTAATTTCAGTCTTATTAGAAATACTACTTCAAGCATAAATTTAACTGTATTAATCGATCTAAATAACATAGATACTTTTATAAGAAAAATTTGAGTAGGTACCTACCTATTTACTAAAGAATACAAAATAACTAACTATGTTAATTTTATATTTATCTGCATCCATTTCATCGTTTCGTCTAATAGTCCTATATAGCATTTATTCATTAGATATGTACCAATAATGCACCCTTTTAATAGTATAGTATTTCATACTGACAAAATCTCTTTGTAATATTATTATATATACTACGGCGCGGCGCGCATGTTTTTTTTTTAATAAATGGGCTCAAAATTTATTACTTGCTATTTGATTTTATCTTTTAGATTTTGTGATTGTCCTTTTATATTTTTTTTAGTTTAGTGGAAGTTGACATGATGTAGGAGTTAAGGCCGAAGACTGCTTTTTCTCCCTCGGAACGCGAAGTCTATTCTATTTTCGGCTTATAGCTTAGAGGGCGACCGGTTGCCGGCCGCATAGGTTTAGGATACATTTTTTCGAATGATAAACAAATTTATGCTATCATGGGATTATATATGAACCATTCACTATTATACCTATCGATGCCCAAGTATTTTCTGCACCTTGGTATGACAAATACTTAAACCACGGCCTATACTATATATATACCACCTTAATTTATCTGTTTCTGATAGGAAATGATTTCATAACAAGGAATGAATTGTAATGGACAGTATACCTACTAAATATATTTTTATTTTACAGAGAACTTAGATCCGAGAAGGATCGGATGCCGGTTGTGTCAGTCGTTGACCTCCATGCAGTTACGATCACCAATATTAAAGTAATTAACTTCATATACTTTTAATAGTCTATTTAGTTTCGTCATGTCTCTCATATTTACCTATCTAAATAGCTATCTGTCTATATATTAAAATTTTGAATGAAATCGCATGCAACACCGTTATAATAACTAAGCTATAAAGCTAATAAATGCAGGTACAGTCAGCGTAACAAAGATATTAAATATATCGGCGGTGCATAATATTGTTTTGTTTAAGCAAGTAATTTATTGTAAATAATTAACAAAAGTAACTTTATTTATTGAATTCAAAATTTTAAAAATATCAATACAACGAAATATGAAATATATAGGGTACAGGATCTTCGCATTCGACTTCTGAAGAAATTGTATTGTATACCAAAAGCAACAAAATCAATATTTTTTTTATAAGTTAATGGGTTATATAATTATAGATATGAGTTTTTGACAATCCTTTATGGATAAAGCCGCCTGTGTTATTAATTTAAGGTATTGTACATAATGAACAAAAAATTGATACAATATTTATTTAGAATTTGTCATAAATTGTATGTGATTTTATTACAGGTAAGTGTTTCGGGTGCAGGCGACAGTAGGGAGAGAGTACGTCGTTACTATGCCGACTACACTTTTGACAGTGCTTGCCCCATTACCAATGCCACTTTTGCAAATCAAGAAATGGTTAGTTTTAGTCATATTGCTATTTTAAAAAGTAGACAAATATCTGCAAGTAGTAATGTGTATTACTGTTATTTTTTATGGACGGCATTCGTTATTCTGATAGTAAAATAATACTGAATTTATGAGCCTAAAGATAGGTAGATTTAGGTTAATGATAATTTATTACAACTGTAATTTACATATAACGTTGGATGTACTTGTAATAATAATAATAATATCTGTAAATATGGGTATTAGACTGATGTGGATATTTAGATTTTTTTGTAAACCCAGACAAATACAAACATTCATACTCATGAATACTATTGTTTGTACCGTGCGCGAGATCGCGGAATCGACCTCGCTACAATTGATGTAAACCGGTAGATCATCGAGGCCGTTAAAATAATGGCAAAATAAGTATTGACAATACTTTGTATGTACTACATAGTAATTAGATAGACAGGTATGAAGTGTTTTTATTCTTGTTTTAGGCTCTTACAATTATATCTATTAGTGCTGTGGTAAAAATGCGTGTAACGATTTATAGCATAGATAAGAAATTTAAAAGCGGTATTACTTTTTTAAATTTACTATTACAGTAAATGTTACTTACAGGTATTTGAAACAATTGGACGGGATGTGATAAGCAGCGTCTCAACAGGATGTTCAGTTTGCGTACTTGCTTACGGTCAGAGCGCTACAGGCAAGACACATACCATGATGGGTACCGAGAGTCAACCCGGTCTTATACCTCGGCTGTGCACTGCTCTAGCCGAACTGAAGCCTTTTGATCTTACTGTCAGGTAAAATATGGAAGATTTAAAAGATTGTACATTATTATACAATAATAGCGACAACGGCAAACGTCAATGTTTTTCTCTTTACAATAAGTGTCGTATAATGTTAGCAGATGAACTTGATAGATAGAATATTGTCTGTGACTCGGGATCAGACATACAAAAATGTATTTTTAAATTGTTCTGGCGAGTTTTCGGCACGTTCTGTATCATTGAACACTTATTAGAGTTTTCTAATGCGTTTAAGAATAAGAGCGATTTTCCAGGTTTTAAAAAGACGTTTATTTGCCCTGCAAGTCTCCAATATAGGTCTGTACACCATGTTTCATTAAATTAATTATATAGTAGCAGAATTTTACAATTTATTTAGTAACAAATATTGTGTGAACATGAGACGTTTACAGTTTTTTTTAATAATATAAAGTTGGTAATATATGTACGAGTATATAGGAAAGAAAATGTCTATAGAATCATGACGTGATGCCTACCCCAAAAGTTTTTTGGTCCTTTGACCTGGAAATATTTTATGCATTGTAATTGTGCTGGTTCAGTGCTTAAATGTGGTATGATAAGAAAAATAAAAATTTGTTTATAACTTATATACCTTAGGGTATTCTGAAAATGCTTACGCAATGTCGATGACAAAACATCGAATAGCTAGTAGTCGATTAAGATAGGTAGATAGAACAGATCTATAGAATTGTGTCGGTAGAGAGATATTAGCTACAGATAAAACACGTGATGATTACACACAAAAGGGTGCTAAACGATTGCGTGTCGCGGGGGCCTTGGACTCGGGAATAACGGCGCCACACTTTATTGCCATTCAATGTAAATCGAAAACAACCCACCAAGAATATAAAGTGTTAAAAATTAGTAGCAAAACCTTATAAACCTATTTTACGTTGCTTCAAGTTGTACCTAGATATTCTAATTTTATGTATCCACTTTTAATTGGATATTTGTATTTGAATTATACCAGAAAGAATTATGAAATACCTTTTTATTTAAAAAAATGCGGTTCATCTGATGGTAAATTAGGAGATTAATAATCTTCGTGGTCGTATTTCTTACCCATACCTTTCAGGAGTACTATGATGTAATGCCTCTGTAAAACAGTCGGATTAAAACCGATAACAATCGGTTTTCAGTCCATGGAGTCTAAAATATTAATTGATGGGCATGGTAGTCGTTTGACATCAGGTGGTAAGGCCCATCTGATGCTTGTTTGACACCATCGTAGTTTAGAAAAAGTAAATTAAGTTAAATAAAACTACCTATATCTTTTTGTCTTCTAACATCAAAACAAAAATGACAGCATCGTATTCAGAATCTCCTTTTGACCTTGTTTTGTTATAATTATGTTTTATGGAATTTTTATAACTAAACTGTAGACTACCAAATTATATAAACATTATAAAACATCAGGTGTGCTTTATCTAGCACAGAAATAAATGATAGATAGGTGTTACAATTCACTTACAGATTATTATTGTAACAGGTTTTCAATTTAATTTGACCTTGAAATACTAGATTTTGGAGAAATAACATTGTAAATTCGTTTTGCAATAAAAGTGCCTCCATATCATACATAATTAGCAATAGGAATCTACACCTATCTAAATCAGATCGGAGTAAAATAAATAAAAAGTATATTACAGTGAGGTTGCTGTGATCGAACGGTATATTGATATTATTGTAATAGGGAAAGACGGTTTTTGGAAGAAATTAGAATTTTTAATTATTTAATTTAAGGATCAATAGAAGGATTTCTGAGGAATATCTTAACGTAACTTAACTTAATTACACATCTGTTTGGGTGTGTAATTTTAAAAAATACGGACATTTCATAAAAATTACCGTAGAGTAGCATATCAAATTGTAGCTAACGATCACAATAATCATTTTGGCATATTTTTATAACGGAATATATAACAATACAGTATTTGTTGTTAATCACGACATTTCAAACCTGAAAAACATAATTACGGTGAAACACGTAGTTAGTACAGTAATCTGCAAAATTATCAAAAACTGCATAAATCATTTTGAATAGAATTTATTAAACATACATACCCATTTTCTGTACTATGAATGTTAGCTCGAGACATGTTAAAAGGCGATATCGATAGCTCCGTTAGTAAGGCTTCACTCAGGCGTTAGTTCACTCACGTCACCGCCCGCCCTATGTTGTTGACTAGACCTTTTCTGTTCGTATAATACCTTTGGGAAAAAACACATGAGTAAGTATTTAATCATTACTCTTCGTTTATTTTAATAGATTATTTGAATAGTTTTTTAAAAAAATGTGATAATAATATCAATTATTTTTATCCCCATATGAGGACTTTTATAATTCGATAGTATTTTTTGTTTACTACTCAAAGAATTTTATTTTTTTTTTAAACTTGGTTTTATTTATTATGGTTTGCATTTCATAATGTTACAATTGATAGTTAAGTTAGGTATTTTATTGAGCAGATCCATTATGGACCTTGCTGGGAACAGCAAACACGTTTTTGGTTCACTTTGGATAGTGCACGATATTTTTTTTTGTTGCGATTGGATGTTTCCATTCAACGAAAAAGGAGAGGGAGAGAAATAATAACGCGTCCTAATATTTTACATTCAATTTTTTTTACAATGTATTGAAACTCAGTTTATGTTTTTGAATGGGTTAATTTAAATTTGATAATATTTCGATTTGTTATATTATTTTAATGCTCATTTTATTTAAAAGGACTACTAACTAACTGACTTTTATGGTTCAGTTTAATAACAATTCTCCCGTCTAAACATAGTGAAAAGTATATAAAAAAAGATACTTAATAGAAGTTTAATATTGGGTAATTTTTTTTAATTTGATTGATTTCGATTGCTTTTTGATTCATGCAAATAAAAACAATTGCAAAAAATTTTTATATACTTACAAAACTTGGTTTAAAAAGAAAAAACATGTAAGATCTATATTAACATAACTCATTAAGAGTTCATATATATATTGTATGTAGAGTCTGGTCGAAATTAGAATTTTTCATAGTTGACCAAAATTGTTGAATTGCTCGATTTAGGTTTCGATTGTTTCAGCGAACAGCAAAAATGTAGCTTTCTTCTATGTTGCGTACAGAGACAATTTTTATTTAAGTTTCTTATAATGTTATATTGGAAAGTTTAGTGCCTACGAATCCACAGTAAATAGTATACTTAAAATAATTTAAATCAGTTTATACAGAACCCTCAGCATATGGAACCGCCTTGTAATTGCCGGTATTGTAGTTATAAATAAATTAAAGTTCTAAATACAAAGATTGTATTACGAAAATATAATGTGTTATCGAACTTGTCGAGACTGATGGATAGTTTTATTTCGTTTACCCCCATAAGGTGTCTGCGACGCGCGAGGCAATGGCACCCACGCCACGCTTCTGTTCCATAATAGCTTTTGTTTTTCAATGTATACAAATTGCCAACTGAACTTTGCCATCGAAGTCGAATTGAATATTTTGAACGTTGTGATATAATCAGTTTATTTCATGTTCTAGGTAATTGTATTCGGATTGTAATGAAATTAAAATTTAGTGGTTGTATGTTGTTACCCATGCCTTAGTATGTTTTATTTAAGATAATAAGTAGCGTGTCCGTCATCGCTATATAAATGATTTTCTCATCTTACATATAATAAAATAAAATTGTAGTGTCTGTTTGTAATATTGAAATATCTAACCGTTTATTACATGCACATACATATAAATACGGTACATACACCAAAATAACATTTTTATAATTTTTGTTTGCCTATCTGTTCCGGTTAATCTCTGAAATGCTGATTAAAGGAATATGGGTATATTATACGCTAAGCTGACTGATTTTAATTTATAGCCATATAAATTAAAATCGCTAAAAAAATATAACTATATTATAAAAAAATAACAATTGAAGTCCAAAAAATATAAATAAAATGTTAGGGGTGGACAATTCTAATCACCCTACGGTGCATAAAAAATTGTAGCCGATTCATAGACCTATGCATATTCAGTAGGTCTATGAAATATATTATATCATAAAAATTGGTCAAGCCGTTTCGGAGGAGTATGGTAACTAACATTATGTCACGAGAATTTTATATTTAGGGTACATATATATCTACAAGTCTATCCTGAAAAACTTAAAGACACATGCATAGGTTTAAGTTAACGAAAATACCCAAAACACACGCCTCTGTAAATATTGTTGTGTAATTAATTTTATTAATTCAACAAATCAGTAATATAACACGTTGGACTAAGGAAGTCCTTAAGTATTGGGTAGGACCTCAATATCTTTCGTCAGTAGCATTTTAATCAAGCGGCTGCGGCTAACTGTTGCGTCGCAAATTACCAAAAGAGGCAGCATTGCTGATGCATTGCTTGCTTACCCTCTTTCTAAATAAAATCAATTAGATACTACCTCCAAAACGGCCACAGATTATTCTTCTATTTATACATTCGTAGTTGTCTTTATTACTATATATGCTACATATATTCATGCAATAAATGTAAATAAATAAATTCGTAACAACAAAGCACGCACAACGATGAAACATAATTTCTGACTTTTAGTTCAAAATATCTTCGCATAACGTAACGGTATGTACGTATATATATACCTATGAAAATATTGCTATTAATTAAAATGTCGTTATAAAATCGTGACTAAAGGTTATTAGACCACAGTAGGTGTTTAATAGTGTTGACTGGATGTCGTACACAACTATATATACCTATCTTTATAAATTTCAAGGTCTATGAGACGATTCGGGAGGGGTATGCCTATATTGAACGACAGGGAAAAAATATTAATGCAAAAATCTTGACGTTCATAAGCGGCTAAAATGTCCTACTAGAATAAATGAATTTTGATTTTGAATGAAAATCTGGTTATAGTAACGGAATATAACCTATAATTAAGATTAAAAAGCAAAAAGACTTCTTAAGAGTATAAATCTTTATTAAATTAGAATTTATTATTCAAAAATAAAAGTGTGTGTAACTGTAAAATATCAGCGAAATAAGAAGTGGTTGAAATTCTATTAACTTGATTTGTCCCCCACATATTTTCTAATAATGAATAGTCTATGTAGTGACGCAACCAGGATACGAACGATCGAATTGTTTGCATTTTGATTTATTTAATTTAACTATGACACCGAGATAAAAACACAAATATTACTTATTCATCAAAATTACGTTTACATTGTTAAGTTTATAACATAAACACGTAACACCAATATATATCGTCCGTAAGAGGCTTACAAAAGAGAAAGAAGGCGCGCGACGTTGCATCACAAACAGCACCAGCTTAAAGTGGTCAATAGCATGATGCCAAGGACAAAGCCAGTCCTACTTAAGATTATGTCAGAACACATCGACGTTACAACACAACGCGTCAGGAATACTACTATTAAAATGTTTAATGTGTCGACGTTGGTAGAAAACATATTAACATTCCAATATTATATTAATATAAAATCTAAAAGCGTTAAACAGTGCCAGCTATTAAATATTATATGGCATATTACTAAAATAATTTAATTAGACTATTATCTATGCTCATCAGGAAGAATATTACATTTAAATGGTAAAATATTTTTGAAAATATTTATAGACATTAACGAGATACCGTCCACATAACAAAAGGTAAAGGTAGGTACAATAAAACAACATACATAAGATAATAATATAATATTACCAGAAGGATAATTGCTGCCATTTATATATAACAAACTAAATAACAACTAACAAGGAAAAAAAATACTTGAAGATATTCGGACATAGAGACCTAACATTGAGGTAATGCAGCTGTGAGCTGATGAGTCAGACAGATATATGTTACCTACAATAATGTACCTGTACCTATCAGAAGTACAAAGTCCATTCATATTTTTAAACGACAAGTAAAAAAATGTCTCGTCAATATTTTAATTTCATTCAGTATGACATTTTAATTTATGCTTAGTTTATTTTATCTTACTTTAAAAATTATGTACGTAGGTATATAGTTTATAATGTGTATGTAGTTAATGTAAGTGCACCTAGTTTACTATTATTTACATAAATATTAATTCATATTATACTTATTACTTATTTTTTTCTTCTTCATCATTATATGTTTGTTAGTTTTTTAGTTTTCTCATGTTTGCATATTACCTACCTGTTCCATATTTAAATCCCTTTACTTCGCCATTTTTCTCTCGCCAACAGTCTTTTCTATGTTTCTCTTTTGTTTTTTATGTTGTGTGCAGTAAAGTTAATCTAGAGATCCGCTTTAACTTCACACGGGTAGTTGAACAATATAATATACCTACATCTAAACCTTCGTCAGGTATTACTTGATTGATATGTAAAAGCTACACTTATGATTTTTGTTTCATTTTCATGACCTATATAAGTACCTAAGTCTTTTATTAAAAACCCAATTTATTTACATTGTAGTAAATAAACTGGATTAAAAAAAAGTTTCTTGTCACTTCTTCGCAATTGAATCTGTATACTTAACTGGACGATAGGGAAAAATATTAATATAAAAAAATTGGCGTTGATAAGCGGTAAAAATGTCTTGCATAAATTAATTATTCTTGATTTCATTTTGATTTTGAAAAACGTTTTCAATAGTTTCTTGGAGATATACAACGAACGAGTACACGACCTACTGGCAGGCGAGGTCGCGGTCACTTCTTGTCACTCTTTGCCACGGCGTCGGGGCAACGCGCGCAAAGATCTGCGTGTGCGGGAGCATCCGCACAGAGGACCTTATGTTCAAAGTAAGTACCAAATACACAATTTCTGGTTATACAGTTAACAATACATCGACCGATCCTGGTTCAGAAATCAAGTATCACAATACGACAGATTATAAAAAAACTTTCTTTGTTAGGTACTAACAAATATGGATGTTACTTACATTCATCTGAATAAAATTCATTATTATATACACTTCGCATTCCGATAATGGTAATACCGGCAAATCAAATTAATTTAAAGCAGATGACGCATGACGGTAGGCTCGCTCCTTTGTTTTGATTCGAATATGTTCCGCAAAATGTGGGGATATCCATTTAATACGACGTCTACAGGTCGTTACATGTATCTAACTATACATATAAATACTTAAATATATTTTTTGTACAATACATACGTAATACCTAGATAGAAAACACCCAGGAATTCACACAATCATAATCATGATTACAAATGTTTGGAATATGCGAGGAATCGAACCCGCGATTGAAACTATGTACGGCAGTGAGCTAAACATGCTGTCAAATATCGAGGCCCATGTCGTCATCTATTCTTATCCAAACTTGAATTTTGATGCTTTTTTAGCGATCATTATGATAATTGAAACGTTAAAATTTGCTGTAGATCTTCGGAGGGTTGCAGTACACGACGTCCAAACCCTACTCACATTGGTGAACGAGGGTAACCATAGGCGAAGAACAGCTGCAACTCGTCGTAATCCAACCTCGTCCAGATCGCACGCGTTGCTGGAATTAAGCACTTCCACTGCTACTCTACACCTCGCTGATCTTGCTGGAAGGTATCAAAATTTTGCATCGATATTTTTATGTAACGGCAAATAAGTTCGCCTGATGAAAAGTGGCATACATGACCAACATCACAGGCATTATGGACATCACGCCATCATGAGACGCCCTTTATCTATATCCCTCATGCCACTCCTAAGCATATTCAAAACGGAGCACGGCAGGAATTTGTACAAAGTCTGTCTCGGTAAATATTTCCCCATACTCACACTTTTGTACAAGTACATATATATTCCTCCTATTCCGAATAGATTTCGTTATTACAAGTTTGGTAAACAAACTTTGGAACAGTGATCGCTGTTCTTTTCATTACTTACAAAAGAGATTATATACCTATATATATATTTATCGAGGAGAAAGAGAGGAATCCTCATGTATGATAATGGTCTTCGCTAACGGTATATAGTGGAGATTGATAGGATAAGCTTGAGGTCAGGTCAATTAACCCATTGTGGCCAATACACCAGGAAACGAACGACGACCGACAATTTCTTCAGGGGAGATCGACCTCCACGCGGTGGAAACCATCGTGATACATTCCCGCGACCTGATGTATTATAGTACATAGCGCAGTGCACATTCCATTATTCCTAAATGGGGCCCCAAACCCAGTTATAATCGTGGCGCGGCTTGGTTTTGTAATGATTCAACTGCGTTTATAAGTGTGTACACTCATTAATAAAAGAAAAGGTCTAGGTTAAGATACTTATTGATTGTATTATGTCAGTCATGACCCTATCACGTCTCAAGGTAACCAAATACTTTGAATATATACTCATCTGTAAAGTTCTTTTTAACAGTCATGTAACTTATCTTATGTTATCTAATGTTTGCTATATCTCTTGAAAACTATAAAAATAGGAAGCAGTCTGACTCAGCAGAATAGTCATTATGAAATATTATATATACAAATCAGAGGTACAACTTGTACTAAGTCATATAACAAATAGCGAAGATGTAAGTCTTTTTTTATGTAATTGGAATGATGAACGTTTTGCGGTTGATGTGTATTCCCATGCAAAAGGGTTTTTATAGTGGCATAAAGTAGGAAGCTATGTTTTGCACATCTGATATAAAGTAGTTGAATGATCCAGATAATTTTAAAAGATATTTAATATGTATCCATCCAAACAGTAGGTTACAGATATTTTTATTTTGCATTAAATATTGACGTTTTTAAGACGACTAATATTTAAAATATTATTTACATCATATGCAGCGAAAAGGCGAGTTGGGAGGGCTGTGGTGGTGGCAGACAGAAGGAAGGAGCAAACATAAACAAATCTCTAGTTGCGCTTAGTAACGTCATATCCGCTCTTGGTAAGTAAAGTTGAAAAAAAAATATGGTCCATAAATTTACGGACGATAAAATTACGCAGTAGACGCTTTGTAGTTGTATGTATCACAGCAGATAACAAGATGTAAAATAACTTTTCTAGTTCTTTGTTGATATCTGTACAACCAATTCAATGCTTATGTTTTACAAAAGATATCAAAAACTACAAATACAACGATAGAATATATAATATTCCGATAACACATAAAAATATGTGGTTAACATTACCAACATGCATTGATTATTAAAAAGTGAAACCGAATCTATTTACTTAAAAAATGATAGTTCAAATTATGATAAGCATTTTCGAAGTTATGAGAGATGAAACAAACAAATAACGTTAAAAATATATAATTTCGACCGCGTGACCGTCGATGTACTCCTCTAATACATTAGGGGTGTTAGGAACGCGTTGCCGAGCCTGAATATTGGTTATAAGAGTGTAGCTATATGCTTTTCTACACTATTTTGTCAAATTACAACAGTACTAACGTTCTATTAGTAATTGGATTCGGTGGTCACACACCGCCTTACTTTTAATGGTCGCGGGTTCGATTTCTTGCACGGCACAAACATTTGCAATTATAACTATGATTGTTTGTATCGGTCTGGGTGTTTTCTATGTATAATACATATTTACGAAAAATAAATAATGTATGTATTTGTATCTGTTATCTAGTATCCGTAACACAAGCTTTAGCTAGCTTAACTTGGGTCTACATGGTTGTTTATTCCCGCCAAAGTTACGATGGGCTAATTGACCTGACTTCATTCTTATGTTTCGAATATACTGGTGGTCCGCTAGTGTATAATTTCAGCGCATGCGCGGGTGCATTATATTCAAGTATAAAAAATGACAGGCATTATTTTCTTACACATGTTCAGTGAGTGGAGGCGCTGGGCGTAGTAGGTTTGTACCGTATCGTGACTCTGCTCTCACTTGGTTGCTGAAGGACTGCTTTACAGGAGGCGCTAGCACTTTTATTATTGCAAGTACGTTTACATTATACACCTACTATTTTAAATTTGAAGCAGTCATTATTTATACGTACAATTAGAAAAAATCACGGGATCTTATAACGTTTTATTTATTTTTGTTATGTTGTTGCCGATATTTCGGCAGTGTTTCCGCGAGTGAACAGTTTACTCGTGATTATGGCGGTTGAAACACTGTGTTTACCTTACTTTTGGAATACACCCCTTTTTAAAATATTATTTTTGTTTACAATTATATACTTTGATTAATAAAATATTAAGGTACCGGAGCAACTATTTTATGGTTTATATTACTGAACTAATTTGGATAATGATTGTTTCTTTTTGTGTTTTGTATATAAGCTGTGTCTCCGAGTGTCGCTTGTTACGGGGAGTCTGCGTCCACACTTCGTTGGGCCGCACACGCTCGTCAGTTGCCAACCCCAAGAATTATTCACACTGAACCCAATACTGTCACCCGAGCTGCCTTGCAGGCGCAGTTCAACCAACTCTTAATTGAACTTACCAGAAACTATATTAAATATGTGAGTAAATACACACGGCAAATCGATTATAAAAATTATAGACAAATTGAAGACTGAAGTTATTATTACGAAGGTCACGTAATTATAAATTAGCTTTCTCGTTTTTTGCTAATATCTATATTAGTTAATATCACATCCTTTATTAGTTGTTCAATTGTTCAACTGTTAAATGTATTGTTCTGCTATTTATCCGAGTAACGTGCGAATGTAGCATTAATTTATTGAGGATATATATTTACAATTATAATAAACGTAACTTATCAATAAAAGTTACACTGGCGGCGCGGGTGAAATAAATATTGTTTGATTTTGATTTAAGTGGACTGTATCTAAATAATCTGACGGGTACGTGGATTGACACGATACACTGTTAGGTTGGTGATTGAGAACTGCTTGTGAGGATGGAACACAAAGAAAGACAGTTCTGGTAAGGAAGGAGGCACAGTACCTTTGAATTGTAGGTTTGCGGCGGCTATCGGTGTCTCCAGGTCCCAGCTACTTGCTTCACAACAATGGCACAAAAACAATGGTCTTAAACACACTAGTGCGATGCGGTGGATTAAAATGTTTAGTAATTATCACGAATTACTTATCTTATCAAGGCGGGAATTCAATGTCAACTTCAGCGTTCAAACGCGCTTTTGTCACTTTCGATACAAGCATCTTCTCGCTCGCACTTAAAACAAAGGTATGTGCGGGAATAGGAGAGGATAAAGGAATTAGGCCAATCCTTAGAAAATTAACGTTTCGTACCACGCTAAATTATTTATTTGAACAAACTATTACTAATAATAATTATACAATGATAAACAAAAATGTAATGTTAATGGCGCAACCAGTTAACAAATTAATTACTTAAATAATTAGTTTCATGTACTTATCCAAAATATTTTGCGAATTGTCAAATTTAACATAAATTTTAGTAATAAATTACTTATATGCAAAACTTTTTTTACAGGTACCAGAAATAGGCAAAATAATTTATGATGAAAAGCATTGGGGATTAACAGTAAATAATTTAGATGTCGATGAGTCACATAAAACTACAAAAATAGGTAACATTATGAACTCATCACATCCGAAAACAGACGCTCAATCAGAGTCGACGACTTCATCGGTCGCTAGCGGAAGTTCGGATGTAATTAACACGATAGATAAAAACCCAGACATAGTTCATGCAATTAGTAAAGAAGTTGACATCTTATTCGCTCCGACACTAGAAAGAACGAATAGTGGCAGTAATTTAAAAGTAATTGCTCCACTTAGACATAAACGTAGACAGTATAGATCACAGGAAGTTTTGCCTATAGATGAAAATTTACGAGATCACAGCCAAAGTTTGGCTAATGCGTTACCAAGTCAAAGTGAGAATGAAATAAATGCCATAAATAACAAGGGAACTGAAAAACAAACAGCAGCTTCAATTCCAATTCTTTATGATAGTCAAAGAGCGGAAATAGTAGCATCAGTTACAGAGAGGTTGTATTCAAAGTTAAAAAAGAAGGAAGAAGCGGCTGTTTCGAAAATGGAATCGATTGTAGATAAAAGAATTATGGAACCCCTAAGTGAATTAAGGATTTGTACAAATGCTCGCCAGCGCTTCATTGATTTGAGTCAAAAACCCACAAGAAATAAAAGAAGAATAGGAATACCCGCTCATACGCAGACGAGAATATCTGTTACTCGGGTAAAAGATCAAGGAATTGATATTCAAACCGATTTAGAAGCATATGTTTATAAGAATAGAGATTTTTATGCACTACAACGTGATGCAGCTACAGAAACCGAACCAATAACACCGCGTTGTAAAGAAATTGCTGTTGGGTCCAATTATGGGTACATAACTTTTAGGGACAAGTCAACTTTAACAGAAAATAAAAAAATAGTTTATATAAACTCACAGGTAATGACCGATAAGATATTGACATATAATCGTTCGACACAAACTCCTTTAGTACCACCACCAAGAAAGAAAAAGCGCATATCAAACCTTTCTAGATACATAAAAAATATTGAAAATAAAAAAAATTGTACTGAAGAATATAGCCTAACCCCAGTAATTAATATTAATATATCTCAGTCATATCCGACAGATCCAGAATCTCAAAGTTCTGATGATAATTTAGGTAAATCTCAAAACAACAAGGGTATATCTCATACATTGGAGATACCGAAAGTAACACCAACTCCAGACTTGTTAACTAATCACAGTGCTCTTGATACAATTAATAACAGTTTCAAGGAGGTCGAAGAAGAGAACAATACAACTTGTGCTTCTAATGTAAATAGTGTACTAACCGATGACAATGCACATGGCAGAGTAAACCAGTCAGAAACAAAAGCAAATGACGAATTTCCTGATTTTGAAGAATGTGCACTACCAAAAGTATCTATAGATGCTACAAGAAAAAAATATAACGAAGAAATAAGAGACATGATACTGGGACGAAATAAAAATATGTATCCTTATAATATAGTGCTTTCACCTCTTAGAGATACTTCAAACTCTAATAAAGTTGTAAAATTTAAGGACGTTGATGATTCCTTTGAGAAACCACCTCAGACAAGGCGGATATGTGAAAATAAAATCGACGAAACCTGTAAATCTAATATTAGTTCCGATACAACAAATTCAGATAAAGAATATAATGAACCCGAAACAGTTTACAATAGTATCATATCTGATTCCATAGAATCAAGTAAAACTGAAACAGACTCATTTATTTGGAGAAACGATATTAGGAATCAGCATAACAGAACAAATTACTTGAGAAGTTACGCACCTGTATATAAACTTCAATCACGGTATAGAACAGCTAAAGCGAAATTTTATAAAGAATTTCTAGGTCTAGAAGACACAACTGATACAGATACGGACTCTATAAAATGTTCGTGTGAGAAGTCAAACTTTTATAAATATTCTGGAGATAAAGATGAAAGATCTAAATTTAAACACAAATTATCTCAGAAAGAAAAAAATCCTGAAAATACTTGCTTCTCTTCTTTGAAATACAATACTGATAAAGACGATTTTTCAAATTATGATTGTGGTATATTAAATTCTTGTAAAGATTTAGAAATGTCTGTTAATAGGTATGATAGTTATTTATCGTCTTTTCCTAATAGCAGTATTAAAAAAGATAAGCTGACTGTAGATATTCCAACACGAACTCCCACAGAATATTTACATCATTTGGTTCAACTGAGAAGAGAGGTTATTCAAGCAGATTATGAAACGGATACTTCTTCAATATTTGTATCTCGGAAATAATATAGGTACTGGATATAGCTTTTACACTCTCTAGTACCTCTCTATTATATATTTATGGAGAGTATTAAACATAATGAATATTATTATTGCAACATTATTGTAAGTAACTTATTATAACAATTTTAGCACTTACTAGGTTTTATTCTATTTACACTAATGAGTGGTAAACAAGTTAACGCCTCACCATATGAATATTAGCCTGTGTGTGTGGTATTGTGGTGTAATTGCATAAATATACCATACGTTCCAACGACAAATATTTAGGTATAAGCTGTTTGGTTAAATATTTATTCATACTGGTGTTATTTAACATGATAGCCTTCTCCTCTATTTACTATGTTCCATTCGATAAATCTTGTACAACAAAATTAAGGAGGTGCTCGTTTCTAATAACCTTTAATTACTACACGTTCAATATAATTTTAAGTTTATCCAGAAACTGATGTATCACTAATAAATTAATCACTATATTATATAATAAATGTATAAGAAACAATAACATATATTATATATCAACTGTACTTTAGTTTTGCGAAAAACTTATTTTATTTCTGAAATTACTGCAGCAATTTGTGCCTCGGAAAGGTCAGTTTTTATGTGTATATACTTATTATACTATACTTATTGTAAATACGATTTATTGATGTTTTATTAAAAGAACACAAATTTTAAAATGTATTATTTATTACGTACTTAAAATATATCTGGACTTTCTCCACATTAAACTAGTGACCTCATTATATCCTTATTAGTTCATTCTTCATTCATATTAAAAGATAAAAAAAAACAGAAATAACGAAATTACTGACTGGACATTTTAGGAAATTTTCAGTACTCTCCCATACAGTTAGGGATATTGTGCGCGGCACCTAACAGGTTTATCCGCATTACTTACACAACTATCACTCCTGATTCAAGTTCAAGGTTGTGGTTGATAATTATGATTTGGTAATAGATTGAAAAAATTGAAATTAATTGCAGTATCTCAATATTGCAACTACTTTCAATTTTATCTTACTAGCGCTTAGTGAAAGTAATTTCACAGCAAGTAGCAACATTAATATTATTTATTTGACATATTGAGAATCTGAATTAAATTGATATCAGTTATTATGTGGCCTGCTTCAGTTTATGGTTTCCCACTTCTATTTGCACTACCTCTTGGGTATTTAAATCAAGGGATAGTAGCAGGCAGTAGATCGTGGTATTCGTTGGTTTCTAGCTAAATGTGCCTAATTCAAATTTCTAACCGCAAATAATATTTATGCGACAGTAAATAGACAGAAATTTCAGAAATAATTTGTGTAACGCTTGACTTTTACGTTTTGTTTATTGTTTTTTGTGGCAATTTTATTTTAATAACGTGTTCGATCTGGTAGGTACCTAGGTATACTTTGAAAATAAAATTTTTGTTATGGGGGCAAGTGGTTTTTAGTAGTTAATATTAAGTTTGCTTTTAGTCAAGTTTGTGACCTCACTTGGCTTATATTATTTTGAAATGTTGGTTCCAATATATGTAGTAGGTAACCTTCGGTACCTCAGTTGCTGCTGTTGTCGCAAACACTGCGAGAGTGCACACACAGAGAATAAAAAAATACATTGAAAATGTTTAAATTCTAAATTAAATTCAAATATTAAACTATAATTAATTTTGAGATGAAAACTTATTTTTTTAATCCAAATTTCATATAAATATATTACAAGTGAAGTGACTATCATGGCTGTATTTTTTGTTTTGTTAGCCGCAGTGGTTATTTTGACTTATATTTGGTTTCAATACAAGTTTACTTATTGGTCAAGAAAAGGCGTGAATGGTCCGAAACCTGTGTTTCCCTATGGTAATATACGTGATGCACTCAGAAGAAAAGATCAGTTTTTTCAACCATACTGTGACAGTTATGTTAAATTTAAAAATTTACCCTACGTGGGCATGTATTCATTTTACCGGCCAGTATTGTGTGTGAATGATTTGGAAATGGCTAAGCACATTTTGATTAGTGATTTCGATCACTTTCAATCACGTGGGATTTACTCTGGAGGGCGCAATGACCCGTTAGCGGAAAATTTATTTAATATTTCTGGCAAGCCTTGGAGACAGTTACGGTTAAAAATGTCGCCGACGTTTACTTCCGGAAAACTAAGAACAATGTATCCATTTGTGGAGGGAGTGGCAAATAAAGCTCGCAGTTATGCTGACATGCTCTACTCGAAAGGGAAATCCATCGATTTTTCTGAATTCTATGAGAGATATGCTATGGAAATCATTGCAAATGTTGGATTTGGTGTTGAATGTAACGGTTTGACGAATCCGCAATCAGAGTTCGACTGTTGCGGACGTGAATATTTTGAAATAAAGTCGCTATACTGGTAAGTATGTGTTAATACTATTTCATAATTTTTTTTTTGCATTTGTAGGACCTTGTAGCTAGTAGGTAATAACATTAATTATAGATATAATTAATTAGAAAAAGTAAAATTAGATGTATAAAATTAGAATTCGTATAAAGTTGTTTGATTCCTTTTTATTTACAAATAAAAGTATTTCTATCAGTTGTTAAGTGTATCATGGCTAATGTTACAAACTGTGCTTAGTTTTCGTTGTATGAATTGGCCTATGTTATAATTATGATAATGATATGGGTTCTTTTCTTATTATTAATATTTTAAACTCGACTTACTTGTTTTTGTCAGATTAATTCAACAGGTTTTGTCAGATTCAGTTAATTACGAAGTTAAACTTTTTTTATTCAAAAAGAAGAGTAATTTATTATGGATATTATGGTCGGAATTTTTGGGATATATTTATACTTACATTACTTAACTTTACATAGAGATACATACATACAAATCAACGTAGATTGCATTTATTTTACCTCTGTTTTATTTAGTTATATGCCAGCTGAACCGATTAGGCTTGCGTGTGAGGCATTTCCTAGTTCATGCTCAACTAAACAATAAAACAAAAACAGAAGTACCGATATATAATTACAATAATTTAGAAAGTTCACACAGAATATAGAATTTCAATTATTGTATCGTATACTTTAGTATTGTACTGATGATGGTACAGACTATTATAGAATTGTCACTTCTTGGCACTAAATTGATTGTCACATATTTAAACGTATCTATTATTTGGTATGACGAGGGACGTAAGTTTTTAGTTATATGGACGAACATGTAAAAGTATCTATTATTCTAATTGGTATGGTGAAGGAATTAACTCATCGTCATATGGTCATATGGACTGATGGATGCGTGGGTAAATACGAATATCTAATATAAGAATACCTAATAACAGTTGCTAGTGCGTTCATTAGTAGAGTTTTAAATGACTTCAATCTAACCAACTAAAAGTAAAATGATAAGAGTGTGGTACTTTGATTTGAATAGTAAGTAAAATTAAATAAAGTATAGGGATGGAATCATTAAAGGATCATAGGAATTTCGTGAAATACCATCGGTAATAATGACTATTCAATACTTATTTAGCAAAAATTATTCCATAGTCTGATGGAACTGTTGTCATATTTCCTTAGGAGGATCATCAGCGTGATGTAATAGAGATGTTTTCGAGAATAACGGTACTTGTCGTATATTTTCTATTTTAGTGAAATGAGTTCAAATGCAGATTACAAAGTATTTGAGATTCAAACAACGAATTTGCGACGCAACATAACTACGTGGAAGAGTATAAATACGAGTATTAGCATTTACTGTCATAGATATACCGGTTAAGGTTTATGTTAGGTAATTTAGCTATTTTAAATGTTACTGGGGTTTTAAATTAAAACAAAATTCGGTGTGTGAGACCACCAACGCCGTCAGTATCAATTATAATTACAAAAATACATTTAAATACATTGTTTTTCGCAAATAGTATTAGTCATTTTACAATAAAGTTTCTTATATTTCACCAGGTCTATTATACGAGCATTTGCATTTATCGCTCCTGATCTTTTCTCCAAGTTACGTATAAGACGTATCAGTCGAAAGGTGGAAAACTTTTTCTATGGCTTGGTTAAAGAAACTGTCAGCTACCGCCAAAAACATAACTATAAGAGGAATGATTTTCTGCAAACACTTATTGACTTGATGAATGGACAAATTGTCAGTGAAAACGGTAAGCATTTATATATCCAGATATATGATACCTACCTGTAAATTAAGAATCTAGTACCAAATAATAAATTAGGAATTTTAGTCTAGGACCGCTGATATGGCAGGTACCTAATATAAGAAGTTTAATACAATAGGTAGAATAACACAAACAATTAGTGCACTAACTTATGAAAAATATGTACTTTAGACAACGCGCCGGAAAGAAAATACTGTAGGATTTTCTGTAGAGTTATATTGGAATCATAATGTTCGTACTTACCTAATTTCTATTTCATTACTTTAAGAGTACATTATCTTAATAGATGATTTTTTTACATCAGTTAATTCAACTTTGAAAGATGAATTCTTTACATCAAAAAAATACTTATTCTGAAGTTCAATTAATTTCAGAATAAGTATTTTTTTCATATTAATATGGGGCCGTTCAAGTATTACGTAAGCACTATAGGGGGGGGGGGGGTCTTTTCTTTGCTTATTTTGGATGACATGGGGGTGGGGGAGTCTGTATGATGATTACGTCATCGGTCGTAATTTACTTTTTTACACGAGATTTGTGCACATATTAATATGCTAACTTAGAGAATTTTCAAGGTTATTACTTCAATCAATCGTTTTTATGTATTTTGTTTGTGTGTTTTTTACTTCACCATGACAAAATAGTCAAAACCATCTTAACGTCAAAATTTATTACTTGAATAAGTAGTGACTTATTTTAAAGTGAATTTTAAATTTCAAATCAGTGCATCAATGTGGAAACTACGATATTACTAACTTTAACCGATCTGTGTGGTCAGGAAATACTTTAAATTACCTATGAAGTTTTTTCAATATTTATACAAATTAAGATCGATAAATATACAAATTGTAGGTAACTAATTATTTCTAATGAATTTATTTCACTAAATTATTGTTGTTATGACCTACTGTGAATTTTTCACAGGTGATATTAAACGGGTTCACGATTTCCCATTCTCAATGAACGACGTGGCAGCGAATGCTATGTTGTACATGATAGCAGGATATGAGACTTCGGCAAAGACTGGACAATTTGCAGCTTACCAGCTCGCTCTAAATCCTCACATTCAAACAAAAGTGAGGGATGAAATAGACAGAGTGCTGGCTAAGTATGACGGGGAGTGTACTTATGAAGCGCAGAACGAAATGATCTATCTGAATATGGTGCTTGATGGTAAGTTGATTTTGTTTGTAATTTTTTACACTCAAAGGTTATGTCTCCTTATAACTGTATTAGGACACAATTTAAATACTTCAGTATATTTTACCCGTGTGGAAAAATATAATTAATTAACGGAAAGGTAGGATTGGAGTTTAAGACTCTACCTTCTATACACTAAAAAACGGTTTGCTTTGAATTGCTATACTAGAGTCATCGAGTCACGTTACCATTCCATCACGACTCCGGCGGCGATGGCTCATCTAGAGGTATATTTTTTTTATAAAATTATAGTTAATAGTTTTTATTTTTCTTAAATTGTTTTTACAACATTGACAACTTGTAACACATTGAGCAATATACTCTCGATATTTACAAAACTTAATTGTCGTACTAAGAACCTAAAATAAAAAACCTTAAAAAATATAATATAATAACTAATACATATTATTAAAAGGAGTCCCTTTAGCAATTGTGTCATTACGTTATAATATTTCTCTGTAGAGACGATGCGACTCTATCCAGCGCTACGAGCAATATTTCGGCGTTGCAATAAGCCATACAAGCTACCCAACAGTGATGTAGTCATTGAAGAAGGTACATTAGTATTTGTGCCCATACAAGCGATACATATGGATCCACAGTTTTATCCCGAACCCGAGAAATTTGATCCCGAAAGATTTGCGCCAGAAAAGAAAGCAAAGTTTCATCCTTGTCAGTGGATGCCTTTTGGAGAAGGACCAAGGAAATGTTTAGGTATGTTAAATTGAAATTATTGAAGCAGGTCGCTAGACCTGCTTTGCATGAGTGTACAGTATTCCTATAATATATATATATATATCTGTATCTATTATATATAATAAATCTTCCAGAAGAAGTTCCCTACATTATAGTAATAACCGTATAAAATTCCGTTACTTTTTAGAAACAGTCAGACGACAACAGTCGACTATGTTTCATACTATTAGATAAAAGACAAAACAACAGGTGTTCTAATAACTATATTTTATTTTGATATCTTATTTATAAAATTTTAGTGTCACAATGTTAGTTACCATACTGCTCCCAAACGGGTTGACGGATTTTTATAAAATTTTATATGCATATTCAGTAGGTCTGAGAATCGGCTATCTATTTTTCATACCCCTAAGTGACAAGGGTTGTCCACCACTAACATTATTTTTTTATTTTTTGGGGAATTTTTTTATTATGTGTTATTAAAAAATACATACAACCCTAAATTTTCACCCCTCTATCACCAACCCCTATTTTTTATAGCGTTATTAATTTATTTGGCAAAACAATGTTTGCCGGGACAGCTAGTATGTATATACTATAAAGACAAAGATGACTCCGGTTGTGGAGAGCAAATTAAATAAATTTGCATATGAAAAGCTTCTAAGTAACTGACAGTTTTTTAAAGCAATGTAAGCAAGTATGCTCTGGGAATCTGATTTCCATTGTGTCAGTGCAGTTCAACTTGTCTCTGATGATTGACTGCTTTATTACTTTGTTATTTAGAAGCATATTCATTAAATTGTAAAATCGTATATTTATTTATTACAAGTAATTTATTATGCGTCTGTCTTGACAAATTATTTTTCTATTATATGAGCAAGTTGAGGGTCAGATAACGCCGTCATATAATGCATTAGGGTACGGAAGTTATCAGTTCACAACTGGATAGTTACGTAAATTTTCCATTAGGTAGGTAGTCAATACGAGTATTTATCCTTCACCTATGGCTCGTAATCGTGGCTACATTAACTACAGCTTTGCAGCTGAGGTCATTTGAACGTTCTCATCAGGATCTGAAGAATAATTACTTAACTGTTACTGAGCCACATAAGCAGTTATAAACCAACTTAAGGATTAATGTAAAGTTTCGGAATTTACAAATATGTAATCGACGACTAAACATTGAGTGGTAAGGTGGCAAATGACGCGTAGGTACATATTTTATTCTTGTGTTCCTTGTAAAAGCAAATTTTTTGGCTTTATCATAGAAATAATACAAATATGATTTATTAATAAAACAGCTTAGTGCTCATTAATTAATGAACTAGTGTCATCATTCTAAAAATAAAAGAATATTGTTAATTTAAAATTTGTTATAATTGTCAACAACCGCGTTTAATTTTTGCTCAGCAAACCCGGCAGTAATCATATTATATTAATCATTCATTTAAATAAATAATTAGTATAAAAATATTTGCAAGAATTAGTTGTCTCATCGCACAGGTGTAAACAATTTTTATATACTTCCTTGTTGCCGCAGGAGTATACCTATAACAGGCGTATCACTGTGAGTGTTTTGTCATCAATTTCTACTTGTTTATTAGCGTTTACTAGCGAATTATAAAGTCATTAATTGAAATGTGGTCTACGTATTATTGCAAAATATCTGTGAAGGAAAAAACCGCTTATGTGCTCCTAATGCCAAATGATGTTATGATTATCTAAAATGACAGTAATATACAAAGGCCTCTGATTAGTTCATCTGCGATTTATATTATTTATTATTTGAGTTCATTACAGTGCGTATTCGCACTGCAATGAGTTAACTTTTATAAACAGATTGGAATAAAACAAACAACATTTTAAATGACGATTACTAATATTAATTAGTGAAAATCGCCTCAAATCATTCGAGTTATTTCTCAGAATAGCCCTTACAGTTACATTGTTTTGGTTTTATTACGTTCATAATGTTTAATAGTAATTTCGCTCATATATCTTTCAAGTATACATAGTCTGTTATTAGTGTTATTTTTATTATATGTAATTAAATATAGTATATTGTTTTTTTTTGCTACAGGAGCACGCCAAGGATATATACAATCAAAGCTGGCCTTAATTAAGATGTTGCAAAAATACGAGTTGGTTCTGGATGAACGGACGGCGGTTCCTTTAAAACTGAAAACGTCCTGTCTAGTGTGGGCGGCTGAAGGAGGAGTATGGCTTAAGCTTAGAGAACTTAACAATAATGGACTTACATCATAAGAAAATATATTTTAGTCTAATTTTGGAAACAACTGTATCTCCAGATCTTTATAGATTCATTAGTAGGTGTTGAAACCAACTGGACTAATTGAATTACGCAAGAATAAAGTTTGCGAATTGGTTGATCAATCACATAATGATTTTGGAACTCATGTTGCTACAAGCACAGATAATATAATATTACATACTACTAGTAACGCTATCTATTGAGAATACAGAATTCCTAAGGAGGTTTTCATTTTATATGTAATAATAGTATAGTAGAAGTAAGGGAAGAACGAATATAAAGTAAAGTATAAACTATAAACTAAATAAAAAAAGTATAAACTAAATCCGCCTTAATAATGTCCTTTGTCGCTAATATACCTACAGTCGATTTAGTCGAGCTTTAGAGTTATCAATAATATTAATAATTATTTTGAAAGTCAAGTGTACATTTTTGCTTAGTATCTCAGACCTACAAAAGTTATAGACGGACCTCTATGTACAGTAAAAATAAACTATGGCTTCAATAGGCTATAATATATCGTCCGCATTTTCTATGATTTATTTGTTGATCTGAGCGTATTAAGCTTTCATATTATAAAACCACCGATGCATAGATATAGTACACCAATTCCTTATAAGAGAAGATTTCATATGTTTTAAAACTGTAATAAGCTGTTCCTAAAGTATTATTGCCTGCTTTAAATGGTTGTGACCGTATAATGAAGAATGTTACTAGGTATGCCAAATCGGTCGAAAGTTTGATATAGTAAAGTTTGTATGAATACAAATATACTAGTTTTTGTTTTAGTCAAAAATATCTATTAATTTTGATTTTATAGGCATTTAAACTTACGATAAATTTCGAGTCCCGCTAACAGTCACGTGACGTGTGACGTCATTTTACAACAGTCCACTCCACTTAGTAGCGAGTCGTCAGTATTTTGTTTTGTTTTCATCCGCGCATTACGTTATTATTCTATTAATTAATTAAATGCATGAGGGATTCAAAAATGGCAATCGTATAATATGCTTAAAATAGATGCATTAATGGTTGCCCATTATTTATCAACAAATAGTGATTTCGTTGACGTCGAAATGCGAGGAATAAAAATGCAAAGTTAATTTTTCACTTTTCTTGCTATTAGAAAATAATTTATCTGTTTTAAGCTGTTTTGTTAAAAAAAATACCCAACTGATGTCATATTGCAAGTATTGCAACTCAAATAGGCAGATGTACCAAACCTTCCGTCCGTAGAGTGAGTTGAACAGATGTACTAAATCTTTTTTTAATTTTGATTTGTCTTATTAATAAAATACGTAGGCCGTTTTATTTATTTTTATTTGTAACTTATTCCAAGTCGGCAAGAGACAGCTTTGGTGATGATGCTATCGGTTACATACAAGTAAAAAGGCAAGTGATGTTTGTATGGTCAAATGCAGAATCACGCGCGAACACCGCGTACGTACCACACGGTACCGTTGCAGTTTAGAATGTAATGAAAACAACCAAGAAGTTTTAAACGTAACTTGCGAAGATTGTGCCGCCAACAGAGGCTGTACACGTACTATAGTATTTTTAATGTGGGCATCGTCGAGGAGAGGACCCGACGACTGTTATCAAATTTGTTGGATTTTTTTGTGATTATTATAAAAATAACTATTACTTTGGTTGTATTTCGGCACAACACATGACTTTCTAGTATTTGGTTTGGTAATTTTTGAAGATATTTAAAATTTCTAATGAAAAGTAAGACGACTCCGTGCTGAGAGCGCGAGCGGACTGAGTGTTGTACTATGACGTCACACCGTCACACGAGTCCGTATCGCACGTTTACTTCTATAAATCAGAAAATAATTGACGTATTGAAGTAATTCTTTCACTTATATTTTTTTATTTTTGACAGAGAATATGGAAAGCTAATGTTCAAAATTAGTTAACATTCTTCATTGTTACGATAGTACCTAGTAGGTAATTAAAATTTGTGTATCCTAAAAAACTGGAATCATCAAACTGTAGTGACATATAGGTACTTACTCGTACTGTGAAGATGACTGTAGGTACCTAGTCATCTTCACATATATTTTATTTATAAATATTTATGTATATATTTTCTCAGTTTGCTATATCTGGGACATATATATATATATATATATATATATATATATATATATATATATATATGTCACAGATTTGTATTTGTAGACAAAGATTGTATCTATAGTTCCACAAAATTTCTCTTCGTTCGTGGACAATTAAATTGACAATTTAATATAACATTACGAAGATACTTAATATACTTAATATTCATAAAAACCACTAATTTTTATGAATGCTAATGTAGCGATTAACCTTTATTATTCAGTAAGCGTTTATCGCCCTTCAAAGGTATCTTGATTGGGAAAGCGTTGCCTACCAAATAATAAATAAGTAGATATGTATACATACCTAACTAGTATTACCATATTATAAAATGAACACAAGGAATAATGAAATATAGTGTGAACAGTATGTTACTGTTTTTAAAGTAATAATAAAATGATGAGCATTTCCGTTTATATATTTTATCACCCCTTTTGGTTTTATTACCTGCTATACAGATTTGACAGCCGCAGTACATAGTTATATTTTGGTACATGTAAAGTTTGGTTTTGGTTGTCACCTAAAATAATTCGCCTGTCTTTAAAATATGCAATAATAATAAGGAAAAATTCCTTTGTTTCTTGTAAAATCTTGAGTTTTGTGAATACAGTTATACCACGTAAACGGTCTCTGAGGTCTAGCCGTTTAGCATACCTGTATGTGTGTGTATGTACATTATGTATGTTACAAAAATGTATTTATGTATTTATATCTGTTCGCTAGTACCCATATTTTTTTTTTAATTTCATATTTAGACAAAATTTCAACAAAATTACAGCTAACATATCACATATAACATAACACCTACCATTTCTTTTATGCAGTTAAAGTAAATAATGTACCTACCTAATGAGTACTCGAGTAGGACAAGGTTGATGGGTTTCCTAATAAAATGTAGTGTTTGGATTGTTCTATGTGAATAAATAAGCCTTCGAATTTGCAAACTAAATAATAGTCACAAATGTTCTGGAATATTTTTAAAGATAGACTTTACATAAAATTGTCTATGTAATATTTTTTGCTATTTAGTAGCTTGCTTTGAAAGCTATAGTTCTGTTGTTGCGGAGTTGTGACACCTTAGTATTTAGGATTGGCAACATATAAGGGACTTCTGGGGTATTACATGATGACATGATGTCTGTGATCATATTTAAATATTAAATTAAAATCTTTGTACAAGTTCATAAATGTCACGATATTATGAATGTTAATGTAGTTGTCAAAATGAGGGCATTACTATAAATCGGTTGGCGAAATCTTCGATAGGTATAGTGTGGAATATTATGTCGTACGATTTATTTATATTTGATTAGCAAATTAGCAAGTTTGTGTTGAGTAACTTAATTGATGTAGGTAAGTTACAATTTGACAAAAGACTCAGTTCACCGACATAATGCTACTATATTATACATAGTAGATTAAAAATAAATATTACTAAGAGGAAAGATTTCATTTTATGTTTATAATTGATAAATCAATAAATATTTTAAAATGGTTTATCATATTCATGATTTCTCAACTGATTACCAATACCGATGAAATTTATTTTAGGTCTTCATGGGAATAAAGACTATATAGATTGCAAAAATTAGCATCAGTTAGTCATCAAATTTATTCAGTTTTGGCAAAGTTAGTGCAAAATATTGCAGATATTACTCCTACTTCCGTAATAAAGTAATTTAAAGTATGGTATCAACTATGTAATATTACCTTATCTGTGGTATTATCAAATAATTAAACACTAAATAAAAACAAACAAATTTATACCGAACAAAAAAGTACTTACTTATTATAAGAGTCTTCACTAATATATGTGACGATCGATATGATAAGATACGAGTACCTAACATGTGGTATATACTAATCTTGTTTTTCTTTTTTTAAAGTTTGCGTTGCTTGATCGATTTCCTCAGGTTGTTTTATTTTAGACAGAGTAACTGTTTCGTTGTCCGATTCTTCCTCAGTAATAGGGCATTGAGTTTCTTGGTCTTTTTCTTCAGTAACACTTGTAGACTCCGCTATATACACTTTTTGAGCTTTGGTAGAACTCTTTTTTATCTTATTGGTTTGAACACTTATTTGTTTAAGATTAGACTTTTTAGTCATTTTTATTGATTCAGTACTCATTCGAGCTGGGTGTTCCTGTTCTAATTGGGTTAAATTAGCTTTAATAGTTTTTTTCAGATCATCCGTAATATTCAAGGTAGATTCAAAAAAAATTTTTTCTTTGTTTTTTACCTGTAGTGACATCCTAGTTCCAGACTTGGAAGAACTAGGCAACATAGGTAGCTCAAGTAATTGCTTATGTAATTTTTCTTCTATCAAGTTTGTTTTTATTTCCATTGAAATTTCAGTGTCGTGGTCATCTATAGAAGTAACTTCATCAGACTTACTAGATCGCGGTTCATACTGAACCTTTGATGATATTTTCTCTTGTCCATACTGACGTGTAATAGTTAATATTTCACTGGGTCGCTCGTAAATACTTGAAGGCGATTCGCTATCAATTTCGGACAAATTTATATTTTCAACAAGGTCATATAGTATTTTTACAATAAACTTATATTGTTTTGGTACATATTTGTAAGCAAGTATCTTGGCTATTTTATACCGCTCTTCCGGTAACAATGAAAGTTCTGATTTCTTTCGTTTAGTATCCAAAATATCACTTTCTGCCTTGTAAAGTTCTTTAATGTCGTCTACAAATATATCTTTATCTGTACCTGTAGTATCTTGGAATTGTACTTTGCTCTGTAATCGAATTGGCAATGACTTTTGAGAATCGTTTTCAGTGTTGAACCAATCTTCTGGCGATATTATATGAATTGGTTTTTCATAACGTTCCTGAAAATATATTGTGTTCTCATTTTTAATTGAAAATACAAATAAGAATTGTTATAATATTTCTCATTTGTATTTTCTCTTTCGATATTTGGGGAATCTGTTATTTGCAGCTAACTGTCAAATAGTACACATACAATCCTATCAAATCCAAAATTTCTTATTTTCAATCTGTTTTAAAGCTGAATTGAGAGGAAGTAAGTTAGCTCCAGGACATATGTATTATATAGCGCTTTATATTATATAATTGTATCCGATACAATACAATTATGTAAATAACATTTGGCAAAAGATAGCAAAGACCCACAACGAATCGATATATCTTACATAAATGAGCTTTTCTATTACCAGTATTCTATCAACGTTCCCAACAAGTTCTACGTTTACTCGCACCAGCTGGAAGTCTACTACCAACAGCACTCGAGCCAGAGTCAGTAGTGCAGATAGCAACCAACAGGCGGTATGTAACCAAGCCGATAGGATCGTCAGCCTAGTAGCCTGGTACACACCTCGAATACGCCTTTCGTACGCCAGCGTAGCAACATTAACGGTGTATGTGCAGCTGTAATAGATTATATCAATTAGCAAACGATTACATCGAAGATAAATAAACTCTCGATAGTTACATCTAGACTAGAATTAGAATCAAACTACATTAATCTTTATAAATGCAAACATATTACGGTTACAATAAATTAAATATTTTGAACCATTACAGTACAAACTTTTTAATGCAATGTATGTATCTTACATTTCAAACTAACCTTTGTAGCTTATGATATCTACTAATAAACCATAATCAGTATTATTGGTTAATTTTAAGAGTTTGCGCATCTATTAAGAATCTGTTTAACAAACTAGTCATATTTTTACTTGTATCCAAATCGGTTATGGGATCTTAGCTGTAACAGTCTCCAGTTGTCTAGAAACTTTTAACACATCGTTAATATATATAATAGACAAAGTCCAATTTTATAATTTATACTGCATCATACTGTACATCCATATATAATATATAACTATAGGTATCTTTTCTTTTCTTGCTTAGCACTAAGAGTAAGCAAAAAATAAAAAATGAATGTAGACAGAAAAAAATAAATCGTAAATAGTAACCATATTGCATTACGTACATTATGGTATAGAAAATAATTTTCTGGTTACACACAAATGTTGTCGTAATAACTTCGCCAATTTTTTTCTAACAGACGACGGATGCTTTTTAATTTAGTGTTCTTATATAAATATATGTCTATCTAACCAATTAAATTACCAATTGCTATATCGGGTACCTAGCAGATCGTGTCGCTCATGCAGCGGCTTATCTTTCCGCATATTTTCACATAAGAATTGCACAACCAATGCAAGTGATCGTGCACCATGGAGGCGTGCCATGAGGTCGTAATCATTATTTTACAGATTTAGATTTATTTTCACTAGCAGCAAATTGTTTTATAAATAATATTTTTGAAGTTAAGTTCCAACTGACATGAAAGAAAGAAGAACGACTGTTTTGTTTATAATAAATGTAATTGAAATAAACGTAGAATATTTGTATATTTGTCTGTATATCGCTCCCAAATAATTGCTTTTACCACGAATGAAAGATGAAGATATATTTTACATTATTGACAACACATGATTAATTATTATTTTTTCATAATTTTGTTCATAATGATTTATTACTTAATTTTACATAATTATATAATATTATTTATTAATTATTATGTTTCTATTTATTTGCTGGAATGGCAAACGAACGGTTGGCCCATCCGACCGCATGAAGCTCGTAACGACCGCTGTCTACATACCTGTAGGTATGTCAACTGTATTACTTTGCTGTTTCGACCTAAGGTATCTAGCTTCTATATTCCTATAATATCACTGGCATATATCATGGCATAGCTTGGTGACAAATATAGGTGATACATACCCACGCATACAAAGTACATTTCGCTAAAAAATATTATTATTTCAAATAAAGAGAGAAAAAAAAATAGAAATTAAGTCAATAATTGAGTACTAACGTAGGGCTACCAGTGATCTCGCTTAATTTGTGGCATAACTCTTGCAAGCCGTAGTGGGTAACAGCAGACGAATAAACGCAGAGTCCCCCCATTGCCAAGGAGAATACAAATACAGGTAGTAATATCCGCCAAGGACGCTGCAATCTGAACAAAGACAAAGAAAATAAATAAAAGAATAAATTTACATGAACTAATACAAAAAAACTGTCTTATCGCTGAGCAATCTCATCCAGACACCTTTTAGGTAAAGAAGGTGATAATAAGAAAAGAGTCGATGGATAGGTGGCACACCTATTGGCATATTTTTAGATATACAGAATGAAATATTTTTGAAAAAAATACTATTCAGGTAGATTATTAGATAGGTATGTATTATAATTAAAAGGACAAGTAAAAAAAGAAATATACCGAAAATAAAAAGATTTATTAAATTTGTTGAAGATTAGAATAGAGAATAGATATGTTTATGTCATACCTTTATTATTTATATATTATCATAAGAGTATGTGGTAATATGTGCTGTAAGTAGTTAATCGAGTTAGAGGTTTATAACCGAATTAATATGTGTGAATATAATTAAGCGTTAATAACCTTAATTTAGTTAAGTATGTTTGACATTGTAAAGTTTACTAACCTCTGTATTAAGTATGTAGGGACATTTTGATCTCGTAAATACCTATCTACACATCTGTCCTGTTAAAGAACCGGTATTGGAGTTCTTACCTTAACAGCATGAGCTATTACAATTTATCAAAATTAGAAACGTTACCGGTTTTTTTACATTATGTACTTAGGTGATTTATTGAATTTTTGAACGAGTGCTGCTTCTAGGAATTAGTCTGTCTTAAAACTATGACTGATTTATTACGTTACTCAACCTAAATTACATAATACTCAAATATTTTTTCCTATTATACTTCGTTTTGCTATATTTCGTGCCATTTGATATTATTACAAAATTTGTAAAGTTGTACGATATTTGATTAAAATAACAACAAGCAAGTTATACTTATTGTATTCCGAAGAATAGTAAAGTTTATTTATATTAAAGATTATTTTTATTATAGTCTATTTTCTAAATATAAAGTTTAATATCTACAAAAATGTATTTTTTTTCGTAAAATATATCACTTGATTTTAGTGTCAAAATGACGTGAAAAAAATCATGAAATATTTTTATTGAACAAATTGGTAGATATATACCCATTGGCTCTGCGGCGAGATATTGCATCTCTGTGCATTTTCTACCGATTATATCCCGGGGAGTGTACTGAGGAATTGTTCGGATTAATACCAGCTGCTGAATTTCACCACCGTACCACCCACCAGAAACTAAAATACCATCCTGACCATCTGGAAGAATGGCGATCCTTCACAGTGCGATTTTATAGAAACTTTTTGTCACGCACCAACATATTGTGGAATCACCTTCCAGCAATGGTATTTCCGAACCGATACGATGTTGAAACCTTCAAGAAAAGAGCTTATTCCTTTTTAAAAGGCCGAAAACGTCCTTGCATTTCCCCTGATGTTGCGGGTGGTCATGGGCGGCGGAAATCACTTACCATCAGGTGAGCCGCATGCTCGTTTGTCCCCTGTGTTATAAAAGAAATATATATATTATATTACAAAATATTGCGTTATTTACACGGAAAATAAATATAAGAGAGAAAATTACTGACGTGTAAGTTATGTCGGTAGATAAAATAATGTTTACCCTGTCAACGTCCTGCTACCTGTAGAACACATAAGAAACATAGTGGTCCACACAAGTCCGAAGATACCGGACACCAGAGGCACATAAGTTGGTAGATAGCAAGCACTCTTTTCCATCCATTGAGTGTTTAGGAAATCCACTGGCAGCACTGTAATGTAAGTTAATTAATAAATTATTTAGTTAGCATTGTGCCGCATGCCGTCCTGGTTTACACCCCGACTTAGGCCTGTCATGATTTCGAATTTAGTCTACACTAAAAAACTTCGTGTTAATTTATGTGCGTTCTTGACTGTTTTATACACCCATAACAAATCGAATTAATCCAAGAGGCGGCTTACATCCTGCCAAGTTGGATGATATGCGAAATATCAACATGAAAAGTTTTGCGTCCTATTCAATGCCTCTGGCTACTTCATTTCAGTTGAATGAATCGTTTACATTAATATATTTTGCGCTTTATATGTAATAATAGTAGCAGCAAGAAAACAATAACTATACTAATAACATACTGCATACTAAGTACCTGTATGCATAAATAATCTCAATCGATTGGTAGATTTACGAGTAGGGATCAACGCAGGTTCTAATCAGACGGTGTTAGTATATAAAATATTATATAGGGGTGAGGCTTTATTGTATGGTAAATCAGTAAAACTTAATACTCACATTACATTAACCATTTTAGTACGAAACTTTTATGTACATAATATGGTCTCTTAGATTTTTTCATCTAATTAGAATGCCAAACAAGATCACAGCCCATTTCTCATTATATATACCAAATATATAATAAAAATCGAAAATAAGATTGATTGATTGATTATTTCCGTTTACCTTAAATGGATAAAATTATATTACATTGAAACTTACAGTTGGCTGTTTCCTTATCCATGGGTATGAACTCGTATATGACATTGTGGGATAGTGATGTCAGTGATTGCAATTTAGGAAAAAGTACACACTTCTCATCAAAAAGGTACATCAGCATATGGAAACAGAAAGTGCAGAAGGAACCGAACACGAAGGCCATGAAGAACAGAAGGAGATGAGCGCCTGGAGAGTGATATAGCGGTGGTAAATGATATTGCGATTTGATTTTATTAGGAGTTGTAAACTTCGTTGTTATAGGTCAATAATGAATAGAACTGTCGTTCACTTAACCGGTGTCGTAATGAGCATCTTAATATATATAATATATTTGTAAATTTCAAAATAAATAATAAAATATTCTTTTCAGTACTTATGTTTGTCACTTAAGTCCTCCTGAACATCCAGACTGATATGTATGTATTTTCGTAAGTAAGTATATTTCAATGAGTTCCTGGATGGTTTGAACATAAAATTAAAATTGAATTGAATCGCTAGTCGTATTAATTATTATATTTTATTTATTTGTGAAAATATTATTAATATTAAACCACTACCATACTTTTCTGTAATATGATATTCTTGTTGGCTTTGTTTCATTCTCTTTTTAATTGTGTGTGTTTATTTCCTACAAGACACCGATACTGTCATGTAAATTTAATTTATGTGTAAGACGAATAAATAAAATTAATAAATTAAAAGAAATGTGTGTGTGCTTTTCGCGCCTTTATTTTATTATTGTGTCCTATATATCTGTGTCCCATATATTCCTAAATGAAACTGATGTGAAGATAGAATTACCTTTCCAAGCTCCATTTACTTCGTTTTCTCCTCGTTCCACTAATCTATATTCTTCGAATAGGCAAATTCTATCCATTTTATATATCTATCCAATTGGGTGATTATCCAAATTTATCCGATTTAAACGCAAATCATTATTATTCTGTCAATAAAATGTCATCTTGTCGAGTGATGGCACGAGATAGAATAGATGTTATAATATAGGTATGTGGCTAGTAAGTAAGTAAGTTTTAATATTTATCAATTTAAATATTGTATTAAACATTAAAAAATATATATCACGAACATAGGTTTTTTATACTTACGGATTTTTTTAAAGAGTAGGTAACTTATTTTTTTTATTCGTAAGCAATGTTTACCTAATATTATCATAGAATTTCATTTTACCTATAAATATTTTAATTTATAAATTAGAAATACTTTAAATGTATTACGACCTTTTTCGAAGTAAGTGTACGTCGAATCGTCATGAATTCTCATAAACTTTATAACTTAATAGGATAAGTTTCCTTAGATACGTAATTATTAATAAATAACATTTATAACACAAGTTTAATTTACATACCGATATTAGTCCGTTAAAATAGTTGATATATACAATAAATAGTATAAAATAATCATAAAGTTGAATAAAAATTGTTCGTATAAGAAGTATAACTAAATAAAAAAAATGCCAATGAATACCTAAGTAATACCAATGAGTACCTAATAATAGTATGAACTGGAACGGTTGATATCAACGTTAAATAAGTAAGTAATGTCGATAAGTAATAAGTGCTCATATTAGTCTTTCATTCTTAATAGTTTTTTTATTAAACGCTCTCGGTAGTACATCTATTTATCGATAAATACATCTGGTTTTAGTACCTACTCGTTTTCAACCGATTCATAGAATGAATACATTGTTATGACTTTACATTATATGTACATATATAAGATATGTTGAAGTTTTGTTAAAATATATCTAGTACAAATATGTATACCTAATGTAACGTACAGTTGGGTAACTGATCCGATCATGTTTCTACAAATAAGTAAACTCCGACCAACGGAAACAACTATTCTGATTAATTAATGTTCGATTGTATTCGATTGATGTCAACGAAGTCCGAAAGAATCGATTCAATAAGTATCGTCTCTAAACACTGTTAGCAGAAGATCAGCCTGGAAATGAAGTGTAATGTGCCGGCTTTTGTAGTGTTTCACTTTTGTGTTGGATTCTGTTTTACAACTGCTAATATAAACTTGAATTTGGGATCCGATAGTGTTGTTTGGACTGTTAATAATAAAAATGGATGTGAGTATATAGCAATTGTTTTTTTTATAATTATTACTATAACGACAAAGGAATCTGTTAGTATTGTATAAAGTAGGTATAGGTACCTACACGACGATAAGAACAATAATGAATGTGTTGATAATGCTACAAAATATAGGTATATCCCGAACATAGAATCGTTTTATATATGTGTATATATAAAACGGTTCAATGTTCGGGATGAAAAACTTGTATTTATGAAACTAGTATATATGTACTTTTATTTGTAAACTTATCAAATGTTGGTTGCATCTCAAATATATGAATATAAGTATCTAACATAATTGGATATTTTTTTAAAAAACACTACGGCCAAAGTTCTTACTACGAAGCTGTAGTGATATTATAACGAATTTTATTTTTTTACCTACATTAAACACGCATTGCTTAATGTATTCTTTTTTTTATCTGTATTAAACAGAAACTACTCATCTACTAAATAATTCCGTCGCCTTTTGCCTCTTTTTAGCTTAACATTCTCCTTATTATAACGCCATTGTTTGTAAATTATAATATTTGCCCACTGTAACCGTACTTAACCCCGGCAACTATGTTATAGCCGTAAAACATGCATGTATATATATTGTTTTCTATATTGCAGCTATAACGATACCAGGAACTGTCCCTGGTGGCATTTATTCGGACTTGCACAAAGCAGGCGTAATTGGCGACATCCTGGCTGGATTCAATGACGTACTGACAAGATGGGTAGCGTACGACACTTGGACGTATACAGGACATTTTCCCGGTAAATATATATACCAATATATACTGTTGTTTTTGTCAATGAGTGATAATGATTGCATCCTTCTGAAATCTACTGCGCTAACGGGGTATCAGTGAAAGATAATATAATGAGCATTAAGTTACTTCAATTAGGTTAACATGATGAATTTACAAGGAATCAACCATGATAGTTTCTATGGACCACGTAGAAGGCAACCTAACATGGTAAATTGCTAGAAAGCTTCCTGTCCTCTATACTATATTCACATCACATCAACATAGTGTTGATGTGATGTGACATGTTATAGAGTAGGTTTAGAAAAAAACACCATTGTATTTTAAAATGTACAAAGTAATCAATGCAAAAGTTACCACAATTAATAATTTGAATCTCAAATGTTCATTTTTTCAAATACATGTATACTAGTCTTTCCAGTGTTCTTATACCTATACACAAATTAAATTCAAATTCAAAAATCATTTATTCATGTAGGACAACTTAGCCGCTTATGAACGTCAAGTTTTTACATTATAATTTTTTTCCCTACCGTCCAGTTCGGTATATAGATCCAATTGAGAAGAACTGGCAAGAAACTCAATTGAATTATTTTATTTTGAAATCCAGTTTATTTACAATGCATAGGTATTTATATAGGTGTCTATGTCTAACATTAAATGAAAATCCCGAACATGAAAACTATTGCCATGCAATTGCAAATTTTATACCTATTCTCATAAAAGACCTATTGACTTTTCTAAACGATACTTGGGGACAGCAAGTTTGTCTTTAAATCTAGTATTAATATTATGAATATTACTGTTTTTTGGAAATAAGTGAAGATTTTTATGAAGATATAGGATATTTGAATATATAAATTGAGAAGCAGCGGTGAGAATATTTGGCTCTTTGAATTTTTCTCTTAATGAGTCACGACTCTTCATACAGTAGATCGCTCGAATGGCACGTTTTTGTAATATGAATATATTTTTAATATCTGCCGCTTTTCCCCAATATAATATTCCATAAGAGAGTAAACTATGAAAATAACTGAAATAGACCAATCTAGCAGTATCAGTATCAGTGTACTGTCTAACCTTACGCACGGCAAAAGCTGCTGAACTCAGTTTCGCTGCAAGACTTTGAATTTGTGCACCCCATTGTGTTTTATTATCTAATGTGATTCCTAGAAAGACAGTCTATAAATGCGAGAGATTCGTCATTTAATTTTATGTTGCAATTAGTACTAAATCTTTTAGACAGAGAAAAATTAACACATTTTGTTTTGTTTTAAAATTAGTTATAGTCAATACTTAAAATTTTAGCTTAACACATGAAAATTGTAGCACTAAGCCTAAGTCATCCCAAGTATGGTTGGTGAATGGTATCTGCATGTTACGCTAACTACCAAAACAATAGTCCGAAATACCTATTTAATTACCTCCTACAACATATCGATTTGCGCAATATTAATTAAATTATTTTATATTACAGTAACTGCAGAGCAATTAGCACCAGATGTAGCACATCTGGTCTTCCATGGACTGGATACGGTTGCATTTATCGAATTGAATGATTCTCCAATCGGCACTGCAAATAATATGTTCGTTAGATATGTATTCGACGTGAAAGAATACTTGAAGGTTAATAATATTATTTATTTATAATTTTAATCCTATTTATTCTATTTAAGTTGTACTTAATACATATGTATATATCGGGTTTAGATAATACCGGAACGCGTTCACTACCAGCTTAACATAGTGACAGCAGATATAAAATCTAAACATGGTGTATCATAGGGAAGGAAACAGAAATTAAATATACGCGAAATTATTTTGACCAAAATGAACTATTTTAATTGCTCGTATTATTCATTTTACAGTAATGCGAATTATTTCGTAAATAAATATTCCTCAAGGTAACATATAATGCCCTTTAATTATTCGAACAATCTGGATACTCTTATGCGGATATTTTTTGAGCAATAATGACCCGGTAGTAGTAACCGGAAGTAACTACTCGTCCTTCCGGAGCAACTACTCTGTTGGTACTTCTATGTGTGCTTATTGCTATGACGTTATTACTCTGGATTGTGAAATAAAATTTTCAGTGTAAGAAATAAAATATTTGATCCTAAACGATTCAAATAGGAATAGAATCGTATTATAGGTACCTACATACATTTAACTAATACGCATGTGCCGTACAAGTTATGAGTATTATATAGTCCCGCTATATTTTATTAGAAACTAGTATACCTATGTATATTTTTGTGAAAATATGTTAAGTACTAAAAAGTGTAAAGAGTATATAATGATATAGAGAATCAGCTTTACAGTTCAGTAGATTCTTTCTCTAGCATCGATGTAATAAAACGCATTTTTGTTAAATTTGATGCCTCCAATGACATTTTTGGAATAAAAAAGATTGTATTTTTATACAATCACGAGGTGGATTAAGTTAAAATAATTCAGAATACTTTTATTTTGAAACTTATCAGGCAGGAGTGAACAAATTGAAGATAACTTTCCAATCTCCCGTGGAAGCAGCAAAGCAGCGTTCTGATAAACATTTCACGCTCCCTGCTTGTGTGCCTGATATCTACAATGGGGAATGTCACGCAAACCAGATTCGAAAGATGCAAGCCTCATTCGCCTGGGATTGGGGACCAGCTTTCCCTTCAGTTGGGATTTGGTAAGTAATATTATTTAAGTACCTATATACCTAAGTCATTATACAATGACTGGATACGATTAATATTTGTAGAATTACAGTCATTCTCGACTATCAGATATCTTCTGCAATTTTATTTCATCATTTACATAGGAATTATGTTATATAGATTTTGTTATTTATAAACAGTAAATCAACGCTAATTTGAAGTAGAATAATTACTACGTACGTTACATACTACCTACGTATTTACTCATTAGTTTTATATAGTAATTAAATAATTTTAGGAAACCAGTAATTATTGAGTTTTACAACGGAGCTATAATAAGAACGGTTACAACGCACACCGAGAAAAAAAATGGCGAATGGAAACTAAATATTGTGGCTTACCTAGAATCTAGTAAAGTAATAAAGCAACTTGACGGGTACTTAAGTGCAAAATTATCGCTCGAAGGACATCAAGAGGTTAAACTTGGAAAAGATGTAAATCTTGCAACTAGAGATGACGGTTCCGTGGAAGTGGAACTCAATATTACAATAAGTGAGGTAAGATTATAAAAAAGACTTCTGATTCCCATTTTAATTATAAAAGTGTCTTCTTACTTACGAAAATAGATGGAAAGACCAATACAAAATAATTCAGTTTTTAAGAATATTGTAATATACCTACCTATAACTATACCTTATGACAAAACAAAAAAATATTATTGATATTAAGAATACAGAGAAATAAGTTTTCATTTCTGGGTATAAATATGACTGTTTTAGTTTCCGATTAAGAACTTCTAAACTCTTTTACAAATTATTAAAATACATGTTAATAGTTAAATTTTATATTCTAAGCAATTACGAGTAGTTGTCGTGCGGTAATAGTATGAATATGAATGTTTAATTTTTTATATATACCTACTCAATATAGAAACTTACCTAAGTTATAAAATATATAAAAAATCATTTTGCCTGCCATTAACGATGAAGTTCGTAGATATTCACATGTGGTAGTCACACTAGTAAACTGTTTATTTTATTTTTGTTAACAGAATGTTGTAAGACTTTGGTGGCCAAATGGATACGGAGATCAACCCCTATATGATTTAAATATATTTTTCACAACACGAGGTAACGAGAATAACGTATCTCGAAAGAATTTGCGTGTTGGGTTCCGAACTCTAGAGCTCGTTCAAGTTGATGCCTCCACGAAACTCGGTTCGTAGAAATTAAAATGATTTTATTTATATTCCATAAGAGAGTAAATATTCAAATAAAATGTACTAAATATTCAACATATAATACAATTAGTATTTCAAATACAAAGTTAACGGGATTAGCTTAAATAAAATTTATTAATAATTAAGTGCAAGTGTTATATAATGTTATTTCTGGCATTACTTTCAGGTAATAACACAATAGGCGGCGAAGGGCTTGTATTCTATTTTGATATAAACGGCTATCCGTTATTCATGAAAGGATCAAATTGGATACCAGCTGATATTTTACCTGAACGAGGATATAATAAAACAACTGGTAAGTGATGTAATAATAAAATATTATAATACAATACTTAGCAATAAATTGCACGTTAATAAGAGTCTACAAAGAATTTATAATACTTAATAAGTAAAATTTTGTTTTAAGTAAATAGCTTGCTGACTGCAGCACGAGATGCTCATATGTCAATGCTGCGCGTCTGGGGCGGTGGAGTATATGAGTCTGATTATTTTTATGAGAGATGCGACGAACTTGGCATTTTAATCTGGCAAGATTTCCTTTTTGCCTGCGCCATGTATCCGGCTGATACTGAATTTTTGGAGTAAGTTTTTCATTAATGTCTATGTTATCCCCTTAAAGACATGCAAGATAGATACACCTACATTAATTATACATTTTTAGAAATGTCAAGATTGAAATAGAGCAGAATGTTATTCGTCTTCAACACCATCCATCTATAGCAGTCTGGGCTGGCAATAACGAGAATGAGGGAGCATTACGTGGTAACTGGTACAATACTCAATCACAATTTGAAAAATACAAGGAAGAATATATTAAACTTTACGTGGAGACAATGAGACCGATTGTCGAAAACTTTGACCTGGATAATAGAGAATATTTGGTATCAAGTCCATCTAATGGTTTGGAGTCGGAACTCGAAGGATATATTGCTGAAAATCCTTCTGATCCTCACTATGGCGACGTGCATTATTATAATTACTTTGCAGACAACTGGGACATAAATATCTATCCAAAAACGAGATTCGGTTCCGAATATGGTTTTCAGTCCTGGCCTTCTCTCGCCACTACAAAGACTGCTACACAAGACCCTAACGATTTAAGATTAGATAGCGAGTATTCGAAACATCGGCAGCACAGTCCCAATGGAAATTATTATATTTCACAACAAATAGAACGGCATTTAAAACTCGATGAAAGCGATACGAAGCATTATGAAAAATTCGTCTTTTACAGTCAGGTAGAATAGAATACATATATATATATACTTTTCGCCTTAGTTAAAAAAACTAAAGTAATTTAATTTCAACGACATTATTGGTTTGTCACGAAATAGTTTAATAGTTAGAATAGGTTTATTAGACGCTAGATGTTTTTATGAATAAGGCGGATAGAATAAAATACGGTTAGTCTTAGTATAAATAATTGATATTTGTTTTAAATCATTCGCAGATATCACAAGCAATGGCTATCAAGACAGAATCAGAATATTACCGGCAAAACCAGTACGAATGGTATACAATGGGTGCATTATATTGGCAATTGAATGATGTATGGCAAGCACCGTCATGGTCTGGAATAGGTAAGTGAATATTATATAAAAATTTAATACTATCTTGTACTTATGGTTAAGTACAAGATAATATTCAATTTTTCTGTTAGTATAAAGTTCCAGTTAAAAGGTAAATCAGCAGTTCATTTTATAAAGTAACTAGGATAATAAGAACCATGATCATTCTTAAACATTAAAGTACTTTTGTAAATGTTAAATTACAATGTTGAACAAATTAATTACCTTTTTATTTATAAAGAAGACATGAAGAGCATAACTGCACAATGAGTGCAGCATTACAGGAGACACGATTTATTAAAAATGCTAAGATTATTTATGAAATATGTAAAACAGAATATTTTTATGGTCTTGACGACTGTGCTTATAAATTTGTCGATTGTCACTACGACTGCAATACTTAGTACATATGTTGCACCTGAGATTCATACTAAAGTGTTTTTTTATGATCTGTGATCGTGAGATACGATGATTTTACTTTCCTCGGTGGACTATTGGTTTTGCACACTACTTTACTTCCGATGGTTGCGAGTTCTATTCCTTCCATAGTACAAACATTTAAATTCACGATTATGATTGTTTGTATCGGTTTGGGTGTTTTCTATGTATAGGTAGGTATTATTTATGTAATCAAAAAACAAACACTATCTAAGTATTTATGTTAGTCTCTAGTATCCATAACATAAGCTTTGTTTAGCACGGTCCTAGATGGCGTCGTAGAGTCGTAGTTGTGGAGAATTCAATCCAGGAATATTACTATTATATTAACTTTTATTTTTCCGTAGAATATGGCGGCAAATGGAAAATGTTGCATTACTACGCCAAGTGGTTTTTTGCACCTGTGTTAATTTCTCCTAGATTACTTCTGACAGGCGATGTGGACGTATATCTGCTCAATGACAGATTTGTACCTATAATAGACGCACAGATAATTGTGGATACATTCAATTGGAGTAGCTTAACTCTTATCAAATCCGAAAGTTATCCAGCCAATGCCCAGTCACTGAGCTCTAGTAAACAAAACTTTTCGCTGTCCATGTGGAATGTTGATACAGATGAAATTTTTTTGAGGTTCACATTGAAATCTGAAGGAGTGTCTTCATCGCCATATAATTTTATATTCCCAAAACCTTTGAAATCTGTTCGAGGTTTGAGGGTACCTCATATAACGGTAAATAACTTTTTTTATATATATATAGATAATTCTGATTATACTTTGCATATAATAATATATTGTAATTTTAATTATTAAAAGCAATAGGTACCCACTAAACCTATACTATTAGGACTTTTTACTTATTAGAATTATTAGAACTAGTGCAATACTTATTTATTAATAGAAAAAGTGAATTAAAAGTATATTAATAGCAATATAAAATTAATAGACCCAGAATTACAAAATGATAATGTACCTAATGTCTGTTACAGATCAGAGTATCTGACCCTACTCAAGAAATTAATGGGAAACAATTTTATTATCCTGTAGACGTACATGTGGACACAGTGGTGCTCTTCCTGTGGCTTGAAGCTACTGGAATAACAGGCCAATTTGAAGACAATGGCTTTATAGTAACAAACCCTTATGTTCGTACACATTTTATAACACAGAAGAGAATATCAATCAAAGAATTAGAGCATAGTATTACTTATCAATATTATGTCAATTGATGTTATGTATAGAAGTAAGCACCTACCTGTAACAAAAAATATTTATATATTAAAATTGATTTTAATAAAATTTTATGCTTTACTAAATAAAAAAAAACTGATTGAGTTTGAATGTTTGAAAACTAAATGAAATATTTTTAAAAATACATTATTCTTCTATCTGAAAAACAGTTTTGATATTTAATACATCCAACCCTCAATGCATTGTTACGAATAACGTTACCAAAAAATATTGGTTACATTAAAAAATAGAAATAGAACAATAATACATAATAGTAACCAAATGACAAACAGGCCTTGCACACATTTGTAAAAGCAATTCAAAGTTGTAGCTATATATGTATCTATTACTAGCGACACATCAAGGCTTCGCACTCGTGTTTGACAGTGTAATGTATATGACAGAGGTCTGTAACAAATAACCATGGATTATACGTCCATACCTTCCAGAAATGCTTAAAAGGACAGGGAAAACCAAATCAAAATCTTTTACGTGGTGAAGAGCTGTAGAAGTTAGCGTTTATACGATATACGTATAAATTTCGTATAAAGCGTTATTTATATTTAATACTAGCTGCTCCTGCGACTTCGTCCGCGTGGAATTTAACTTTATTTTTCTTTACTTTACCTGCGATCATCGAAAATAAAGAGGTGTATTAAATCCCTAAACCACCAAGATCGTCATAGTTAATTGTTATCGGTACAATTTATCTGCGGCATTTGACTCTCTACTACCTAAATATATTGAAAAAATTTAATATAGAAAGGGAAATACAAACATTTAATTACTTTTCATAAAAATAATACGAATCATGTATAACCTTTTTATAAATTGACAGGGCTATATTTTACTGTATCTATGCTTACAGTAAGGTACTTATGCAATAATGTGTTTCATTTCCAGAGTGATAGTTTCAAGAGATCTTATCGTGAGTTATGAATGTTTCAAGTGCTCTTGAAAACAGGTAAACAAACACTTAGGTAATAGCAGAGATATGATGCAATTGTTTTTTTAGTGTTGTTTGAGAGTAAGCGCTACCTGTACTACAATGTCTGTACACTTATTTCGCTCTGTTTACGTTTAGGTAGTATCTTACTAATATTATAAACGCGTATGTTTGCGAGTATGGATGGAGGTTTGTTACTCTCTCAAGCAAACACTATTGAACGGATTTTGATGAACTGTAAATATATAATATACATAAAATATAATATAAACCAGATGTAGTATGTGCAAAATCTTATGATAAATGACAAGTAAGTGTGATAAAGTTGAATTTGCGGGAGTCAGCTAGTAATAACAACTATGTATACTATAATATATACAACTAGGTATAAATTCAGAGTGGTATAGTACTAATATTATTCTGACTAAAAAAATCTCAGACCGTGAGTTAGAATAAGACTGTAGCTTCCGATGTAAAAAAAACAGATTACTAACCATTTTAGTACTTTGTACAAAGTCCTCTGTTTATTTCTATTAATTAAAATCTATTTCAATCTCGAAGCAGCTTGTTTTGAAGCTCAAAATCTCGAAGCCCCTTTTACCAGACATATCAGAAATGCTACCTCAGTTGAGGCTTTTGAATATAGCTACTACTACTGCAATTAAATGCTGAGTTCTGCGGAATAACCTTTAGAAACGATAAAATAAAATTCATATGATTAGTGACGATATTCCAATGATTAAAATGTACTTTAAGACTACTACAATTCACCAGGACTGTAACGACTCAAAGTCAAACCATACCTGACAGGATTGTTTTCTTTTGTTGTTGAATTCGTATTTTTTCCATAGGTAACTAGTTTTAAGGGGTTATTATTTTTAATTCATTGTACTTGTGATTGTTCTTATTTTACAATATCGTATTATTCAAACAGAATAATTGTATAAAAATATAAATAAAACAGCGAAGCAAATCAATATGTTTATTTCAAACGAATTGCATACAAATACCTGCAATATAAATTCAGGCAGCAGTGCGTTTAAAATAATTTTTGGACGATTTTACATAAACTGGTAAGGGCTGGTTTCGTAGCACTATTTATTAATATCGAATATGGTGTTCCTTATATACTTCGAGTACATTATTCGCTAATGGAGAAGTAGCTATAATTCCAATATTTTATTTTAGATAGCGTGCTTCTACAAGGTTACCTAACGTAACCATTTATTTATCTTGTTGAAAAAAGAACAAGAACACGTGAACAACTTACTGAAGTTTATTAATGAATAAGGTACGGTTTGTGGTGATGATGTTAAATGAAAGGTTGACGAACAGGATTGATGCAGTTATCAGGGGACGTCAAGGCAAACCTATAATGATTGTACGTGTGTTGTCCGATGTAGTAGCTAATATTCTCTGGAATCATACAGACGAGTTAAGAATGTTAATGTAGTACTAATTCAGTGTTAGAATTCAATCCAACAGCACTCGGTATTATCAGCCTACGCCGTTAGAAATCCTGTTATTCAGTCTGCCAACGTCACACTTATGTGTTCTTGTTTTTTTTTTGTATGGTCATGCTAAGTATACAATCAGAGATCTTATAAGTATATAGAAATTACAATATTATTTACAGAACTGTAGGATATCAGATTCTTACATAATTTGCATTAGACAATTTATGTTTCAGAAGGTATTTATTAAAATTATAAAGAAGGAGCAAAGAGAGGTTTTTTTAACAATCATTTAATATAATATGTATTTACTTCAATTATAGTATAGTTACAGCTACTGCTCCCATACAATGTGTTTATTTATTTAAAGTATTTTTAGGTCACAATACAACTATAGATAGTTCCGTCCGTGTTAAAACCTTTAACAGTTTTAGTATAAAATTAAAAAAACTACACAATATTAACATAAATAATAGCGATTGAGTAATGATTAAAAATAAATAGTTATTTCAAAAATGGCATATTTCCAGATCCTTCAATAATATAATATATTGTTTAGATATATATTAAATATATTATGTTCTACACAAAAGGATGACATTTATTTAATAACACAACTATAAAAAATAGAATATACACAATTCAATCCTCAATCAAAATCCGCATATTTAAATATATTCGTATCCAGTACCCAAAAAACGACTTGTGACTTTAACAACCTTACTAAAAATTACCAATCATTTAATTGACCTATTTAATTATTGAACTGTTAGTTTTCATACAAGCTACTTTCTCTATAAGAAAGTGACTATATTCTGTTTAAAATGGTTTTGTAGGTTATTGTTTCTATGAATAAGCATTAGCACGAGGAACTTTTATTTGCAGTGTACAGACTCAGTAAAAACGTTATGTATGAAATAAAATGAAATTACGTAATTTTTTTCTTTTATAAAAAATAAAATTCTATAAAAAAAGCGTTTGTTTTTGTGTGCTACTATGATGTACACTTGATAACGAAATAGAATATATTTTTTAAAGAGACCTTAATATTATATTTCTCAAATTTTTTAATTAATAAGTTAATACGGGATAATATTAAACAAAGTGTTCAAATGTTAAGATTGTTCTAGCCGTTAGAGAAAAATTTTGTTAAAAAATATATAGACCATCAATTGTTCCTCGTCTAAGCAAGTCCCAAATCATACATATATATATTAGAATTGTAAAATATCTTTGAAATAAATATATAATTTCAAAAACAGCTTTGAAATTATAACAAGGAGTTAATTAGTAACATATCGTATCCTAATAAGCACCATTTAAAATAATCACAATAATGTTACACATTTTATATTAAAATACACATAAACAACACACTTATTAGACATACTAGGCGTTGGTTAAATCTTTTTAAGATGTATTTCTGCATAGTAATAGAAAAAAGCAAGTTACTTACATTATGTAAGTAACTTGCTTTTTTACCATTAATTACGAAAAATAGAACAAGATATATCTCTCACATCAACCTTGTATAAGTATGACTAGAGAATGGGAGCAAAACAGTTTAGTGTTTCGTTAGTTTTCCTTTTTTTCCATATTGAGTGACTGTTTGGGACATAAACTTTAGCGGATGCGATTTTACTCGCACATTACCTCCAATTTCAATAGACATTACATGACGTAGTTTCATAGTTAAAAACTTTTAGACAGAAAAGGAATGTAATATTTAAAATTTTAAGTTTCTATTATGTTTTTTGTATCTACTATATAAAACTTATTATTACTTTACTAACAAAGGTCAACAAAGATCTATTGTTTGTATGTATTTAAGGCATATCTTTCAAGGCTTTTTATTTGTAAGATCATGAGATTATTGTATGTTACGAGACCCGCGCATAAAGAGACCCCGCTCATTCACTCCTGTCTAAACGCAACAAAAAATAGTATATAATAATAAATAATAATAGTAACAAAAAAAGAAATTAATAGGCGAATTCCGTAACCAAACCATCAGCCTTAAAATAATTTGCTAAAGGCCCTGCACTGGCATAATTCAGCACTGTAATTAATATCAATAATAACAATAAAAATACACATATACAACATATAGACTATAAATTAGTAATGTAATCATGCAGCTTCATATAACAACATAGACAACTCTTTGGCAATTTTTTTTATTGAGCGATTTTGGCTATTATTATGTTCTTAGACCTGAAGCACCGCAACCAACGTAGATGTTAGAGACGTATTGTGTTCGCTCTTGAAATCATATGTAATGTACGGGTTAGATTATTAAGACAAGACAGTAAGAGCGGGTACTTCAAGTTTTAGGTCGACAAATAGAGAAGTCTTAAAAGTCACGAAACTTTGTAACGATATATAAAAAAATCCGCTCTATAAAAAGTGTGTTTAATAGTATTTTCTATAATTTCAATGAAAAATTGCAACCAATATACTTCTTTATTTTGAACCTTTAAATACTTGTACTGTAGGCACTTCCAACCATTATATCACTTAAAACAAAACCCTTAAAAACTGTATTTCAGTATATTTCAATAAATATGACAATATATATATTTTTCCTATAGTTCGCTTATGGTCTCTATATTATTCTGTCTTTTTTTTACATTTTGGCGCCAAAGTTATTTCACCTTTTTAAAAGCAACGGAACAAATCCAAACTGCTATAATAATGAGACAATATTAAAAGTGGGATATTTAACATTCCGCCCACCAAGGACTACATGTCCTTTATTTCAAATCCGCCCACCGTGAAGCAACTAAATCAAATATATAATAATGAAATACAAAAATCGAAGCAAACTCAAAACTGATGTACATTATTAAATCTATTTCATTCTTGAACTAAATACACTAACATAAATAAGAATTAATAAGAAGAATTGCCCAAACTCAGTCAAACAATGGACAGTATACAGAATTTCAACATGACATAAATGTTTTAAGATAGTCTATACACCAAAGTTACATGGCACAAGGATATAACTGTGCTTCTGGCAAAAAACCCATTTTTTTAGAGTTGAATTATTTTACTAAACTAGTTGAGATACACATGTGCCTTAGGTCTGTCAATAATATGATTATTGCAATTATCACATCTAGTCTAATTGTAATTTGTAGTATATTCAATACATATTTCAATATATGTATAGTATTCTGGTTTTCAGCCTAGTTTTAGCTACCAATTAATAAAATGTGCGCTCAAAAAATCATAATAGACACTCAAAGTTCTATAACAACCACTGTCAAAGTGTTGAGAAATATATTACAAAATCCATACAATTCTTTACAGTTAAACCATGAATGTTCTCATGTACAGTACAAAATTCGTACAATATAACATATTATAATGAATAAATATTATTTCAGTAAGTAAATCATATATTATTTTTGTATATGTTATCTGAATCAAATATTAGAATTATATTCATTATCATTAGTTTATGCTCGAAGATAATTTCACTGAGTATTAAAATGTATTGAAACATCTACACCAGATAATACTTCCTACTTCCACTATTTTTACATTATCCATACTAATTTATATTTTCTATATTATCTCTTATTTTAATCTTTCAATTAATTTGTTCTGCTTACTTTTCGATGCTTTGATAATCTTTCATTTATTTTTATATTGTCTCTTTTATACTCATTAGTTCTATTAAACTCTGTTTTTCGTATTATAAAATATTTTAGTATGAAACATGGACTTGACATTATGTCTACTTTTAATATATTTTTATTGTTGGTCAACCGCATACATTTTTGTTGATCTTTTGGAGTTCTTAAATTATATATACTATTTGATTCTACTTCCCGATAACCTTGTAGTATATTATCATCTTTTTCTATATTACTACGCAAAACCACTATATTATTTTTAGAATTTATACATTGAACAGGTCCAGACAAAACCCACCCTAAAGAGGTGCATTGTGCTACAGGAGAACCACGTGGACCTCTTATTATACCCTCTTGTAAAATATAGACTTCTGCTCCTAATAACATGTCAATTTTATTTGGAACATTGTATTGTGGATCAGCCAGAGTAACGTTAGCTGAATTAATCCAATCTATCTTAGGTATCTGTTTAGCTGACATGTAAGATGTAATCTGTTTTAAGATATGTGTTGTAACATTAGTGCTAAAAGTTGAATCAAACATTGACTGAATTTCCAATAATATTTTCCCTTTTGAAGCTACCGAACCATAGTAACCACCAAGCCCAGATATTATAGTCTTTGCATTTGAACTTTTTAAACCTAATCTTTGAAATGCAGTTTCTATGAAAGAGGCTTGTGAACCTTGATCTATAATTGCTCGAAAAACCTGATATTGACCTGATCCCGATTTGACTCTCACTAGAGCTGTTGTTAAAAGAACTTGATTTTCTGCGCTAACTCAAACACGATACTACAGAATCTATTGGGGTCTCGACTTGGTTGTTAGATATTGGGACTTCACCGATATTATGTACTGAGTCATTTTGATGGCTAGTTTCAGAGGTCAAATTTGGTGGATGTAGAAGTGAGTGATGTCTTTTTTGACATACTCTACAATTAATAGGTTTTTGACAGAATCTCACAGAATGATTGCTTCCCAAGCAATTGGAACAAATACGATTATTTACAACAAACTCGTGTCTATTTTTATAACTTTCTGAAATAAAGTCCTTACAGAAACATAACTTATGGTTACCGGAACAATATTCACACGCTACTTCAAATACATTTGCATTTAGTAATCTAGGTCTAACAGGGTTTTGTACTAAATTTCCATCTCTCCGTCTGTTACTGAAGCTAGATTCTGTAAACTCGAGAGCTCTGTAGCGACAGGTAAGAAACTCTTTAAACTGTTGAAATGTGGGTAAAATGTTTAAACTATTGTTAGTACTAATATTTAATTCCCACTGCTTTCGTGATTCAGGGTCTAATTTTAACGTGAGTATATGAATTAATATTATATCCCAGGATGAAATATTTACTCCAATATTTACCAAAGAATTCAAACATTCAGTCGAAGTATCTAATAATTCTTTAAGAAAACCTGCCGTTTCAGTAACAGCATTTGTTTGACCTAAAAGCCTTGTCAGTATACAGTGAGATAAATATTTTCTATTGTTATACCTCTCCTCAAGTTGCCTCCAACATATGTCATAATTCGTTTCAGATACAGAAATGTGTCTTACTAATTGCTCTGCCTCGCCTGTCAAATATCCCTTAAGGTAATGCAATTTCTGCACTTTATCTAAAGATGAGTTATTATGAATCATAGACCGAAATAAATCACGAAAAGTAATCCATTCGCTGTACTTTCCTGTAAAAATAGGTATATTAACCTTTGGGAGCCTGACATAGCTTGGCTTAGCACTTGTATCATCATTACTAATGAAAATAGTTTCATTACCCGACCTCTCTGGTATAAAACCTTTTAACAGTTTTGTCAACTCACATTTATGATCTATATACACTTCTTCGGCCTTATCATATATTTCATCAGTAACATAAATATGAATATTCAATTTATCTGGATCTGCTACTTTAAGAAGCTCTTTATGACCCGCTTTAAATTCAGACCATAACTCTTCTATTACTTCTAGTTTACTCTCTATATATTCCATTGTAATACGGCTTTTAGGCGATTTTTTAAAGTTAGTCCAAGCCTTACAAATTCGTGTGTATAGATCATTTTGAACATTAATTAATGAATCCATTTTACAAACGCTAATTACATAAAAAATATTAATATATAAGAATCTATTCAATTATAATTGCTGTCTTGTCAATTTACAATTTACACTTATTAATTAAATTCAAAATCTGTAATATATATAGGTATATATATTGCTCTGTTATTTCAACGTAATAAGAACCTATTAAGTAAATTAAACTACAAACATAAACTACAGAGTAAATTTAAATTAAACGAAATTATAGTTTAAACATACAGGTCTCAGACTAATAAAATATAAAATCACTTTACAAATATAAATATAAGTGTATCTTATCCTAACACTGTACGATATTAATCATTTTTGTCTATTTATAAATTTTCCAAATCCTTGTTTCACAACTATCAAAGTCAATACTTTATTGAAAGATTGTTGCAGTTCATCATTCTTGCCACCATATAGATAATAAAGTTATAATTTAATTGTATCTTCATTGACTATTGTTCTCTTCAATTAATAAATTTCGCCTACAATTAATAATTTATGGAATGTACTCACAGTTTCCACTTCACTCACTTATTGATAATCAGATATCACAGCAATATTATGTCTCTGCTTCTTGATAACGACATGTATCGAAATTACTCCGAACAGCGCCTACGTCTACAACTAGCTTGACCACTGATGTCACGAAAACAACGCACTATAGGTACCATGAAGTGACGCCACTGATGCTACTCGTTGTTGTACTATGGAATTGTCCAGCAAAACCTTCTGTTTCTTAGTTTAGTCAGGTTATATAGTAATCAATTTTAAACTAAACCAAACTGAATTTAAATCCGGCTCGATTTTGGACCAAATGTTTAATAGGGTATTTTCTATAATTTCAATGAAAAATTGCAACCAATATACTTCTTTATTTTGAACCCTTAAATACTTGTACTGTAGGCACTTCCAACCATTATATCACTTAAAACAAAACCTTTAAAACTGTATTTCAGTATATTTCAATAAATATGACAATATATATATACTTTTCCTATAGTTCGCTTATGGTCTCTATATTATTTTGTCTTTTTTTTACATTTTCAAAGTTATTTCACCTTTTTAAAAGCAACGGAACAAATCCAAACTGCTATAATAATGAGACAATATTAAAAGTGGGATATTTAACAAAGTGGATATTGATTGTTTATTTATACATTACTTTCTATGTGTAAATATAATATGTTTTAAATATGGCGTTCATATTAAGTATGATTGTAACTTATTATTAGAATTTTATAAAAAAAGATTCTATTTGGACCTAAATTCTATAAAGTAAAAACTCATATCTGTCTTATGTAAATCGTCGCTAAATTTAGATTTAATTTCAATAATTAATTTCATAAGGAGCAGATAGTATGATAAATTCTCGTGTTGCGCCAATACAAATTCTGTCTCGAATAACAATAACTTTCTTATTAAGATATATAATTTGACAATGTTATGCAATTGAATTGTTCTTTTATATAGATGATATTGATTAATTATAATGTGCACTTAATGATTTGTTGGAAATCGGTACATAATTTATTTGTGATAAAATTTGCATCATATATACTAGGTCCTTACATTCCTTGATCTCATTTTATTATACATATAATATGAAATAATCGTTTTATTTGTTAATATTAAATTATTTATTAACATATAAGATAAATATATATGAGACATGATCTTATGATTCATATTAAAACAAAATTCATGTATTTGAAATTTTAAAATAAATAAATAGATTAAAACAAAGTGAAATGACAATTCCTTTCTGATTTATACCAAATCCGGTAAATCCTTATTAGCATTGTAGAATATAATGACGATGTAAGTTAGAATTTTGTATATAAGATCTCACATTATGACAATACGATTAGCGTTAGTCGCCCATGCAAGCCCATCAGCGGTAACTGAGCCTGCAAACAAATACAAATTTATTATGATATATTATAGAAATAGGAAGTATAGTGTTTACTGTTATATATCCATTATAGATACGGAATAATAATAATAGATTATATCATTAAATATGATAGAATTAATATAAGTGTAGTATCTAGTGAGCATTAAAAATTGAAATGAAAATAATATTAAACAATGGCTTAATATATTATCTATGAGAAAAACGAATTAAAAGATAGATTTCAGGCAGTCTATTACACAAGCAAGTAAAAGAGGAAAATATTATACATATTATCTGTGGATAGTGTGAGTGTGTTTCTTTCTCCCTCTCTTTCACCCTATAAATATTTCACATGTCAAATATTTTATAATTTGACAGAGACAATATAAATTACGTACCTAAATAAATGCTCATTAGAAGTATATCCTGACTTCCCTTAGTGTGTATATTGATTCATTAGTGCTCCATTCATGTTATATCATGCAAGCAACTACCCATGCAATGATTGACAACAAATAATCAGTATATAGGCACGGGAATATATATATCATGCAAATATACGTCATGCAGATACAGTAATCAAATGCTTCATTATCAAACAAATAAAAAAATCACTTATAATATTAAACACTCAGCGCGTTAAATAACACCAAACAAATTAAAACAGTGCTTGCGTATTATTATATTTATAAAATAAAAACATATATTTTTATAGCTTAATGTAATAAGGTGAGAAATCGACTCTTTCAATAGATTGTAACCTGTTTATTAAGCTGTGCAACAAAGCATATAAGATAATATTCCATGAATAATACACACCTTAATAATCAAATAATCCCAATAATGACCTAAATTAACAAAATGTGAAATCATTTTACAAATTAATTAACACTTTGGAGTATTATTTACAATGCGTTATTGCGAATGAGGTACCGATGTATGGGGCGATCCTTCTGGTTTCAATTTATGTAATGACTACAAATACACAAAATTTAGCAGTAATAAGTTAGACAGAGGACTAAATACATTACAACTTGCAAAATGGAGTAGTGTCTATTGAAATTAGTTATATATCTGAAAATAATGCATTTTTTATGTATAATAGCCATCAAGCTCACGGCTTTCCTAATAATAAGTGGTAACCATCTCCTATATACACGAATAATATATGCTGACATTGTAACACAATAAAAATATTGTTTGTTGTAGTTTATACGTCATAAAGATAAATTTTACCTATTGAACAGGATACAATTATGGAGCTATAAGTTTAGAAGTGAGTCATAATTACTATTAGTATATTTTAGACTAATTATCATTCCAGAGCGGAGCACACGCGTTTATTTATTTTAGTCGCAGACCGAGGTCGCCCGTTTAACAAACATTTAATATGGCAGAGATGTAATTAGTGTAATCTTATCATTAACAAAACATACTAATTATAAATATAATTTAATAAGTGCCATTCTGGTAACGGCAGTGCTTTTATGTGTCAATTGTTCCAAAATCACCCATTTAAAAAACTTGGCAAACAACTAAGGGTCCTGTTTAAGTTACTATGTAGCTGAAAATGTTGTATACATAGAAAATTTTACAATTTTTTACACTCATACTGTTGCTAGTACGAGTATAAAATATTGAAAAATTTTCTTCTTATTCCCTTACACTCATACCGTTCCATCTTTTTTTCCCCTATATGTTGTCAATCTCGCGAGATCTCACTATAATTATTCTTCGGGCAGATCTCATCCTAATAGCTTAACTATATAACATCAGTCATAGTACCGATCAAAAATATATGTTTAGTGTAATAAAAATTGATGCATTCAATCTAAGTTCTGGTGTTAAATAGGTATCTAAATCACATATGTCAATGCCATTATTAATATTAGAGAACCATTTAATATTATGAGATATTATACACGGGATATGATAGGTGGCATGTCGTGTAAATATTTTTTTTCGTTTTTCGTCATTTTTACCTACATATAAAGGTAATGCATTATTTCCAGAATATATCAAAAATAATTAAAAAATAGTTATATTCAGTCCTCATTCGCATCACATCTGTGGTCATCAGGACATGTACACTGTTCCCAATAAAATAAAGGCGCTCTTATAATTTCATAGCCTTATACAAAAGATTTTCCTGCTACAACTTATTAGGTAGATCACAAGTAAGCACTTGCAAAATTTAGCAAAATCGTAGACGCCCACGGTAATATTATAAAGTAAATGCTTGATATTCAATAACACTCGTATCATTATTATAGCCTGAAATACCTTTGTAATACAAACCATTATATATGAATAGTTTTTCAATTATTGCAAATATATAATTATATATAATTCAGTCAGAAATACTACGGTGTATTTTAAAAATTTCACAGGACAAGATAATCATATATTTATAGCATGCGTCATCTTAAATAAACCTAATTGTGAAGCTAATAGTTTAGAATGAAACTCGTATATCTTTTACTATAGTCAATCGAAGGCAAAACCAAAAATTTAAACCCAATATTCAGGAAGGCATCATAAATGAACAGCCTTTTACCTGGTCCGGGAGTGCAAAGCCGCTCGTTCTTCGGCTGGGGTGTCTCTGAGGAACGTTGACGACAGATTGAGAACCACCATCAAACAGCAGAGGAGAAGTGGGCCTAGAATAGCTCCTTCCGGCCCGAGGTAGAATATGCCACCAGCTATAGCGAGGCCCGTCACATACGGATGACCACCGCTGAAAAATGTAATAAATTAATTAATAATATATTATTTCATTTCATTCCGCTACGATTAGCATGTGTGACATCACAAATATTCCGTGTGGAAAACTGACCGGCGCTATTGGAAGTATTACAAACTTCTCTATTGCTGATTAATTTCGATCGTTATTGAATCATATAATTATATATTGCAATATGGGTTGTTTTTCTAACTATTCTAATGCATTTGACCGCAGCTTCACCGAACGAAAGGGGGCGATGCCAGATGTGACTTAAACTTATAATTTTGTACTGACTGAGTAATTAGTGCTCCACGGCTAAATGTTATTTAATTTAAAAGAATACTTTTACAATAACATATACGTACTCTTTAATTTCAGCATAAACAGCGGCGTCCAGGAATGCAATAGGCGCTGCTTGGGCTATAGGCAAGAGAAGAGCGGCCATTGGTCTGCCTTGCAGCCACACGTCCAGAGCAGCCGGAATGCCGGCCAAGTATGGGCCGAGGAACGGTGCAGCTCCTAATACAGCTGCTAAAACTGAAATATATAGTTGATAAAGGTGAGTTGACTTTTTGTTTGATTATATAATAAGCAAGCCGTCTTTACTTTTTTCCTTACTTACTTACTTACACCAACAATATGATAGTTTATATTCATAAATTTATATATACCTTTTAAATAGTAAAACAACTAGAAAACAAGGCCGTAAGGCCGAAAACTCGCACAATGATGATTTTCCACATGTTATGCATCTTAAGAGAATTAAGAGACGGTGGATAGGCTGGACCAGTATTTGCTATATTAGTACTTTATTCTTCATAGTTCCTAGAATTTGAACGCGATTCTAATTAGATTCATTACTAGAGTTTTATATATATAAAAAAAATACGTAATATTCTTAATTAGTTTAAGCTGCCGTTGACTCGTCAGCAAAGAAGATTATGTCTTCTTGTCTACGTGATATTGGCCAGGTTCTATTTATATCATTTATACTAACTGTAAATTACAATCCTGTTTTGCTACACCAACCGATTAATTAGACTAATATAAAAATATATATAAATAAAAAAACATGAAACTATGAAAATGCAGAAAACATTTTAATATATTTTTAATGTCTCAGTAACAAATAATTTAAAAATATCAGTTTCTCTTTAATTACTCGTTGGTTTTGGTGATCTCAACTGCGCGTAAACATATTTGTAGAAATCTAATGCTTTCTGTTTATCGTCTGCCACTGTATTTCTGTTTCTGCTTGTAAACTCGTTTTTGTTAGGTGGACTATGTACTTCTACTGTATTTCTATTACTACCAATGCTTCTAAGTGTTTCTACAAAATTCTTGGAGGAGTCGAATACTATTTTAACAGTCGTTCTATTACTCATATTTAATTGAGTATCTTTCAGTAGATCATCTCTATCCAATTCTGTCATAGGTGCGCTCGCGTCACCATTATTCAAATTTGCTTGTCTTATTAAATAAAAAGTTGGAGGTGGTACAGTGATATCTTCATCAGTAGTCACTTCGTTATTGGTCGAATGCTTATCATTGTACATTAAACACATTACTTGGTAATCTAGGCTCAGTTGACACATATCACTCTCTTGTAATAACTTCACAACATCCACAGGCAGTAAGCATGGCGCGTGTATGCAAGTGTTATTTGAAGTTACATCCAATATTATATCGTTTAGTTCTCTTTTTGAAGTAGCTGTGTTTAAGAATGCTATATTCTGACATTTGCAGTCCATTTTGTTTTGCCTGAATATTACTGTTGTGAGTGAACTTTTACAGCTATTATAATCGAATAAAAGTGAGTTTGGTTCTATATGTTTAATTGTATTGTCTGAAAAACTAAACCGTGTTGTCTTTGCTCTTATTTTTGAACATTTAACGTCTGCAAGTGCGGTACTTTTAAGAGTATCAATTTCATTATTACTTATATCAGTGTTAGCAGAATTAAAAATAAAACCGGATATCTTATTAAAAGTATTCCCAGTTACATGCAAATTGTCGCATGTTACGTTTATTACATTAGCTCTTATATCATTAAACACATTGCCAGTTATATTAACAGTGGTGCATTGTATTACTATCCCATTAGTGTTCAGATTATTAATACTACTATTAATAATAGAGAACACTGACTTATCATTGCCCATAATTGTTTCTATTGCCTCCTTTTCAATATTGGATATTGTTACGTTCTGAAACTCAATACTTTTTATTCCAGTAACGTTGTGAATGGCTCTCGTTTGAATCGTATTTATTTTACTGTTTACTACTCTTATTTTTTTAAGTGAGTTTGATCCAGAACACTTTAATTCTGTATTTGTTATTGGGGATTTAAATAATTGTCTCGGAAAAGATATGATTTCTCTGACATTTTCTATAGTAACCTCAGGTGGAGTCTGCAGCAAGGAATTAGTGGACAAAGAAACAAATTCGAGGCGGTCACAGTCCTTTATTTTTAACTGTTGTAAATGCGAACGTCTCTGCAATATGGGACAGTCCAATACAACTCGTATATCTCTACAATTTTGCACAGTTAAACTCTTTATATGGTCGGTGTAATAATCTTTGAGGTGAATTATGAAATTCTAAAACAAAAGAAAAAAATTTTTGGTAAATTTAGTAGCATGTATATATATAGGTTGAAATAAATTATTTAAATAGTATTACTTACATTGCTCCTTACAAAAGAACATGAATAAATAATTTCATTAGGCAAGTTATTTACACAATTCCATTCTGGATTTTGACAACTTGTGAAGTTAATTCTGATGCCAACAGCTGATGAGAATAAGATGATGGCGAAATATAAAATATATTTGCAATTCATTTTTTGCAGTATTACCAAATGGCATTTTTCTCTATATTACGAAATATACGGAGTAAAACGCGGGCGTAAATGTATCACATTCGACGCGAATGAATATCATCCCGAGATAATACTCTGTTAAATGTAGTGTGAAAAAATATGATTATTTATCTGTACGGACGAAATCATTAGTTCAATGACATTATTATTTTTTACAAGTACAAGTCGTATCGTAACTAATACAATAGACTTTTTGCAAATTATTTTAAAATAGATCCTTTTAATTGGATTATTGTCGTAAGACAATATCTAATAATAATTTTGATCTAATAATTTTTATGGCCATGGTAGTTAGTAGTAATACTAATGTCATATAAATTCATGAGTACGATTGTCTGAGTATTTTCTATGTACACATTATAAAAGTGCTGCTTACTTTGGTACTATATGACGCTGTGTGAGTTGTGTTATTATTATATATACTCAGAGAAAAGTATTTTATTTTATTTTATCAGTCTTATTATACTATTAATTGTTATTCAAAATAACGTTGTATCTATTTGTAAACAAATGCTTAGTTATAGATAGTCCGTAATCGTACTAAGTTGACAGTACAAACAAAAAAAACTAAAATAAAGATAAAACCTTAAGTTTACTTATACGGTTTCTATTAATTTCGCCTAATTGTTTATATTGTTATTTTAATTTTGCATGTAATACATACATTACAAATCAATAATGTCTATAACTAGTAGGCTGTCTGTTTTATGACTCGTCTCGAGGTCATGAGTATCGATAAGAGCGAATAATTAACTATCTCTTCTATATACCATATATATTATCATTTGTTTTTATTGGAGAAAGTGAAAATATAAAAACTATATCAACAAATGTATACGAATATCGTCATTTCATAGTAACTTCGTATACCTGCGATCTAATTTTGAAAAATAAAAGCAAGTTTCGAAAAACTGTGCATTGTGCTGAAGTTACATTATCGTGCAGAAGTTTGCATCAATTTTAATGCAGACTGATTAGTCAACTACTTATAAATAGGAATATTTATATTAGTAGTGTAACGTTTTGGAATAAAAAATAATCTAAAACAATGTATAACTTACCAGATGGTAAATAAACGACCTTGGCTCCAAACAGGTTGTGTACTAGCCACGTCCATAGTCCGTAGAACAGTGCCATTTTGAAGGACGCCCTAAATACCTACAAATACACAATTTAATACGATTAATATATTTAATACACAAAAAGAAAACTACTCTTTTTTATGTTACCGAGTAGTCACAAAGCGTTCCCATAAAAAAAACTATTTTGTATATATACGAATGCAAAAATAAAACACGATTAAAAATACACATAAGCTGACATACATTATTGTGAAGAGGTTCAACAAATTATAATAAAAACAAAGTCTTATGCGTGAATCTATTGATATATCAAGGTATAAATTGAGTTTTATCAAATCAGTTCTGTAAAATAAAAAATCTTTGTCATATTCTGAGCAGGACGTGAAGGCAGCCAGATACCCAATAATGTAGCAAAACTTGAAGACTTTAAATACTCATATTTAATGGATAAGCTCCTTTAATCATATCTGCACTTTTCAAATTTTGAGTGGTAGAAAATGGCTATTCAGCCTTTTATATTTTATTAGTCAATAAAGATTAAATTAGTAAATTCGCCGGTCATATACAATTTCAAATCACCTGATTGATCGCTACTGAGAGCGCGATGCCAAGCCTTGGCCCAAAATTGGGCTGTACCTGGGTGATCACTTCCACAGGTTTGTACAGTGCGTTGCTGGATGCTAGTAGATAGAACAGCGTTGTAAAAAACACTACCTAGCAACAAAATTATTTATTGATGAATATTATACTTTTATGATTACTATCTAAACTGATTTTATTTAATTTGTAAGGGATAAATGAAAAAATACATAAATTATATAATAAATATTAAGTAAACTACTTTAAGAACATACAATAGGAGCCTAAAAATAGACTTTCTTACAATATTACACTCGTGTGAATCTAGAGCAAGTTGTTAGTTAAAAATGAAATATATTTTAAATCATATTTCTTTTGTCAGTAAGTATTTCATTGAAACAAAGCCTTAAACTTGGAATTAAATAAAATACAGTTCAAATGATGCTTCTATTATATATACATAAGTATTATATATACGTATAGTTTAAAAAATACTTACTAAGTTGATGAACATATTAATAATGGCGCCTCCGCCGGAAAATAGCAGGGAAGTGAAGGCCCCAACTGACCCTGCCAGAAGCGACATGTTGCTGGCCAGTGGTGACCAGATTCCTGTTGCTATTGCACTCAAGGTACCCAAGTTCTCTTGCACCCATGTCACTATTCCGGTATAGTCGAAAATACCTGTTATATATAAAACTAGCTGTACTCACGACTTTGTCCGCAGGGAATGCAGCTTTATTTTTCTAAAATAAATGTAGCCTAAGTTACACCTTATTACATCAGCTACCTGCCAAAAAAGTCCCGTCAAAATCGGTCCAGCGTTTGAGAGATTAGCCGGAACAAACAGACAGACAGACAGGACAAAAATGGTAAAAAATGTTATTTTGGTGTACGTACCGTATTGATATTCATATGCATGTAGTAAAAAAACGGTTATTTCAATATTACAAACATACACTCCAATTTTATTTATATGTATAGATGTATAGATTAATATTATTACACTTTTCGTATGGTACGTGATTATGCCTATACAAGAGGCAACTTATCTTGAAGATATAGAGATAAATGTAAGGACAACAAACAATATATATTAAGATATATATTAGATATAAGTTAAGACAATAAAGGGTTCAAAATGATCATGTTTAACGCATAAAATTCTAAATTGGAGTGTGGAGGACGTGTGTCTATTATTTTGTAGTTATAGTACTTGAAATAGGTTACAATCATTACATAGTATATAACAAAGTCGTCGCCGGTCTGTTCGATTATATGTTTTATGCTACGCAACGGATGTTATTGCAGTTTTCAGCAATAGATAGAGCTATTCAAAAGGTTGATTTATATATATTACACATGCGGTTTACAGTAGAGAACAATTCGATAAATTAAAAGATTTGTAATGCATCCGTGCGAAGTCGCAACGCGTTGCTAGTTAAATAATAAAGTATAGTTTTCTGATTCTTCAAAGCTTAGTCATCTTCCTAACCAGGTCGGCAAATTTTTCTTTCTTTACCGAATCTGTACATTTCTTTCTTATGAGTGTATATAATCAAATGAGAGCTTGACTCAATATTAGTGATTCCTTTAACAACTGTATACTCGCGTATCTATACCGCAAACAAGACCGTGCTTACCTTGTCTGACACATGCGTTAGTCGAGTGGTATCTTACCGGGTGTTTTAGACATGTCATTCACAAAGTTGTCCCATGAGTCCTGAATTGCTGTTCCGTCGACTTGCGGCCCCATAGGAGAGGTAAAGTGACCAGACACCCAGCTTTGATATACTCGATCCCAAATCTCCAGGATTTGTTGTTCAACTCGAGTTACTTTGTCTGGTTCCCCTTCCTTAAGTATGTTTCGTATCTACATTAAAAGTATTTAAATTAATGAATATTGAGTACATACAGATCGCCATCTAGTTCCAAGCTATTCAGAATGAAATAATGAAAATAATTGGAATGTAAGCAAAAAGAATACCGTGCCTGTTCATTAACCTATCAATGTTACAATAAAAGCACTATTTTTTGTCTTAATATTTTGTATAAAATTGTATTAATATCCAATTGGATTACAGTATATCTACCTAGTTCTGAATTATTGTGACACACACAATTTTTTATTTTTTATTTATTAGCGTATAAAATATCGAAAAATACGTAAAAAATAAAAAGAATTCATACCTTGTCCAATGAAAGGTAAACAAAGAAAAACAGTTTTGCTTTTGGTGTTTCTTAACAATTAATGGTGTAATTTGTATGCAGTAACATTAATGCGCAACAATCTTAGCGGTTCTAATATGTGATGTGAATTTTATTGAAGTTAAAAAAATATAGCGATATTAAGTAATTCAATGCAAATTAGCGTGTATAGTTCAGGTGCTTGAACCTAAAATGGAATTGGCATCAATAACTCACATATTTTCGTATCTGTTCATTACACCATACATCCGATTGCACAAGAAAATATATTAATTTCATTACTAAATGGCAAAAAATGTCAGAACATGCAACGGACTTCAAAAAAGGAAAGCTTGCGCAATTAGGCTTAATTTTTATGAACATTACGCGAATGTGTCGCGCCTATAAGAACCAAGTTTTTGGATTTTTAAACTATAGTATATTTTTTTATAATAACTCTGAACAATTAACACAGCGCCATCTAGTCCCAAGGTAAGCAGAGCTTGTGTTATGGGTACTAGACAACTGATATAAATACTTAGATTTTTTTTTCGTAAATATATAGATATTAGCTGGACTGATACAAACAATCATACTCATTAATACAAATGTTTGCACCGTGCGAGGAATCGCCCATCGGAAGTAAATCGGTGTGCAAAACCGCTAGACTGCCGAGGTCGCCAATATTCTCGTTATATTGGTTTTCATATAAATTTAATAAAAGTAGTATTTATATTTTTATATTCGCCATCATATCCTGGAGCTAGAAGATACTGGGAAAAATATTCAATGGGAAGCCGCTCTACATGATAGCATCACAGAACATATTCGCTTATAGTCAACTGATCGCAAATTTGGAGAAAAAAAAATTAAATATTTCTTATACAAAATATTCAATAACCTCCACTTGTATTTTATTCAAATATTTAATTCGATCAACTAAACCGGCATTTGAGAGAATTGTACTTTAATGTTCGTTTATATATGTGGGGGCTACAACCGCATGTCCTGTGAGTAGTGGCGTTTGGCAGAAACACGCACCATAATTAAGATGCCAATAATACTCACAGCTGTCGAGATTCCTTCCCGTCCATAAGTGTAAGCATTGTCAATAAGCGAGTCCAGTTTTTCTTCCCAGCCTTCAGGCAAATATGCATGTAGTTCACTATTTTGTACAAATGTGCTGTTTAAGAGACTGCCGCTTAGTTGCACCACAACTATTGCTTCCGAATATATCTAAAATATAATGGTGTTCTAGATTAAATAAATTGTTTCGTGATTATTAAATAAATTTCGACCAATTACCATTGGAATTATAACATTTATGTAAGTGGTATGGCAACAAACAAGTTGTCGGTAAGTGGCAACCATTGTCCATATACATAAACAGCACTAAGGATATTAAGTTATAATATAACGTATGTGATACCATTTCTGGTTTGCCATTTCAAAAGTCGGGCCTCTTGTTCTGTAATTTCACAGCTTAATCGCATGCTACCAACCGTAACACAGTTTCTTGTATTTTGAATTAACTTACTAACTAACTAGCTTCTACCAAATGAGGTCAGTTATTTTTTCACACCGGTGTGGTAAGTTTTAAGGTAAGATTTTCAAAACTTACCATGTAGGTAAGTTTTGAAATACAGCTTCCAAAGTAAGATGATTAAAGACGTTAAATTGCTATGAAATATAACAACCATAAGTAAAAAAGAACAGATTTTCTCATATTCTCCTGTTTGAATTATTTTCAAATGTGTATCGTATAGTTGACGCCAAGTTTTTTTTAAACTATCCTTTTTAATATACATTATATATATTGTTAACCGGGTTAAACACGAATAATTTTATGGTAAATAAAAAGTTTTATCTCTCCCAACGTTTTCACTAGGTTACACAAGGTCACGTGGCCACGAGCTGAATGAGAGGTAAGTTACCTTAACCTTTATTTATAGTACCATAAAATTATTTGTGGTAAACAATATAAATAATGTATATGACGGCGAATAAAACATATTTAATTTATTTACCTGTATACAGATAAATATGATGGCCACAGTGAGGAACAGAATAAGACCGATAATAACGAAGCATGTTGACACCGTATCAACGGAGCTGTATGCCACCTCCCGCATACTGTTATTACATATTGATAACATTTTGCCTATGCCTCTGATATGAGCCGGTACCAATGCCGTTTCTCTGTAATATAAAAGTGTACCTTAATTACTATATTGCTAAGCAATTACAATAATCTACTTGTAAACGTAGCTAAGAATATGTCAAGTGTTGCCGTTGACATCAACATTTGATACCTCTGATTATCCTATTCTGGATTATTATGCTAAATTATAATAGTACTATAACATTAGAAAAATTGTTCCATGCTAACAAAAGGACCATTGATGGTACAATAAACATACATATTTATTGTTGTTATTATTAATAGGAATGTTATCAAGTACTTTCCATTAGATGGATGGAATTTGTAATTATTACATATAATGAAAAAATGATCCAATGAAATAAAAACGATGAACTCTGTGGTCTAGCTGTTTAGCACACCACCTTAGTTCTAATGGTCGCGGGTTTGATTCCTTGCATGATACAAACATTTGTATTAAAAAAGAATAATTTCATTGGTTTGGGTGTATACTATATATAGTACTGTTGTAGTTAGAAAAAGTGAAATTTTTAGTTCCTATAAGATTAGACAGTCTTAGCTTAGATATATATCCAAGTTGCCGCTATGTGAATTGTTATGGATTGTTTTCACTATTATTAATTAGTGTAATAATATCACCTGAGATTCCACCAGTTCATAAATTTTCCCATTACATTATTGTAGTGGTTTTCAAAAAATAACCACACACCAAAATACTCTAGGGATCTCTTTATAACGTAAATTGCTATAAAAAATAACATTACAGGCAGCAACCATATATGTTTCCACACTAGCATACAGAAACAACCAAAGAAAAGCAACTTGAAATACAAAGCAGTTTCTTCATCATTATCGAAATTGTTTCTCATGTAATTTTCGTCTAGAGATCTCTGTTTGAAGTTTGAAATAAAACGGTTGTCATATGCCTTCATTCTAGTATTTGAAAGTGGTAAGTCGGAGAGTGTTCGAGTTTTGTATAGTTTTTTTGCAAATCTTGGCGAACTCTGTATTGCTTCATGTCCAGTCCAACTATCGCTTTTAACTGTTGAATCTGTGGAGATGGGAGATGGGCTATCTTTCTCTGGTGTAGATTCTTGGTCACTAACACTGGGTTGGTTTTGTTGTGGTATTTCCTCTATTTTCTTTTGACTAGCTTCATTATAACCATTTGTAATCACTGCGTGTAAAGCCTGCAGTACTGATGCATCAGGATCTAATAAAAAATTAAATGATTGACATTAAATCAATTATTTGGCCTCTCTAACAACCAAATGATTTTACATACATTGTAATAATGGTTCCATTTTTATCATTATCACTACATTTTTATCACTTTGAACACAAAGCTCCTGCTTAATGAAAGGAAAACAAGTAATGTCGATATGCTTATGTGTAAAGCAAAATGTATTAAAAATATAATATTTACAAAAGATATATAATATCTTACCATTCAACAATAACCTTCTATGTATATCCAACACTTCAAGAGAAAAGCCAATAACGCAGAACATTTGTAGCAACACAAACATGTAGACTTTGAAGGACCCACAGAGACTGGCCAAGAAACTTGTTATGACAAGCCAGAGTAGTTGGGAGCTAGTTTTGAATAGACCAGCTCTTTCTGGTGTCCATAGTGTCCACACACTTATAAAGTATCCTAAGACTATTGTTAAAGTCTGTAAAAGAATAGATATACTTGCATCAACATAATTGTTTACTATTTACTCAGAAGTTCACTGATACTATACATTCTATTAATAATAAAATTAAATGGCTATATAAGCTACTAATACCTACAATAAGACTGCATTTGGATTGAATATTAATTTAATTTCTAAATGTTATTTTTGGTGCATACATCCTAAATTTCAACTTCATTCCATTATAAATGCTAAAAATCTGTTATGACTAGTGATATATACATATCTATAGTTCCTAATTGACCTCAATTATTACAATGAATCACCTCACTCTCAGTTCATATCATGATGTAAGATCTTATTAATATCATAAATACGAAAGTTTGTGAGTATGTATGGTTAGACGGATGGGTGGACATTTGTTACTCTTTCACACAAAAATTACTGAAGGGATTGAAACCTCAGGCACAGCTAGCATATAACAGAATTGGTTTTCAGTTTAATTGTCTATTAATAAAAACAATTAATAAAACAATGAACCAAATTAGGAGTTGAAATTACTAAAACATTTCACATTTAAATAATTATTCATACATAAAATACCTCAAATAAACCTATTTAAGTGATTAAACTTTTACGTCTCAGTTTTTTTACAGTATCAGAAGCAAAATTAACATCTTAATTTGAAAGATTGTGTGAAAAGAATGTAATATTTTTAATTAGTTTGTTCTTTCTAATTAAGACAATAGTCTCAACAAAATCTTATACATTATATCTTCAGTAACATTACATTTATTTTTATAATAGGACATACTATTTAACAATAAAAATATAATGATATAAGACTTGAAATCAGACATTATTTTAAATGATAAAATGTTAAAGTGTGGATAGAGTCTATTTAATGTATTTTTATATTTTTAGGAGACTACATTTCAGCAATGTTCATAATACCTTGACAAGAGTAGTATATTAGTTATTACATAAAACATGAATCAACTTCATACAAAACATTAAAGAGCAGAGTAGGCTTAAACCTACTCATTTAATTAACATAAAACAACCTCATACAAGGTGTTCAGCATAAATTTATTATATTTTAAGATACAAAAATATGTTCTATTGCAAGAACTGGTTTAATGGCAATGTCTTACAATATTGTTCTTGGATGATTAATAATACTTTTAAAGTTTGATAACATATTATACATGATGAAGAAGTGGTCATATATTACTACTTACAATATAGGAGCTGCATAAACTGATGAGCATGGTTGTAGAGAAGCTTATGAAGCTACTCAGTTGCCAAAATATACAGGAGAAGCTTCGTGGCACAGAGTTGTATACCCATGGTAGCACAAAAATTGCTGACAGCAAGCCAATAACAGACTGAAAGCATGAATTAAATATGAAACTAAATTAAAGTTATATTTAGACATGAAATCATTTGTACATTCCATTGCTGCCTCTGTAGTCTAGTGGTTTAATACACTCCCTTACTTTTAATTGTTACAGGTCTGATATCTTGCACTGCACAAACATTTGTATTCACGAGTATGATTGTTTGTGTCAGTCTGGATATGAAATATTTATGTATTTACAGAAAAAAATTATTTGTATCAGTTATCTAATATCCATAATACAAGTTTTAGATAGCTCAACTTCGGTCTAGGTGTCGCTGTGTGAATTGTCCTGAGGTGATTATTATTGTTGCTATATAAATTAACATCACTGTGACTGTTACTGACAGTGGTTACTATGACATATCGCAGTAATCAATTCCTTATAGATACAATATTAGAACTGATAAAAATAATATATAATGGTGTTAATGTGATTGGCTCTTTGAAATTAAATAAAGAAACTCACCTTATAATGGCCAATAAATTGACGACCTACAGTATCAGAAGCAAAATTAACAATGTTTGAAGGAATCACCATCAAACCAAATATCACAGAGGTGTTTGATTTCTCCAGATCTTCAAACCATGCTTTCAATTTTTGTGATAATTTATACTTGAAAGGGTGAAGTATGGAACCGACCAGGAGAGCCCAAAACAAGGGTTTGAAAAACGGTTCGAGTATAAGAAATAAAACATATACTGCGGCACAACATACAGCTAAAATAAATAGAGCGAAAGCGTTGTAGAACCCATGTTTCATAGGTTTTTCGTTTCCTTCTGTTATGCCTCCTATAATATTAAAAATATTCTCGAATGGGGACTGTTGCATGTTTACACTAATTTTATTCGTCTTTATCACCTCACCGAATTATCACTGGTCATTAACAAATAAATAGAAACTTAATCATAAATGTATGAGATCATAGTTTATTTAATTTTTGGTACAATTTTTTCTCGCGCTACATATAGAGGCTGAATGTCAACTGACAAGTAACATTGTTGACATTGTAGTCGACATGACATTATTGACATTGATATATATTTTTTGACGTGTTTCCGAGTCCAAGTCGATTAATCGATCTTTTGTAGTTATCATTTACCGATATATTGCCCCGCGAACCAGGAACACCGCTTAGCATCATATCATAACACACCTTTCTTAATAATCTTAGCATCTTTCGACCAGGAGGAAGTAATTGACGAAAAAAATTCTGGTTCGTAGACTATATAGTGTTCCTTCCATTTTTCATACATTCCAAAAAAAACCGTCTAGGCTAAAAAGGTCTCGCCTGGTGCTCTGAAAAAAATAATTGTGATGGCACCTCACTGGATGTGCCGTATCTCCTAATATCTATAACACCACAGAATCAAATTTAAGCTGGAAGCGCTGATTGCAGATAGAAAAGAAGAAAAAAAAAACTATATTTTTAGTTTTATTCTTCTATCCGATATATATAAGATAAAAAATTCTGCAATCTAAAGTACGACTCATTGTATTGTTTTTCACAATGTTATTTATTTTGTTAGAGTAATTTCATTTTCGTATATTCTTATGAACTTCTATTTATGTTGTAATACATAACTAAAATGATAATTATTATCGAATCACTAATATTTTAATTATGCACTTTAAATTGAACCCTCGAACTCAGTTTAATGTTTTCAAATCAGGTGTCAACTTTACAGTATTAAGTGATTGTGAAAGAAATTCCATACTATGGTATGAGCAGGATTTTATAATTTTTCCTATAATGTCATTAAACAAATTGTAGCGTTGCATATTTTTTTCTAATGGATTGGTGCATCCGCCTGCGCGATCGCTTTACGCGGGACACCAGTGAAGGATGATAAGATGAGCACGATGGTTCCAGGAGGAACTGCTTTGAGGTCAACCTCTCTCTTATGTCGTAAGAAAATAAAGCAATATTTTGAAATTATTCATCGTGTAATGCTAGCAATGGAGATATTAGTAAGAATTACTACATTATTAACAATCTTCTTCCACCAGCGCCACATAGCAATAACGCAAAATTGGAAATTCGCATTCATGCCAATTTAACGCAATGTAAACCTCAGGCTCATATAGTTTATATTAATTAAATATCATGATATAATTATAGCAATATATAATTTTATAATTATGCTAAATATATAATAGAACTCAAGACAAAAACATTTCATGAAATGGTTGCATTACATTACTTGTCACATCGTTTTCCCGAACACAACGTACCAATACCTGATTAAGTCCAATAGAGATCGGTTGCGTAATCGATTAATAATTAATCAATATTTATTCATAATGTATGGCAGTTGTAAAGCTTCTACCTTGAGCGAGGGTCTGCTTCAAACATCCTTTAGTGAGTGACTTGCAAGTTGCAAAACTTTGTAAATGCCTTCCGAAATATTTTTTCATCAAAGCAGTGACTGAGCAAATCATGGCTGCCTTTTTTTCGCAGGCAGATACAATTTTTTTGTTGGATGAATAGAAGTAAAATGCTTTCTAAGAGAAATGTTATGTAAATGTGCATGTGCAATGGTAGGTAAATGTGCATACAGCATATAAGTAAGTATAGGTAAAATGTAAGTTTTAAGAATTTATATTATTTATTTATTTCCTGAAGAAATTATTACATATTTATATCCTAGTAATGTTCTTGTTCCTGTCCATTTTCTAAAAGGGAAAGACATTCGGCTAAATAATAGACCATGACATATGTATGTCTGTACCTACTTTTATTTTGTGCAGCGATTTTTTAAACGCGTTGGACTATGTGTGGGTTAAGTGTTGCGGAGTTACTGTACAGATTTAAGAAATTCTTTCGTTTTTTGAAATGTACATTATTTCAGAGTCATAAAGTTTATTCTTAATATATAAAATTAAAGGCCTATAAATTTAAAGACCTCGGTGGTCTACTGGTTTAGTACACCGCTTTATTTCCGATGGTCACGGGTTCGATTGCTCGCAACATTTGTATTCATAAGTATGATTTTTTATATCGATCTGGTTGTATCTAATATGTATATATATATATGTATGTATGTATAATAAATATCAACAAAATTTAGTGAAAATAATCAAACATAAAAATAGGATCGCATAAGCAGCAAGAGGTGTCGGACAAGTACAGCAAAGATTGCCGTGGCACTCACACAGTCCTGGTGCGAATAATCAGTTGGCTCCTCCTACCGGTATGTTAACTTTGTGTATGACCTTCACGCGCATGCATAAATTGCAATAGTAATTACTCTCTTTTCAACTTAAATGCTCCGCCCACTGAAATTTGCACCCAGTGTGTCATCCTAGGCGAGTATTGAATGGATGTTGGAATTCAAGTTTTATATTTGTGAAGCTCCACCCCTTTGAAATAGAACCTGATGTTATCGTTTTAACCGAATGTCACCTTAATAATAACAAACCTATCCCGAAACTAAATAACTACAACTCTTACACCACCTCATAGCAATTCAATCAAAGTAACGGTGTCGTTGTTTATATAAAAGAAAATTTAAAATTAATTTAACCTCTACTACATGTATGTACATGTAGTAGAGGTTAAATTAATGGAGACAACGGGCATTCAGGTGGCCGTACTAAACAGATATTTATACGCATGTATCGGTATGTATGTAGATGGACGAATCACCCTACATCTAGACACCCTGAAATCACAGAACAATGTCATAATTACTGGTGTCATAAATATGAATATCAAATATAAAGACACAAGAAACACATACGAGTACAAATTTAGGACGTACTATTTAAATATGTTATCTACACACACATGGACAGAACTGTCTTGATCAAACTATGTTAAAAATTTAAAATAAAAAGTTTTCTGCTTTCATTGCTATTCTTCAAATCACTACCACGTACATATGTAGTTCTTGTAAGTGTATCTAGTTAGTTACACGTTGTAGTAATAAGAAAAAAGACCTGGTAAAACGGAGAAAATATATTAATAATAGACAACTAACATACCTATTAGGAATAGAAAAAAGGAATTGAAGTATCAAAAACAAGAATGTAATATAAAAGAACTATAAATTCAAATACAAATTTAGAATATAAAATACATATCTGATTAGCCAGTTACAACACTCCCCTTTAATCAGAAATGGTCAAAAAGCGATAAAAAAAAGAAATATTTTGCCAACCCTATACCTACCATGCGTTTCTTAAAAACAACGGCAGGCATATCACTGCTTTTGAAATTTTATTTACTACTACTACCCATCTTGTCTATAAAGTAAAATTTTATTACATTTAACAAAAAAAATATTATATATAACATCACCAAAAAAAATCCAAAATTATCAAAAGAAATAACATCAGAAAATATAAAATATTTACCTATACAAAATATAGCATCTTAAAAAAAACAGTACTATATTTTTCTGATGTATAATTAATAACTTTCTTTTATTCTTTCTATATAGCGGTAATTTTATTATATATCTTTTTCTTTACAAAGTATTTACTTCGTCCTATAATTATACAAGTTGCATGACCTAAAATAAAGTCAAAACTATCAAAAGAAAAGATTATGAAATAACTTCAGAAAATATAAAATATTATGCATGTACCTACAAAAATTATACCATCTTAAGAAACATTGCTATATATTTTCAGATTAGTCTAGATAAAGTCAACAGTAAACGAATCTGCTAATTACATAAACAACTTGCTAACATTGGTAAAGAACTGGCTGAGAACGTTCAAGCTAATATAACAAAAAACTATCCAATATATCAGTATATTTTTATATTAAAAACATTAAATTATAATAATACTGAATTACTTCTGCATCATTATCATCACTGCTAAAACTGTTGTGCAAGATTATATACACACACACACACACGTATATGTATATATATTCCTATAATGTTTGTAATTGTAAAATTGTGTTATCTAAATAAAGAACTTTGAATTCTGAATTTTGAATATATATATATATATATATTATTCTAATCTCAGCAAATTATGAACACCCGGGCCAAGCTGTGATGGGCCACGAATTGTGTATCAAGTGATTGTTCTTCATACCTACTTATGTTTGGTGCCTCCTGCAATCCTGCTATTGTCGTTATCATTTATTTGGTCACAAGTATTGCCCATTAGACTGGTACTGACCCTGGGGAACACCCGTCAACTAGACGCCACATATTGAAATAATGTTGTCCACCAAAATGACTAATAAGTCAGATTAGTCATTTATGAGGATTAGAGTGGTGCCATCTTTTTATCTTGTGTAATAGTATCAGCGTAACTCTATTGATATACGTATCGTTTTGACTAGAGTACTAATTAAGAATATTATTCTTAAATAAAATTCCAAACTGTTAACTAGACAGTAGATAGCCAGAATAATTGTCAACTGTTGACTTCGTGGTAAACGCAACACTGGTGTGCCCATATTTTGCTCATTTAATTGGAATACATTTAATTGGAATACAATATTGAATATAGATATAGGGTATACTATTTATACTACGAGAGTATGGAATTAGTTAACAACACAAAATATACATATAGGTATACAAAATAGTTCCTAGATTAACATAAATATAAGTTAGCGTCCTGGATTATATCTATACGTAGTATAAATAGTTAGTTAGTACACAGGTAGTTAAGATTCATTATACTTATTCATTATGCTAGGTGATTGGGAAATAGGAGAGTCGTAATTGTAATTAGATACCAACATTTATAAGTTTTGTATATTAATATAGCATATTGAAATAAAGTTATCAATATATTATTATCTACGACCTTGATGGTATACCAGTTTGACAAACTAGCTCACCTTCCAATGGTTGCGCATTCTATCCCCATACAATGTACAGGTTATTATTTATTAAATTGTGTCTGTTTCCTATATATTATTTTTATATTTACATGTTATAAAAATATGAAAACCCATAATTATGATACAGTAGTAGGTAAGTTTTTAACTT